GGTAGTAACTCTAGTAGAAGCTCGCAGCGTTCCGTCCATGACATTTCAGGTCATGTCTATAAGTGACGTACCTACGTCTCCGCCTCCGCCTCGCTTCTAACAGCTCACAGTCCGTACACAACTCATGCGCTGGGACTGCTGGGTACCTATCTGACCATCTCAGCTCCTAATATACCCTTTGCATTGCACTTGTAGATCTGCATGTCTATGAAGTCCTGTCATGGATGATACCAAGATCAGCTTCCTAAGTAGTGCTTTAAGATACTCGGTGCCATCGCTACTCTCGCTGCAAGCTCCGCAGGCTAGCACATAGTTTGACACCAAAGTACACTCTCATCTATCACCGAACATTGGAATTGACGTCACAGCTACCCAATGGACCATGACCTTCATGTTGAGGGGTAAGTTAAAAGTTTTGGTATTGTTTGATTTTGCCATTAAAATTTCTCACTTTATGTTCTGTTCAGGTTGCCTTAGTTGGCCAGTTCCATTGCAGCTTGGTCCATGCCTTTATTCCTTTCATGTTTCTCTGAGCCAAGATAAGTCGCAAGCCTCAACTGCTAATATGAGCCCCTTGCCGACACTAGGCTCAGGCTGAGTGGCAGTACATACCCCTGGCTCTGAGAGGCACTGCTCAGTGCCTACCCCTGAAAGCATTTTCATAGTAAGGTTCAGTACATACATATGGTATCATGTCCAAGGTGTCCACTGCTAAGTACTACCTATCTGGCACCTTCTCGTCAACACGAATGTTCCATATTGCTCGGGTAATGAGACTCTAGGAAGATTGATTCCTTGCGTCTTTCGAACTGAGCATAGATTGACCTTGTTCTTGGAGACACCTGGATATGGCGACACATCACCATTGATCCGTCCTTGAACAATCGGGGAACAAACATTGACTGGTAGAATGTTGGCCGCCTGAGGTCTGGTAACAGCATGTACCCGACGTCTCTCGCACTTCGGTACTAATTCAGTAGCATTGAGTAACGTACTTAGATTAGGAATGCGAGCTCTCAGCCATGGACCTATGGATACATTAGTAAGTATCTAGGTAAGCTCTAGACGAGTGACACAAGACGATATGGACGTTCATGAATCCCAATGTCGTTGTGGTCTTAAGGTACTACTAACTATGTAATAGCTGTATAATGAAAAGGGGCACCACCAGGAGCAAGATCAGAGAATCGAAGAATGGTTCGATCTTGATCCAAATCCATTGCTTAGAACCAAGGTCCAAACCTACCACATTTCACAGTATGTATGTACATAATACCTAGGTACATACCCATCCTGCCGTATGGGTGCCATTGCTGCCTACACTGGACCAACATGCGCGCCAAGAGATTGCTCACCCAATGGAGTCTTTCCTGAAGTTTTGCAGGAAGCTACTCCGTACCTGTTGCTTCCTTTCACAGAACCAACAACAGGCACCTCAGTCATGAATCTCACAATAGCAGTCATGCATCAATGATTATACTCCAACTTCAAGCCGCCCAGAATGCCGCCAAAGAAGAAGGTGCGACGTGCTAAAACATGGCAACAAGTTGCCGAGGAGGCACAACGACACCGCGATGGTACCCTCACCGCCTTCAGCCACTGCCTCAAACTAGAGGAGCTTGAGCAGGCCAAGGCAGCTTCCTCGAACGCAACCCAGCTCCCAGCCCAGATGCCCTCCGTTGAAGAGGCCACGCTGGAAATCACAGCTCTGAGCCCAAAGAGCCTCGCCAAAAAGATCGCCTTGGGCGTCCACACGGCATCAGACGTGGTATCCGCCTTTTCAACGACCGCCGCAATCGCCCAAAAGGCCGTGAACTGCCTCACCGAGCTCCTCCCGTCGCGCGCCACCACCCGCGCAGCGGAATTGGACAGACACATAGCAGCCACCGGTAAGCCCGTCGGGCCTCTGCACGGGCTGCCCATCAGCGTCAAGTCCCACATAGGCATTGCCGGCTGCCAGGTAGCCGCGGGCTACATCGCGTGGTACGATGACCCAACCCATGTCGCGGCGCGCGACGCGCTCGTGGTGCAATGCCTCGAGCGCGCCGGCGGCGTCGTACACGCGCGCACCACCGAGCCCCAGAGCATGATGCAGCTCGAGTGCGCCAGCAACTTGTACGGCCGGACGCTCAACCCGTACAATGTCAATCTTTCCTCGGGCGGTTCGTCGGGCGGCGAGGCCGCGTTGCTGGCCATGCGTGGCAGTGTTATTGGAGTCGGCAGCGACGTGGGCGGGAGCATCCGGGTGCCCGCCGCCGCCTGCGGCGTGTTTGGCCTCAAGCCGACCGCGTTCCGCGTCCCGACTACGGGCTGGAGCTCGACGCCTCCCGGTGCGGATCCTATACCTACGGTGCTCGGTCCGATGAGTTGCAGTTTGGAGGGCATCGACATGTTCATGGATGTTGTGCTGGCCTCGGAACCCTGGAAGGTGGAACCGGCGTTGGTGCCGTTGCCGTGGAGGACGGTGGATATTGTACCTAGCCCGACTCGGCCGCTCCGTATTGGAGTCGCAGTAGATGACGGGGTAGTAGTCCCCCACCCGCCCATCGTTCGGGTGCTGGAGGAGCTCTCGAAGAAAATGGCCGCCCTGGCGCATGTGGAGGTGGTGAAGTTTCCCCTGTACAAACTGGACGAAGCGTGGGCAATTGGATCGAGCTTGTATTTCACCGATGGTGGAGAGGCTGACATCGCTGTCATGAACCGGTCAGGGGAGCCCATGCTGCCGCTAGTACACTGGATTCTCAAGGAGAACCCGGCAGTGAAGAAGCTAACGAGGGAGAAGCTGGAGTATTGGCTGGAAGAGCGAGAAGAGTACCGGATCGAGTATGCCGAACACTGGAACCGCACCGGCCGTTTGGACGAGGCGACGGGCAGTTGGGTCGACACAGTTGATGCATTGATCTGTCCAGTTGCGCCGGGTGTGGCCACATGCCATGATACGGCCAAGTATTGGACATACTCAGCCGTGTGGAATCTGCTCGACTACCCCGCGCTTGCGTTTCCAGCTGGGACGGCGGACAAGGAACGAGATGTTCAGACTGGACGTGCGGACTTCAAAAGCTTCCATGACCGGAAGAATTGGGAACTGTGTGAGTGAAAACCTGACACTGAAAAGCGTTAATCCGGGATCTGACATTATCAGACGACGCCGAGGTCTTCCATGGCATGCCAGTGGGCCTGCAAATACTTGGTCGACGGTTTGATGATGAAAAGATTGTAGCCATTCTCAAATACTTGCAGGACCAGGGGTGTGTCGGGCACGACCATGGCCCTTTCAATCCCATCTACTCACCGGTGGAGACGTGATTTACTCTCGTTGCGCGTAAGGACCAAGCTGATGCCAGTCATCTCCCCTGATATCTATTAAGTGACCTAATTATTCAGAACAGTGAATGGCATGAGGACGCAGTCGCCTCTAGATCGCCGGAGCAGAGCGAAAAGCGGCTGCACAGTGCAACCTAGTCCCTGAGTGGTTCGATTTTCCCCTCGGCGAACTCAGCGCGCACTCTCGAAGAAACTTCATCCCACCTGTCCCTTGCATCCTGTTCCGAGTCGAATGCGTACAGGGGCCGGTTCTTGGATACAGAGTTAGCTGCCTGGGTGGCACTCCACAGGGCCTTCTGGAATCTGGACCGACCTTAATCTTAACCACCTCCGGATCTATCTCGACATCCTCCTCCACATTCTTGAGCGCGTTGTGCCACCGGTCCCGCAAGTCCTCTCCATGCCTCTGGCTGACGCGAATCCGTGGAAACCGCAGCTTTTCGTACGCTCTTGTCGCAATCTTGACCTCTTCCCTACCCACCAGGCTCAGACACACGGCCAAGGCCCCAGCGCTCTCGGTTGCCTGGCTCGCGCCCTGCGCCGAAGTGGGCAGATGCGCGTGGCAGCTATCTCCTAGCAAGACAATGCGGTGCGACTGCGGCGAGACCCAGGTGGGCAACGGTTTTCGGTAGCAGATTTTCCAGTCTAGGCATTTCTCGGTTGACTTAATGGCCTCGCGAATATTAGGGTCCAGGTCCGCTACAAGCCGGCGCACTTCGTCCATGTCGCCGGGCTGAAACCATGATTCGGGCACATCCCCGTCGTCTTTATGCGTCAGGATCCTAGGAGCCGCAAGTTAGCAGATCGCTGACGACCAAAAGTCAACCTCAGCTAGCTATTAACAAGGCACTTCGCCGACCACACCAGCTCAAACTCTGACAGACTAAACATACCAGTTGAACTCACGTCCACCACGCAGCGTGTTCTGCACCACATGGACATCAGGGCCAATCCAGAAATTGACGTTGTCTCCGCCTAGAAATGCGTTGCGAGATGGATCCGCCTTCATCTCCTCGCTCGGCTCGAAATAAGCACGGAAACACGCGTAACCGCTCGATACGGGGTCGTCGCGAGCGCCGAGGACGAGGTGCCGAGCTAGCGACTTGATACCATCGGCTGCCACAATGACGTCTGCCGTCATAACCTCGCCCGAGGCGAGGGTGAGCGAGGGTGTGGGGTCAGAGTCATCGAAAGATGTTACCTCACAGCCCATGCGGATCAGGATGTTGCGTTCGCGGACCCTCCGGGGACTGTCAGCCATGCCTGACCGTTTTCTACGAAACAAATGGGTAGCCACCAACATACCATTTGAGAAAGATGTCGTGATAGTCACCTCGGTGGCCAATGTAGCCAGCCATGTCCATGAGCGGCTGCTCGGCGAGGACCTTGCCATCGCGCCATCGCCGGATCTTCATTGTCGGGGCCTGATTGCCGATTTCTTGGATCTCCTTGACGTTGCAGCCCCAGCGAGCGAGGAGTTTGAATGCATTCTCGCCTAGTCCAAGCGAGTCTCCCAGCCGCTGAAAGCTGCGGACTTTGTCGAGAACAGCGACAACCTCGTGGCCATGGTGATGGAGCGCAATTGCTGCTGCGCAACCTCCTAGACCGGCACCCACGATGATGACTTTACGCCGACGTTAACATATTGACCCACAATCCGCGGATTATAAGGGGCATGCGTACTTCGTAGCGGGGGGTTATGGGGTGATTTGAGTCTCGAGTAATCCATGATCCTCGCTAATTCAGTCTAATATTTCCTGCGAACGCAAGATGTCAAATCCGACTTCTCAGTTGATTCCTTATCGGAAGCCAAGCCGTCGACTCAGATGGCACCTGTGGAATGGCTGCAACATGTTAAAGACTGGGGACAGGACAATATCAGCCAGCCCCGGCAGTCGTGACCCTGCTCCCCAACTCAGCTGACTGGCCATGCGTGCGGGGAGAGGCTTATATGCCACGGCTCGATCCCAAGTGCCGCTTTACAGTCATGCCGGATTCGCAGGTTTCTGTGGAAAACGAATTGCGGCAGATTGAATCGAGGGTACGCGTTCCCCTCATGTTCAACGGTTGTTCCTGGATCTCCATGCGGGGTTTCCCCAAAACACTTTTGGGATCGCCGAGACGGCGAATAACCCCTTATCCAGGTATATCAATGCAATGGCAGGTCCAAAACATGATATTCAAGATGAGCTGTTTACCTCGCTTACCGCACTTAGGCCGCTTGATCAAAAGAAGCTATGCCGTCCGACTCATCGTTCCCGCCCCCTCCCACCCTCTCGGAAAGATACTCGGGCATCCCCGAACGGCTCCTTGAAGTTGGAATTGAGTCAAAGAACCGCCTTCTTGGGAAGCGCACATTGCCGGCAAGCAGCCCTCGCAACCGTGAGGTGCCCCGCCTCCCTCCTGATATTACTCGGGCCGAGTTCAACCAAGCCATTGGCGAGCTGAAGGAGATACTCGGCGGCGAGCATGTCGAGATCAATGACAAACCGCTGGTTGACGGGTGGTATGTGGAGCATCCGTAAGTCAGTCCTTGCGTTGCTGGTGTCGGCTTGTCGCTGAGAGCCCTGGGGCAAACCTAAGAAACACCCACGATGCGTTCCACATTGCCCTCCAAGAAGACATGGTCTGCAGTGCCATTGTTTATCCTGGCTCGGTTGAAGAGGTACAGGCCATCGTTCGCTGGGCGAATAAGCACATGATACCGCTCTACCCCGTCTCCATGGGAAGAAACATTGGGTACGGTGGGACGGCGCCAAGAGTCCCAGGGAGTGTGGTGATTGATCTTGGGAGGAGGATGAACCGGATTCTGAACATTGACGCCGAGAATGCTTCTTGTCTGGTTGAGCCCGGAGTCTCCTACTTCGCCCTGTACGAGGAGATACAGCGCCGAAAGCTGCCACTCTGGATCGACACGCCTGATGTCGGCGGCGGGAGCGTTCTTGGTAATGCAATCGACCGAGGCGTGGGGTAAGGAGCCGTGGGTTCTTCGGCTGGCGACGAAATTCTGACTTTGCCCCTTTCCAGGTACACTCCGTACGGTGACCACTTTGCCAATCATTGCGGTCTCGAGATCGTCCTTCCGAATGGGGAATTGTTGCGGACGGGAATGGGCGCACTGCCGGGCAAGGACGGAGCGGACAATCCCACGTGGCAATCATTTCAGCCTGCATACGGCCCGTACTCTGACGGAATCTTTAGCCAGAGCAACTTCGGCATTGTCGTGCGCATGGGGATGTGGTTGATGCCAGAGACGGGACATCAATCCTATCTCATCACCTTCCCCCGGGAGGAAGACTTTCCGGCGATTGTTGATATCATCCGCCCACTGGCGCAACAGCGGGTGCTTGGAAATATTCCCCAACTCCGGCACGCAGTCCAGGAACTTGCAACGACCGGCCGGCTAAAGACCGATTTCTACGACGGAACCGGGCCTGTTCCTCGTGATGTCATTCGGAAGCACGCTGCTACCCTGCCGCTCGGCGACGTATCGTGGATCTTTTACGGCACACAGTACGGCGACCCTGCGAGCATCGCCAAACAGCTCGACCTGATTCGCGACGCCTTCTCCAAGATTGAAGGGGCAAAAATGATGCTCCCCGAAGAAATCCCTGCCGAGCACTATCTTCACTCTCGTGTCAGCGTGTGCAGCGGCGTTCCAGTTATGCGCGAACTCGATTGGCTCAACTGGGTTCCCAATGCAGCCCACTTGTTCTTCAGCCCCATCGTGCCGACCCGCGGACGTGACGCCAAAGTTGTCCACGATATCATTTCCCGATTACACGCCAAGTACGGGTTCGACCTGCTGCCGACGCTGTGCGTTGCTGGACGCGAAATGCACTACATTGCCAACATCGTGTACGACCGGGCATCGCTCGACGAAAAGAGGCGGGCGGCGACATGCATGCGCGAGATGATTGCCGAGACAGCAGCAGAGGGCTACGGCGAGTACAGGACGCACATCCTGTTTGCCGATATGGTTGCGGGAACGTACAATTGGGGGAACAACGCTCTGATGCGCTTCAACGAGACCATCAAAGATGCCCTAGACCCGAATGGCATCCTGGCGCCGGGGAGGAACGGTATCTGGCCGAAGCGGTTCCGCGGTAAGGGGTGGGAGATTCGTGGCACGGAGGTCGAAGATGCGCTCGAGGGAAAGGGCATCGGACCCAAGGCGCATTTGTAGAAAGTAGTCGAAAGGCGGATATGCCGAAAGGCTTCCTAATGGAAGGGCAATTGGTCAAGGTGGTTTGCTCACGCAGTCTGTCCCCTTTGTTGACCAAACACCGAGTTTGGATTAGCTTCAGGGGCTCAGGAGCAACGTTCTGCTTCCACAGTAGAATTTCGATTTCGATCCTGAACATGTGAGGATAGATGCCGAGGGTAAGGAGTGTAAAAAGGCCGCTGCGTCATGGCGAGCGACTGGCCTGGGCAAGAAGACGCAAACTTGGAATGGAACGCGAGGCAGCAGTTTGCATCCCGCTGGAACAGCCAGTCAACTTTGGTCAAAATGTCGACACGAGCTGCAAGCCATTAATCAACGAGTGGGCTTTGTGTGACGCTCGGAAGGAATCGAGCTCAGCTTCCTTAGGGTCCCTCGGTCCCAATGCGAAGTGCCGCTGCGAATGGGTACATAGGTTGTTCTTTCCAGTAGCAGCTGTCGGTGGAACAGGTGTCGCTTGACCTGACGTTACACCCCTGCAAGGCAGGCGGTCCTTGCGAACATGCCACGAACATGCAGACCAGTGCAGAGGGTTCCCAGTCCCAGTGCGCCCAAGTTTCCACGGCAGTTCGTCCAGTCACACGCGAGCGGGATTGATCTGCGGGCAGGGCTACGGTGCTCCGCTAAGCCTAAAATGGAAAAGCCCTTGGCAAGAACACCCCCACTCACCGAGGTGGAGCGGTTGGCGGCTTTTGAACCAGTCAACCCCCGACCAGGACCTTCGGACCGCAGCAAGTCAGCCACTGTTCAGGTTGCCTGCCCGAGAGGGGGGGGAAAAAATAGGGAAGTGTCACAAACGTTGGCTTGCTTGTTTTCCTCTTCAATTCCTCTTCAGATCTTCGACTCGCCATCAGGATGGATTGACAACATGTGGAGCAGAGTGATTTGACGGGGCACCATTTCGATGAGTCTGCATCGAAGAATTGTCAATTGATGGCAGCCACGATCGACCGCCCATGATCGTGACCCCCTGTTCCCCAGGCAGCTGACGCGGAGTCGCTGCCCTGTCCTGTGACTTCCTGTCCGCCGGTCGACCTAACCCCACACCTTCCTGCTGAGCGACCCGCAAAGGGTTCGACTGCTCGATCTGATGGGTAAGGGCCACTGAACGCGGTTGCCCATGTTGCGTCGACCTGATGATTACATTCTCAGCTTGTTGTTGAGCGCTGACTGACCTGCTTCCTCATCTCAAGAACCGACCTTCCAGGCCGCCGTTCTCGATGGAATTGATGTGAGCGCTGTCGGCAGTGGCTCGACTGGTGGTTTCGACTCACTTCCGGATCGTGGGCTCATTGCCGTCACCGACCACGATGTTGCTGCGCAAACTCTTGGAGATCCAATGGATCTCGACTTCGATCTCGATGCCATCTCATGGGCTGGTGACCTGGACCCATCAGCAAGCCGTCTTGAACCTGAGCTGGATCTTGGTGCCTACTGCCCCTCCATGACTGACTTTCCATCAGACTTTCTCTTCGCTGAAGATGAAGGCGTTTTGCCAACGGCGCCATTCCATGGCCACCAGGCCGAGACTGCTAGTAACCTCCAGCTGGTTCGGGTGCAGGAGCAGGGTTCGATGCTCCAGTCCCAGGCGTTCCCGGAGGCCGAGCCGAGAATACCAGCCGGTGATGCGAGGCACCTTGATGACAACACCCAGGATCACGACTTGGCCCGCGAGCGACTGCGCAGACAACTGTCTCTCCTTTCCAAGGGTTGGTGTGGTGACGAGATCCGGTTTAAGAACTGCGATCCATCCAAGGCTGTCGTTTTGCACAACCTAGCCATGGAACTGGGGCTTAGCTACAACCACGATGTGAGGAGCCGTGAGGTCTCAATGTGTCGGTTGGAGTCACCTCAAGCATCATCAGGACCACTGCCCTCACCGCGGCGCTTATCCTCATCCATTCCCCGATCCTCCACCGAACTTGATTCGACTCTTTGCATTCCCGCTCACCCCATAATCCCCACTCTGCCAGTACCGGAAGAAGACGTCGTCCTCACCGACGACATGAACCAACAGCCTCCCCAACCAGTCTCAGCCCTAAAGGAGCAGTCGTTATCCCGCCATCCAAGTCGCAGCGAGCGCATAAGTGATTCCATCAGCAAGCACGTCTCAACACTTAAGACTTCCATCTCCAAGGGGGGGCGACGGGGCCCGCTCAGCGAGAATGGCCGGCGGGATATGAGGGCCCTGGAAGGTGCTGGCGGTGCTTGCTGGAGATGCAAGGTTCTGCGGAGAAAGGTAAACCTTTGCCCATCGAGGCGGTCCCTCAAACACAAACTAATGACTCCTCAAGTGCGATCCAGGGAGCCCCTGCCGGTGCTGCCTGCAAAGTGTTCCGACGCCTCTCGGCGAAGATGCGCCTCTTTGGCCCGTGATAGGTTGCCGCCGAGGTCCGCTCCGTGATGCGATCCCGGCACAGCTACTCTGCCCTGAATCTCATCGACCGCAGAATCTCGGTGCAAGGAATTGCTTGACACCTTCCCGGAGGTGCCGATCAGCCGACGTCGCTGATCGTTGCCTTCTCTCGGCCGAAAGCCAAAGACTAGCGGACATGAAGGCCGTTCTAGAGGGCTCCTCTGACAAGCTCTCGATTACTGATGAGTGTCTAAAGGATGCTTTCTCCGCATTCATCGAGGCTGGCCGGTACCGTGACCGTGATTCACTCCACACCAAATACACCCTGGAAAGCGAGTCAGTGACGTATACTGAGTTGATCGCCATTATCGCCTGGGAGCTTGCCGAGAACCATACCTTATTGCCTTTACTCGAGATCAGGTCGTGGGAAAGCTTCATGCGCATGCTGGAGACTGCATGTATCTACGAGTCCGAAGTTGGCCAGGTACGTCCACTCGAGTATGCAGCCGAGTGATTCGCGCACTCAACGTGTCTACAGACTTCTCTTGTCATGCTTTCCATGATTTGCCTGAGGCACGGCCTCGAAGCATTGCGACTACACTCAGCCAACCTCCTCTCCCCTGGAGCCCACGACGACTGCAGCGGAAGCTGCCAGGTCGACTGTGTTCGGAACCTGAGTGTCCAAGTAGCCAACTATGTGGACGAACTGTCATCGGTCATCTTCAACAAGGAGAACATGCGAGACAGGAGGTGGTGGCTGTCGACGTTCTACAGCCTCTACATCCAAAGCTATGTGCGGCACGCCTTGATCACGATCGAGAAACAGCTGCGCTTCCGCTCTGTCGACGATGTTCCGGTGGAAGACCTGAGCGCTTACCAGTATCTCCATCTCCCAGCCGTTTTGTTTACCGCCGCCTCGGCCAAGTACGATCCGCTGCTTGGTGGTCGACTGCAGTACGCCCTGACAGACAACTCCGTGATCCCCGAGACCTGTGTCCCTGAGCTGCACCACTCGTCAGCCCGAGTGGCCTGTGAGGTGGACAAGTGGTCCGATTGCGGCATTCGAACATCGTACCAGTTCCTCCGCAAGCTGCTCCAAATCGGCTCATTAGACTTCGAGTCGGGAACAGACTCTGCAGGGGCGAAATCCCCTTTGACCATAAGTTCTCCATCTGGTCGCGGCAAAGTCGCATCGCCAATCTCGCCGAATAGTCTTGCATCCGGACAGGAATGGCTGCGGTCCCCTCGGACTCTCCACGATCCTTCCAACCGTGACTCGTGGGGAAGCGGGAGTTCGGCACCAGCACCGACCGTCTTCTCAAACAAGAGCTGCGAGAGCTTGGCGCGGTCCATCTCAACTGACAAAACGAGTTTCTACGAGCCGTCGGTCTTTGCTCGCGTCTCCTTTTCTGGCAGTGTAGCTGACTTGGATGCTGCCGGAATCGGAACTGGTATCGGCACTATCAACCCTGCTGCGCTCTATTCTACGAGCCAGAATTTCCTTTCACAGCCATCGCCGTTTGACCGGCCAGTGATGGAGAGTTTGGTAAAGGATGAGAATCCGGCAGGGGCGAAGGACGCCTCCGCCCCTGCACCCCTGCCTGCATTCGTCTGCAACTGTTGCCCGAGAACGCCCAGACAATTCCACACGGTCGAGGAATTAGCGTGTGTGATTCTCACCCGCCCCTTTTTGACTACCATGCTGACCTCAGTGATGAAAACAGCCAGCACGAATCCGAGAAGCCACATCCTTGCACGCAGTGCAAGAAGAGGTTCAAGAGCCCGACCGAGGCGGAGCGGCACATCAACGCGATTCATCTCAAATCGGATTCGTGGTCCTGCAAAGCGTTTGAGGACGCACTCGTGGCGTTCCAATCTGAGTCGTTCAACGGCGTCGTGTGGGACGTGTGCGGCTTCTGCGGCGGCGGTTTTGCCAGGAAGGGAGATAGCGTCGACCAGGCCGAGCTTATCTCGCACCTCGAGTCGGTGCACAAGATTGGCGAGTGCGACCGCAACAAGAAGTTCTATCGCGCTGATAACTTCCGCCAGCATCTGAAGAATACCCACGTGGCGAAGCCTGGGAAATGGCTGAAGGCACTGGAGAGAGTATGCAGAACTACGGGCACCGGTAATACGTGAGGGTGCGGTGCGAGAAGATATGCGACGAGATCACTTCAGGTTTGCGCTGTTCCTATGTCACTACATATATTGTGGGTGTGAGATCTCATGGCCCCACCCACTTAATCACTGCTTGATCATAAGGAGCGGAGTGGCGTGTGGTTAATGGTTATGAGTCCAGCTGCGATTATGGGGCGTCGAGCGATTTACGAATTCTTATAGACGGTTTACCGGGCAAGGCGTATGGCAGGTTTCGTGGCTCAGTCCGTTGTTCTAGGTACTTTCCGTTTCCGGTGTTACCCTTGTCTTCGCATCAACAACAACAACAACATCGAAGAGCGTGCTGGTCGCAACACCGTCTGGACCTCGCCCGGCGTACCTGGGATGCTGAACTGCCATAAAGGAGCGTCAAGATAATATATACCGCTTCTCAGTGTAAATATGTGCAGAAGAAAGAAGTGAAGCAACCCCCTTCCCCTACCCCTATTCTACATTCATCATAGATCATGATCTGTCATGTCCCCTGTGATCATCGCTTGAGAAACCTACCCCATCAAACCCTAACCCATCCCCCGCCCAATGCCTCTAATTCTTGGGAGACACATGTCACGGTAGACCGTATCTAGACGCATTGGGAATAAAAGTCGTTGGCCTTGTTGCACGTCGACCCGGCCGCACACGTGGTGCACCCAGTCCAGCCCAGGCCGCCGCACTGGCCCCATTTGGCGACGGTGCAAGTAGGGGGTGAGGTCGGGGACGACGAAGTCGTCGGGGCCGCCGTGGTAGGCCGGACGGAAGTCACCAGGGTCGTGGTGGTCGGGGGTGGGGTGCCAGGGTTACCGCCGCCGTTGCAGGAGAAGACTGCCGGGCCGGGGACGGTGTAGTTACGGAAGTTTGAGTATATCTGTGTAATTAGTTTGTTAGGAAAACAATATAAAGAGATATGAAGGAAGGAAAGAAGGAAGGGTAAAGCAGAGGGGGAAAGGGAGGAAAGGGGAAACGGGCTGTACATACGTTAACGGTGTATCCCGGATCGGTCTCCTTGAAGGCGCCGGGGATGGAGACGGTCGGGCCCGGGTTGCCGCTGCCGCCGCCGGTCACGGTGATTTGCGCGCACGAGATATAGAACTGGGGGATACCCGCCGGCCAGGGGTTGTGGATACCCAAACTATGGACTTTTGGTTAAATTCAATGTCATCCAAAGATAATATGATATTGTTACTGACTTTTGGATGCGTAAAAGGTAATCGCCAGAGGGGATGCACGTGGGGATCTGGACTGTGTAGGAGCCTGTTGTGGTTCACTTTAGTTAGTTACTACTACTCCTGTGTAAACACTTCAGGGCGGTATGGTATGCTGCTGCGAGAAAGATTGGGTAGGTTAAAAGGGGGAAAGGGGGCTGTGATCATGATGCTTAGGTAGGCTACGTACCCGACAGAGTCCAGGTCGCAGAGCCGCTGCTAAAGTCCGGGCCTGGTGTGACTGTTAGTAAAGCGGAATCATGATCTGGATGACAAGAGATTGACAAACCCCAGTCCTTGATCTTGAACCAGCCGCCGCTGCCGTCGTAGTCTGCTGCCGAGCCAGGAGCTTTGGACATGTAGCTGGATGATCTCAGTGTAAGTCATTGTCCATGAGAAGTGGTACTTTTGTCAGGGTCAGACTTACACCGACACCGGTCCCTGATGATAAACGGGCGTGTCAAGAGTGAATGTGACCTAGGAGCGGTAAGCGATGAGCACAAGTCACAACTGAAACCAGTTGACCATGAGAGCCATACCGAGTCACCAGCCCGCACTGAGACAGTCTCGGTCCCCGAGCCACTGGCTCCTACATTGCACCGTAGGTCATTGGAGCTGAGGTCGGTGACGGGAGAGTTGTAGTTTGAGTTCTTGCGGATGTATTGGAAGACGGGATACTTGGTTCCGCCCACCGAGAGCTGCTGGAAGATGTAGTGGGCCGACACGTCCCCGACGGCCAACGATAGGGCCGCAACGCTGAGAAGCTTCATGCTTGGAAGTTTGATAGTTAGACGCGATGTTGTTGAGTACCGTAGGTCGGATAGGAGTGCCAAGGAGCCTAGGGAGCAGAGACATCGATCGCTGCTAGGGCTCGCTATATATACAAATTACAGTAAGCCCTGCCTCACCCGACGACCGGGTTTTGGTCAACTTGGCAACTGCCCGATCCCACTTCCACATGATACGTCAGTCATGAAGGTCCCGTCTTAGAAATCCCGCCGTGTTGCAACAGCAGCGTTCTGTATCTCCGTACGTGCAAACCATCGTCGTCTGACTACTCCAACGGCCCGGCTACCGAAGTGACTCGGAGACCCCTGCCTGGTGAAAAAGGACCTCGAATCCGGGAAACGACGGACATGTGGTGTCCGGCTACTCAAAGGGGTCGAAGACGATGGAGGTCGTTTGACCGGCTTGACCAATTGGGTATAAGCCGCCCACATGTTCAGCATTTAGCCGCTGAAATAAGGGTGCATCATGCACCCCACAACCTGGCCGGGGGGGTGAGAGGCCAACTTCGAGCCCCAGATCCCGCCGATTCCCACGCTTGAATCATGGACTCGGGGCGAAGACCCGTCTGTCGTGGGGCGCGTCACCCCTTCATCTCTTGATACTTGATGGCAGCCCGACGCGAGATTGCCGGCTTGGCCGAATGTACTACTAGTACCCGTTGGCTCAGCCCTGGTTTCGTTCGGGTTAGTTAGGACGATAGTGCTAGATACCTACTAAGAGTAATACAACAATAGAATGCAACCTACCGGACCAGGTGCCAAATCGCCTCTTCAAGTCGGTTGCAACAGCCCTATTCGCTTCCTAGGAACTTCAAGGAAATTCATGTTTCTTGGGGTACGGGTTGTTGTAGTTGCTGGCTAACCATTTTGTTTGGTAAATCCACTGACTACTATCCGTAGTAAGGTGCCATATAAACTTACAACACAGAGCGTACCGCCACATGCGCAGTACCGGCCTTGTCGCTGCCACAGCATTTCTGTGCAGGTGCGTCATTTCCAAGCCTTCCGGCCCTTCGCGTACGCTGGCAAGGCCCAGTGCTTCATCCAAGCCGTTTCTAGTACATCAACCGCTCTGGGGCGGTCGGCAGGTTTCCAAGCGAGCATCCAGCGTAACAGTTCTAACAAGGCAGCCTTCTCGTCGTCCTTGACCATGTCGGTGCCGCAAGACGGCCTCAACCCGTTTACCCATTCGTCAAACCGCCTATCCCACGACCACATGTCCCGCTCGTTGCTGAGCGGCTTGCCCGTCTCGTCGAACCATTTGGATCGCAGCTCCCACTTATCCCACCAGTCGGATGGTGGATGGCCTTGAAGGTGAACCAGTTGCGCTGTGATTTCGTCCTGAGGCGTGATGATCCCGTCAATGAGGGACCTGTGGCCAAGGATCTCGAAGATGGAGCAGCCGAGGCTCCATATATCCGAAGCGAACGAAAGCGGTGCGGTTGGCTCGAAGAAGGCCTCGGGCGGTCGCACCACAAGAGGTGCGTAGGACTGGAAGCGGGACTTCTCGGAAGGGCGAAACGCCACGCCAAAGTCGGTCAACAAAAGTTTTGCTTCGCCTGCAGTGAGTTCGTCGCTTGGTATCCCAAGCCACATGGGCTTGACCACGTATGGACGAACCCCGGGTGTCGAAGAGGTGGGTTTGCCGTCGCTTCGGACGATAGGCTCGAGTTCGGGGGCTCCAAACTTGGCGTACAGCTGCTCAACGGAAGGATTACTGAGAGAGTATGGTAGTTGGAGCATGCAGTTGCCGAGATGAAGGTCGCCATGGGCATAGCCCTGCGAATGGACAAAGGAAACGGCCATGGCCAGCTGAGCGGCCAGAGACCGAGCAACGTCAAGCTGGAATAACCTCCAGTCGGATGCCTCTTTTGCATCCTCAATGTAATCGTGGAAGGACAAGGACCTTGAGGCCAAAAACGGTTTTTAGTAAAAGCTTACCCAGGCCAACTCATACCGTGACGCCTAGCATCATGTCTACCATCAATATCGTCAGATACTATTTCCACAAGGCCAACATTCCTGCAACGGAGCAACGAATGCGTCAACTCATCGCACTGGCGTACCAGACAGCAAGGGACAAGGAGCTCTATCCCAAGGCCCGTATTTGTCCGGTACGTTCCCCCGTCTCCCCCCAAGTTTCGTTGAAAACGTCAGCGAGATCCAACGTGACAACATGAACACGCGGGCCGACGAACTATAAACAGAAGCGAGGTTCACGACACCACCACTATCAACGGAAGACGCCAAAAAGATCCTCGCGGTGCCCATGTAACATTTAGTTATAAGACCCAAGACCAGCTGGGCCGCGAAACCCATATTGCCTGCCACGGCTACGTCACCGACACAGAGACGCTAGAGTTCAAGGAAGCAACCCACGCAGAGGAGAAGCCCGATTCGACGAAGAAAGTGTCGGGCAAGGCGGTCTGGCCAAGCGAGGCCTTTCTTTGGGAAGCTCCAGAAATTGGCTATGGGCACATGTCGGAAGAATAGTAGGGCCGGGCTTGTTGCCAGACCGCCGACTAAGTCACAGCCGGCCAGACCAAAACCCGGACTTGATCAGAAGTGCATGAGCAACAAGGGGATGGGGTAACGACTTCCTCGGTTCTTTCGGCTCCGAATATTGGGAATAATGGGGTGGGGCCGGGGAAGGGGGGCGGCTGCGTGTCACTCATGTACTACTAGTAGTAGCCTGTGGGTACTTTTGTGATAACTGTATTTAGTATTCCAGATTTTGTGCCATGATACTGCGTACTGGTACTACGGAGTAGATAAAATTGTTATGTACTAGTCTACACCATGTGCCAGTATGGGTTCTAGACTCAGGCTGCATTTCCGTAAGACCAAAGCCTAGCAACAGGGACAATAGGTTGAAACTAGATCTTGGGGGCTAACAAAATTAGGTAAGGTATTTCGTCATCCTTGACTCCTAATTTATAGGATCGATTCTGGATCACTCTGCTACAGTCGAAGTTAATTTAGGTAGCATGCTATAGCGCAGCCTACCAAAAGGGGCGACGGGATGAGTAAAGGTGAGCCAGCCTGCCCTGGGTAATCCTAACTCTAGTCCAAGCCTGAGCAGACACTGAGCCTTCATAGCCCAAGCCAGAGGGAGCAATGGCACGTGTGGGAGGTTCTAGAAAGGAGAATATGTGTCCCCAGATCGTCACAGATACTTAACAATGTTCACTTAACATCGCAGCTGCTGCTCAAGGTAGGAAACCTGTCATACCGTGTACTAGTGATGAGCACTGAAGTCTAGATGCAAAGTGAACCGTGTTTAGTGGGTCGTGTATATATCGCTTTCAGACTCTTCTAAAAATCACGTGTGGAGGTCTGGAGGACCGAGAACGGGCTCGGGAGTGAGGGCATGTTGGAGCCCATTACCCCGTTCTTCTTGGTCTTGTGAGCAGAGTACTACTATTTATGGACTTCGATGTCTCAGAATAGTCCGTACGGGTCACGCATCTTCTCAAAGCACGAAGACTACTGTATAGGGCGATGATCGCTGGCAATGGTATAATTTGTCCACGTAGAAGATTAGTACCACGGCATAGACGCGGAGAACGAAATGCTTGAACTTGAACTATAATTCCAGGTATCTACGCAGTATTGAGTCTAAGACAAGCTCAGGATAAAAACAAAGCAAGCGATCATGAAACTCATCATGATCCGGTTCCTGACTTCGGAAGCGTCCCCATTTCTCGCTGAAAGAGAGCCTCATATGGCGGCTTTGGAACGCCGTCGGGGAACAGTTCGACCTCCTTGGCACGCAGCGTTTTCTTTGCGGCCTCAAGCTGCCTCTCCAGCATATCCAGCTCTTCGCACTCTTCTTGGCTCCTACTTTCCTTCTCCTTGGCTGCCTCAACGAGGCCTCCGAGTTTCTTGATTCCGAGATCGTATTCCAATTCTTTGCACTCCTTCAGCTTCGGTAGAACCAGCGTGTCAAACTCTGAAAGCGTCTTATGCACATCACCGTCTAGACGCACGGTATGGTGTTGGACGCTGGAGGCGTCGATAAGCTCGTTGGCAGTCGCTTGCGTTGCCTGGAGAGCGCATAGCAAGAACACCTGCATAACCTCGGCCATCTTCTCGGCATTGATACCGCCGAGGTCTTTGGGATTGTCGCCAAAAACGCGGTGGAGTATGGCGGACTGTCCTTCAGGCGAGGGAGACGGCGTCAGGACGCCCATTTCACGCATAAAGTCGTCGCCAATGGCCCCAACCGCGGCACAGCAGTCGTAGGCAATGACTTTGATCCGAGGTATCATGTCGGAGAAGTCCGGGTGCTTTCTGAGTTCCTTAAACTCTTCCGAGTCCTTGGACAGCCCCAGCCGAGTCTCGAGGTACCAGTCGAGATTGAGACGGGGCATGAAGGGCAGATTGTTTGCGTCCCAGAAGAACTTGAATTCCTGTCGCATCCATAGCCACTCCAGGTGTTTCCCGATGGGTCCGCAACTGAACAGGGCTTTCATGAGGCTGCTGTCTATTTTGGCGGCCTTGGCAACCTCACGAGACCAGGCATCAGACCGGAGTCTGAGCAAGCCGAGGGTGTCGTGGTAGTCTTTGCTCCCCTTCCTGTTGAAGGTGTTGTTCATCGCCGCCATATCTGGCACAAGTTTGGTCGAGCCGTCTTTACTAGTCTCAACCTTGTACCCGCCTTGGGACACGAATTTTTTGAAATTTGTCCTGAGAAATTCCGGTTCGGCTCTGTAGTCCAGAAAAAACTCGCCAATGTCTTGGAGGCTTGAGATTAGGAGCACGGTAAGTGGTTGCACACTAGGCATCCCATTCTGGCCGACCCTTGTCTCCTCTGCAAGCCGCCTGATCAGATCATTTCCTGATTCCCAATGCTTAGTATTCCACGGCTGGTTTTCAAACGTGGTATTCTTGAGACCGTAGTAGAGGTCTTCGGACAGCTGCGAATCAGTCACCCCAGCGGTGCCGGCCGCAACCGGGACATGGCCCAGGCCAAGCAAGTGAAGGACAGTACGAAGGAATTTGGCGCGTTTCTGAGCCGGTTGGTGATTCGCGACGCATCCCGCGATCTCGACTACCCCATTGCGATGCATCTCACTCAGGAAGATGATGGCGAGAAGATCGTCATAGTCTTGGTCGATGTCTGTGATGACCAAGATACGGGGCTTGTCCTCCGTTCGGCGGGTCTTGACGAATGCTCTCAGCCTGGCATAGTATGGCGCAAACAATTCATCAACATTCTGCGCCTTGAACGCAGCGGCGGCGTCGGCGGCGGCGGCAGACATGTCGTCGGGCTGAGGCGGAGGTTTCTCGGAGTAATGCGCGGCGGGGGTCTTCGTGGCAGTGCTGTTTAGGTCGTCTTTGAAGCAACTAAGCGCTCCGATAACAGACTGTAATGCGACTGTCAACGGATCGCGGCGGCCACTCGAAGGGCTAGGGACGATGTAGATGCATGTGATTGAAATTTGGAAGCTTGAAAAGAAACGGCGCAACGCAAGGAAACAAAGGAACATGCCCACTCGACGTCAGGGAGCGGCGGAGCGCCTGCCCAGATGATACAAAGACAATGTGATCATTTTAAATACCTTTAAGGAGAACATAAGCGCGCGGCTCATTTTTGTCATTACCCATGGAATTGGCATCATGAGCGGCGACTGTTGGTTCTGCCTCGAGATTATGAATGGGCCTCACCCATAGCGTGATTGATCATGAATGAAGTGGTGAGTGTGTTGGCCCATTCTGAAGGAGTTGGGCTGACTGGCTAGGCTGGGTCGCTACCTAGGGACCAGTCCATCTTAATGCATTGTCGTGTGGCACAGCCGCGGTTACCTAAGGTATCGGGCTTCGGTAGCTGCCTGACAGCCTAAGCTAAAGGAGCGCTAACAGCCCCGTTAGGGGACGTCTTCCTGGTTACCTACCTAGGTAATCAAGCCACTCAACCTAAACGGCACAGCACGCCAAGGGCCAAGGGCCCCCTCCCTCAAACAAAGGTACGGAGGTACTGTAATACTTCGTAAGCATCGATTCCTTTGCAAACTCCAACTGTCAATTCTGTTCGTGCATCCATGTTGCATGCGCTTCGCGCTCAGCGAGAGGTCATATCCGGCCAACAACCCTCCAGCCAGGAGCGACAAGGACCAGCCAAGGGATAGGAAAGCGATCTGAACAGAGCGAAAATGCCGCGAGACGATTGCCATCGGGAAATGTCTATTGGCAGTGGTTCTCTTTCCAGACTCTACTCTACTCTTTCTCACAAGCTCTCTTATTTTTTCCTCCTCTTTTTTTTTTCTTCTTGACCCCCAGACTTGGATAAGGGAGAGGAAGCGGTACTCCAACATCTAGCCTCCTTCACAGTCCTAAGCAGCCTCTCCGGAATGCTCGGGATTAGGCAACGAGCACTTGAGATCCGTGCCTTTGAGCACTTTCTACTTTGGTAGGAGGCTATGAGAAATATGGACACTGAGATTGAGAAGAATGGGAGAGATTTCAATATCTTTGTCAGGCTGGCGCCTGATTGTCCACGGAAGGGATAAGTCCTTAGTCTTCTAGTCCCTTGGTCCAGTAAGTTCACATTTGATTGCTTGGGGCGTTCTAGGGGAACACAATGCTTTGAGATTACAATGGAGGACAGCGCGTCGCCGCCCTCCAATTTCTTTCATCGTCGCCGAACAATGGGACAGATTGCCAATATGGCGCGAGGACTCTAATGCAACCGTCATAAAAGTCGAAGGAGGGCTCGTACTCGACAGCACATCATCAACTTACCAAACTCATCAAATTTCCCCAGCTCATAACTGAAACAACAACAAATCAGTCTCACCGTTTTTACACAACTAGTTCCAACATGGCGCAAGAAGACGAAGAGCACTATGGCTATGTCGTGTTCGAAGGTGACGGCGGGAAGGAATATCTCTACTTCCGAGACTTCGAAGACCGGCTTGACTACGTGGCCCACCTCGTTCGGGACCTTGATCCCAGATCCGGCGAGGTCCTGGTCCGCAAGGTCCATCATCGCCTGCCCTCGCAACAGGAGCCGGCCGAATTCCGGGCCATGGACGCCATCACCGCGTTGAAGGAACATAATCCAAAGCCGGAATTTCCTACATATATTGCCAAGTGGTATCCCCACCGCGGCGAGCCAGTCAGGGCGCATAAGACGAGCTTCGGGTGGCCTCGCGAGTATTTCGCCCTATCGTACTGGAAGCCGTACAACGGAGCCTTGCTGCCCAAGCGCTGGGCCGACTTTCGAAACCCTAACGTTCCGATCCCCCCTATCGCGGCCGTCGCGCGGATGATGCGTCAAGTCCTTTCCATCATCCACTACCTTTACACGGCCGCGCCGCAGCCGCTGTACCACGATGCCCTCAACATGCAAAACATTTGGGCACATTGGGAAGCGGACTCGGAGCTACCCGATTTTTACCTTGGCGACTTTGGCGATGCTCGTTTCGCCAACGAGTGGTCGCCTCCGTCCGGTTCCCTGAAGGCCATCCGGCCGATGAGCTTAAGGATTTCTGTACTGGGCTCTACTACGTGACCCTCCGAGTACTGGCGTCAATCCCGGGGGAAATTCCGAGGTCAAGGGAGGAAGGCGTAAGGGTGACAGCGATTAAGCAATTGATAGAGGCCTTCAACGACTGCATCGACCGCGGCGTCAAGCCGTATTCTCTGTGCCCACCTAGCTTGGTCGACCTAATCAGAAAGGCCCATATCCTAGAGCAAGCGTGCGGTGAGGATGGTGCCGCCGATGAGACCGAGTCCGAGGTTTACGTTAGATTCGTGACCGAGGTTCGTCAGGCCGCTCTGGATACGACACAGTACTGGGAGCAGCCTGTGAAGGATGAGGTTTTGAAAGAAAAATCTTTTGAGCAGATTGCCTATGTTATAGTTTGATTGCCACTTGTCCTCCGCTTCAACCCGACGACCCCAGCATCTCGCCTCCACGCTCTGTACTGGCCTTGGCATCTCGATTTTTTGTTCAGGTGTCGCCCGTCGAATCTACACCCCGGCTACGACGAGGAAACCTACGCGGCCAGCTAGGCCCTGCCCGCGACCACATCAACACACCATACTAGTATGCCTGCAGTGAGGTTTTACTAAGGGATAAGATGTACAACTTGGACTAATCTGACAACAAGAGCCAGGTGAGTACCTACAGATTGAATCTACAGTTTCTTTGATCTTGTTTGAGAAATTAATGCCTTACACAGTACTGAACCGACGGCCAGAAACGACCAGACATTGTATCATTGTCCGCCATGTAACACGCGGAGGGAGGTAAGTAATAGTTATGATGCCGATGCTCACTAACGCGCTACATTCAGCGCACTTAGAAACGCCTGGCCCAGACCGTCTAAATTACCATGCCGTATGCCCCCCATCAATAACCAGATTACTCCCCGTCATAAAACTACTCGCCGAGCTCAGCAGGAATAGCACGGCGCCCTTGAACTCGGTTGTCTCTGCCAGCCTGCCCATCATATTCTCCGCCTCCCACGTCTCGCGCAGGCTAGGCACCTCCTCAAAGTTCTTGCGCACCATGGGCGTCAGGATGTGGCCCGGGCTGATGCAGTTGACTCTAATCCCACCGGACCCATCCTCCCTGATGGGCGACCACTCCATGGCGAGGTTGCGGGCTAACTGGATCACAGCAGCCTTGCTCGAGTTGTAAACGGGCGACAGCAAGCCCTTGTTGGCGATGAGCCCGGACATGCTCGCAATGAGGCAGATGCTGCCCCTGGTCTTGTACTTGAACATTTGCCGCGCCGCCGCCTGCGCCGTCATAAACACTCCCGTGTAGTTGATGTCCAGCATGCGCGCCACGTCCTCGGGCGAATACTCGAGCGCGGGGGTCACCTGCTGCACCCCCGCCGCCGCCACCAGCCCGTCCAGCCGCCCGTGCTCCCCCGCGATGGCCTCGACCAGCTCGTTTAGGTGTTTTGTGTCGGATACGTCCTGCCGCCGGTAGTGCAGGCTGCCCCCCCACTCCGGAACGATACGGCTCTGCGCCTCGGCCCATTGCTCGCTGGGTCGCTCGGCTCGGTCGAGTGCGTAGACTGCGCGGGGTTTGGTTAGTGCAAGAGCTTAAGGTAAGAATAGTTGGGAATAGGGGCTAAGTTACTACTACTGGTACTTACCTTTCCCGCCGGCTTCAACAAGCGCCTCGGCCATGGTCAGCCCCAGCCCCTGAGCGCCTCCAGTCACGATAAAGACTTTGCCGGCCACGTTAAAGTCGCCAAATCTTTTTGCGCCGATATTTTCGTCTATTCGTGGCTTGGGCTCGTGTGTTGGGTGTTCTCGTGGCGACGGGTTTCGTGATTTTGTCTGCTCATTCCTGGGATATGAAGTGTTGATTGCCCTGATCGCGGCGACTCTGCTGAGGGGTTGGTAGCTTGAGGCCTTCGAAAGGGGCGTGGCGGAAGGGAAACGCTGGCGCGCCACCACACGCAGCGCTCTTGTAACTGAGGGATTCATCTCGAGAGAGTGCACTTGGTCGAGGTTGGAAGAGGATGAGGTTGTAAGACTTGCGATTTGGTATGAGCTACCGAGCTGCAGCCGGGCGACTACGAACAACCAAAATATATGTCGGTCGAAGATGCTTCAGACTGTATTCTTCCTCCAGAAAGCCTTCGTTGGTTGATATCATAGCCGCATGCACGTGTGGCCGTCGGTGGATGTGGCCGGCGATCTCCGACGTCATACGCAAGGTCCGGTAGCCAATTGCGGGATCCACCCTCTCGATAACCCGGATCCGGCGTTGAATCCGGCAGGGTCCAGATACGGCGCGATATGCGAGCGGCAAGCGCCCGACGTGATTCTAACAAACCTGGCTGTTCCAGATATTGATTTTTTCGCCCATTTTTTCCTTTCCCAATCTGCCATTTTCTCAGATCTTTTGATGCGATCACCATAGTGTACACCAAGCGCTGTTACCCAGCGAGCCGGGGCGCCCAAGTGCCCCACACCGGCGACCGTTGGCGCTGCCGATCATTGCCCCACTCTCGGCGCCGCCAAGCCGGTGCATGACGTCTAAGCGGAGCCGTATCCGCCGCCTGGTGCAACCAAGCAGTTAACGATCTTGGGCCAGGCCGGATTCACTCCGCAGATCATCGATCAAATTGTTCATCGGGCGGTTTGCCCTCAATGAGGATGAAAACAGGAAATTTATCAACAAAGCTTACAGAGGTAACATGTGCCAGAGCCCCTTTCCAAGCTTGCGAACCTCAACAAAATTTCTATCTCCTTCATCACGGCCCAGAAGTATACCCCAGTGTCAAACAGCTCGGCAGAGAAATACGAACGGGTAAGATACATTGAAATCTGTCTCCGTAGTCTGTTATCCAACCCCTCTACCTTTTTCTCGACCTCTGAAGGTGAACCCCTGATTTAGCGGTCGGTTAGATCCGGTACTATAGCAGTAGCAAAGTGATCGCAACTAGCCGAACAATACGTCCCAAACAACCATACCTCTCTCTACTAGTACCTAAGCCTCTCATCACACATATCTGTTCCCATGAGACGTTCCGAGTCGCGCCGTTCCTTGTCATATTTCCATACAGGAATTTCTCTCTTGTCCGCGTCCCCACTCCCAACCTCATCCACAACCCATCTCATTCTCCCTTCCTTTTCCCTCCGCCATCCGTAAGCATACACCTTGCCCATACTACAAATCGCCTTGTCTCTCTGTTTCGTACTCAGTCCTTCCAATCCCTCAAAATCCTTAACCATATTCGTCCCAGCGACGTACGTCATCACCGCGGCAATCGTGTCCGGTCGTCTGGGGAGGTGCGGTAAGCCCCGCCTCCACAGTATCACCAGCACCAGCTGCGCGAGCATAAGCGCTAAGATAGCCGAGCTTACCAGGGCGCAAAATAGGAACTCGGATCGGAGTTGCTGCCCCGGGCGGTAAGGCAGTCCGGCGAGGGCGACGATAAGAAACTCGCTGATAAAGCCTGTGAAGGCGACGCTTGCTGCAACAAGGTGTCCTCTCCGCAAGAGGGGAATAAAGGCGCATATCGGGCTGGTGTGGCGGCTTAGGAGGATGGTTGGGTTAGGGAGAGCTGGGCTGGAGTAAAGCGGATGGTAAGGGGTGAAAGTTTGTGCGTCTTGGAATAATCTTCCCCAATAGGAAGAGATGATTATGCCGAGAACTGCAAATAGGACCTTCGTCCCCGTTGCGCTGATACTAAAGGACCCACGGAACACGGAGTGAGGACGGTCGATGTTGGCGAGGGCAGCCAGGGAGAGCCCGAGAAGAGCAAGCAGGAGCGCCCCAAACATGAGGTCGACGAAGAGTTGATTCAGCTTCCAGTTTGTGAGGAAACCAATTCTCTGTTTTCCCTTGTTGATACCGTCCGAAATCCTGCCAAAGAAGCCCTGTTTTTTGCGCGCTTCCTCTTGTTCCTGCAATGACACAGGTACAATACCGTATCTCACAGTCCCAACATCATTTGTGTATGTTCCAAGCTTGAACCGCTGGTCTTTGAGTGCTGCTTGGAGCTGCTGGTTCGACATATCCCCTGGAAAAGATGCAAACAGCCTCTCGACCTCGGGGTGACCCATGACGGCTGCAACACCAGCGATTGTGGTCGGGTCGGCCGACAATCCTCCAGGCTTCTGGAACCATTTGGCCAATGAGTAGGCAATAATGGCTGCTTGTATAATCAGAACAGTTATGATGATGTCAAATATCCAGGGATTGCTTCTGAGCCTTGGGGGACAAACATTTGTATCGCCAGCGCCTCCGGCCAGGTCGCAGTAACTGGTATCCAGAAAGGTGCCACCGGCTGAAACTGCTGTACCTATCTGGGCAACGATGACGCCAAGTTGGCTCGCACCGAACGAAGTACCGGTCAAGGCTGGCCCTGGGATCCCTTCGCCTGTCATCTGTCTCACGGGGTCGTGGACAATTAACTGGTTGTAGAAGGCTCCAACTATCAACATGAAACCCCTTCCTACGATTAGAGGTACGTGGTTGCCCACGACTGACTCTGAGATCTCCCAGTAAGGCCAGACCCTGAAAGTGCTGAGTGACGAACCACCATCGTCTGGGTCTGTGGGGGCCGTAGTGCCGCTTGGTCCAACAGTCTCACTAGCCACTGAAGTTTCTGCTGACTGAGCTATCCGCGTAGGTACATCAGTCCCTACAGAGCCAGAAAGAATTGCCGAAGGAGACATAGTGGGGTTTCCACCCGTGATACTCGACAGCACAGTCGAGCCTTCAGTAGAAGACGGTGCTTCTGCTGAGCTTTGCCTGGTGACAGTAGTTTTTCCAGTCGCCGTAGACATGAATGAGCCATGCTCTGAAGGCCGTGCTTGTGTGGACCAGATCAACGCCGACACCTCGCCTTTTGACTGCTCGAGCCATACAGTCTCGGAAGACTGGGATAGTGCAATGGTGGAAATGGTGGTGGCAGAGTCTGGCACTAAGCCGTTGGTCCTAGTCGCTGAAGATACTTCAGATATTGCCGCGGATGTAGAAACCAATGTTGAGGGGACAACCTGGCTTGGAAGCAACGTTGCTGCAGCTGACTCTGCAGCGCTGGGGGAGGCAAAGGTTGACTGGACGGAAGTCTGCGAACCGGTCCCCGGTTCTGAAGTGGAAGGCTGAATGAGACTGACTGGAGTGGTGTGAATAGAGAAGATTTGGGATGAAAGAGAGGATGAGGGTGAGGGTGAGGGTGAGGGTGAGGGTGAGGGTGAGGGTGAGAGAGAAGATGACAGGGAGGAAGGGAAAAAGGATTGGGGCGAGGATGAGGGTAAGGATGTGGGTGAGGGCGAGGGCGAGGGTGAGGAAGAGGGAGAAGACGAAACAGAGGATCGAGGAGAAGATAAAATAGAAGACGATACGGTGGACGAGACTGTCGACGAGAGGGGAGATGAGGCAACTGTCAACGAGACTCTGGACGGGAAAGTTGTCGAGATTGAGGACGAGGCGGCTGACGAGACCGAGGAAGAAGTGATGGACAAGACCGAGGACGAAGTAGTGGACGAGATCGAGGAAGACAAAAGCGAAATGGGGGTCGACGAAATGGAGGTTGAAACAGGGGGCCGAGTAAAAGAAGTGTTTCCGGCCGCCAGGGACGAGGGTGTAAAGGTGTAACAAACAGTGTTGCAGCTTGTTACGACCTGCCTCCGTCCAATGATGCCCCCGGTGCTCGTGGCGCAAGTTACTGTGGTGACGGGACAGCTGAGGGTCGATGCAGGCGTCGTCATCGGATCCGAGGATGGATGTGATGAGGCAGCGCTTGTAACTAACAAGCTGGTATGAGAACGAGTTGAGTTGGTTAGAGTATTCGATGGCGGGGACGAAACGGAGGGACGTGTCGAAGGTACAAGCGATGTTGAAGTGGCCAGGCATCTTGGTGACGTGTAGAACGATGTCTGGCACTCCACGTAGTCCGCCCTCCGCCCAGCGCGTGCAATAATCTGGGTCGTGGTGCAAGATACTGAACTAGCCAGGCAAGTATCTGTAACCGACGGTGCGGAAGTGGTTGAAGTAATAGCCGGCGGCCGGGAGCTAAACGTGGACGTCGTGTTGAAGACCCTGGACGTTGTAAGCGTCGAGAGACAACTTGCAACCGTCGAAGTGAAAGTAGTGCAACCATCAGAGTCATTCCGCTCAATGACAACAGGACACTCCACCCACGTTCTCACACAAGGATCAAGAGGCAAGGACGATGTGCTTGATGTGGTTGGCTCTGCCAATGTAGAGGTAGCAGATGCGGTAGCCGGAGAACTAGTCACAATGCTCTGTGAGATCGAGCTAGGCCGGTGTGGCACCGTGGATGTTGTCAGGTTTGTAGGAATAGGCCGACTGCTGATGTCGCAGCCAGATACCGAAGTGAAATAGGTGGTACATAGTTCCCGTCTTCCTTCTGTACCCTCGACATCGCAATAAACAGTGCTTGTGACACACGGGCCCGTACTCGGCAATGGTTGAAAGGAGGTAGGGGTAGGATCACATCCGGAAACAGAAAAATACGTCGTCTCGCATTCATCTTGGCGGGCCCTCAACTTTCGCCTCCTTCGAATAGGGCAATTAACCGTGCTCGAAACGCAGGGATTGCGGCTCGCTGAAGTTGGCCTTGCGATAGTGGTAGTTGCTGTTATGCGCGACGGGGCCGGACTGGAGTTGCTGACAGGGGCGGAGAAAGTTGTGAGATTGGGGACACGAGTGGGAAGGAAAGTCAATGTTGGGCGCGGCGGTGCCGTTAACTCTGGTGTTGGACTCGAGGTGATCACGAAGTAACTGGTTGAACAGAAGGTTTCTATGTAGCCCTGCCTTTTCGCTTTCCGCCCTGGTACAGCAATCGTTGTGCACTCAACGGTGCTACCAACACTGGGGAGATCAATTCCGTTTAGTAGTGTCGGCGTCAGCAGTGTCCTAGAGGCAGTCGTGTTTGCTCGGGGCACCAAGTCGGCCAGCGCGCCTGGCCTGAGTGCCCGTGGCTCCAGCGAGCCCGTTGAGGGAAGGCCGTAAGATGCGTTTGAGCCATCTGGAAGTGTTCTTTTGACAAGTATGACTACTGCAACCAGTGCAAGAGTAACAACGAGAGCCGTTACCATGCCATAGATTCGGGAAAGGAATGGTCGGGATGTTGGGTTCCCCTTTTCTGGATGCCTGTCAGCAGGTGTTAACCGTTAAGCCGGCGCCAAATTCAGCACATACTCGACAAGTCGACCTTTTCACGCCCCTTCTTCTGTGGGGGCGCCGCAGACCTCCAGCGAAAAGCCATCTTCCGAAGAAAACGATCCACCGATCAGATGAGCGGACGCTGAACCAATTCACGAAACGAGTGAAAGCAAGCGGACTGGATTGACGACAGTATTTCTCCGCCAGAAACAAACTACTGGAAACGAACGGAACTGAGGCTCAACCTCGGAGGTGAAATGCTGACCATGAATGAGTGAAGGCCATGTCGAGAAACAACAACACGGTGCCTTGTTCAAGAGCGATCAAAGACATTGAAAAAGGGTAGTGTACGGACAAAGCACTAAGCCGTCTCGAGAGTGGCGTGTCACGATCAGACATGACTGCAGAAGACCTGCATCCAGGTCTAAACATCTCGGGAAGGGCGAATGTGGTGAAGGAACTTGACCGGGTGCGGCTGAGTGTGTTTAGATGCAGCCACGATGCAGGAACCGGCCGCCCAGAGCGTCGGGGCCAGGTGTTGAGAGAATAATTTTCCTGCATCCCGCTTCAATCACCAATCCGGTCGCAGAACGATGAATTGCTGAACACCGGACATGCAACGGGCCGAGTTGGTCTCAGACTCGCTGACTCAAAGCACTGCCTGCCAGGCTTGGACAACTCTGCGACGTCCATTCTTATTCTTCAGCCCTACACCGTCTTCGAAGGTTCTGGTGGCTTGGAATTGCCACTGACATTGGTCTGCAAGGGCCATAGGCTGGGATGCAGGCCCTGCCAGAACTCCCATCCGACCTCGTCGAACGTTGCCCGAATAGGCGAAAAGAAGAGCACAGCTGAACACCCCATTTTCAGCGTCGAACTTGGAACACCCTTTCGTAGTAAGATACTGGGCGTTGTGTCCAGTACATACCTTACACACGGAAGCGACCGAACGCTCTTCCATGCTCGACAATTCGTATAAACGGAAAGTCCTAAGCCGCCACCTGGGAAGGAAAGCATGGGTAGAGTCTAGGGAAAGTCAGGTTGCTTCAGAATGGATAAGGATTTGCAGGTAGCTTCTGCCTTGATAACTTTGCTTTTCCTGAGTGCGGAATGAACGTGAAGCGGTAAGTCTTATCTCTCTAGAGAAGGGAAAAGAATATAGGAGAGAGAATTGGGAAGTCGGTATTAAGGGAAAGACCACGCTACATAGCTTGCTTAGTAGCTGGCACGGGCCTCCCCGGAGGCAATTGCTGCGATTAGACCACGAGACTAGGTAAAGGCAAGACGCAAGCTCGACCCATCAGCCAAACCCGAGATTTGAAATTGATGTATTGAATCATATCGCATTGCACCTCTAGTCCTCATGTATCACATCATTCCCCGATCTTCACGTCGTCGTGTCCTCCCTCTTGGTATAAACCCCAGTTGATACCGCATGATATCCCAGTCTTCCCACCTTCAGCGTCAGCCCACTTCTCCATTCCTTCCCACTCCGAATGCTTTCAACAGCGTTTTCAAACGTGTATTCCGGCCTCCAGCCCAACTCCTCAATCGCCCGCCTTGAATCATACACCCGATCCAACCTGTCCAAGAACTTCCATCCCTTCTTCTCAAAAACCTCTCCGCACCCCGCCACGGTCTCCCTAAAAACCTTCCCTGCATCCTCATCCAGCCCCTTCAACACCTGCTCCTCTCTCCTAAATGGCGTGGGCGCACTGATAATATACTTCCCCCACCTCACCCTGCCCTCCTCCATGCTCTTCATAGCAGCCACGCATGCCGAAACCACATCAGCCAGATCAACCCGGCGATAGGCCAACTCCAAAACCTTGAGGTTTTCGTCGCCCATGGAAGCCCTCCGCTGATCGTCATCGTCCTCTTCGGGGAAAAAGCGGCTGGTTCTGAGGACGACTACGGGCAACCGGTGCTCCTTGGCCACCAAGAAAGCCAGATCCTCCGCGGCCGTCTTGGTGACTCCGTAGATGTTCTTCGGCTTGGGCACGACGGCCTCGTCGATCCATGCCGCGGGCTGGCCTGGCGCGGGGCTCAGGGCTGTGCCAAAGGCGGACGTGGTCGAGAGGTACACAAAGCTCTTGATCTTTGTGTTTGATTCTGATGATGACGCGGCCGTTGCCAGCTCGAGCAGGTTGAGCGTCCCTGCAATGTTGGTTTGGACAAAGTCGTTTTTCGTGTGGGAGCAAACGTGCGGCTTGTGAAGTGTTGCCGCGTGAATGATATGCTCAATCGCGTGTTCCGCAATCAATTGGGAGAGGAAGGCATTGTCGGTGATGGAGCCGACCAGAGTGGTGGTCTCGCTTCGATTGATGTCGATGCCAACGGGTGAGTAACCCAGCGAAGGGAGGGCAAGCATGAGGGCCTTGCCCAGGTGGCCGGCTGAACCGGTGACTAGTACGGTTGGTTTGGAAGACATTGTTACGACTTGATTCCTCACCCCTAAGCTAGGTAGTTTCACACTTGAGTCTGGTAGAGAGATTACGCGTGATATGCAACCACATGTATATATCTTGGACATGTATACCAGGGAATTCGAGTTTGCAGTGAGTCATACCGACAAGAACTTTCAACTCAGGCTAGTGAGGATACGAAGTATTTGGCCGAGATAAATCCTGCCAAGATCTCGACATAAATGCGCAGAGCAGGGGCCTCGCAGGTCTCAAGTCGCCTGGCCCAGGGTTGGGCGGGGCCCTTCTACCAAAACCTCCAGAACATAGCACATTCCATTGCATCCCTCGAGTGCTATTACTTTTTGTTTGTGTATTTCGTAGTACCGACTAACTAGAATCGCTTGCCGTTCCGCTGAGAAATGTACTACCGAGACGAGCGGGCAAAAAAGATGTCCAGCTCTAAACCAATTCGTTAGGTTACAAATGCGCCGCTGCTAGCAAACCCTTGCTTACAGCCGACACATAACTCTTCCGTCAACCTAGACAGCACCAAAGATCCTGTAACATGGTTAGTATTGGGCAACAACGAAGAATACTGATCTGAACATACGTCTCCATGATGATCCCGGTAATCTGGTAAGGGTCGGCATTGGAAGCCGGGCGACGATCCTCAAAGTAACCGTAGCCCTTCGCAGCACACTCTCTCGGGATACGAATCGAGGCGCCGCGGTTGGCGACACCGTATGAGAACTGGTCGATGGCGCCGGTCTCGTGCCTGCCTGTCAGGCGCTTCTCGTTGTCCTCGCCGTAGACGGCGATGTGTTCTTGGTGTCGGGTTCCGAGCTTGGCAATCGCCTCCTCGATGTGCTTCATGCCACCCTAAAGACTGGGTCAACAACGACGACCTTCTAGAGTCAAGGTTTCCAACGAGTATTCTTACCTCTACACGCATCTCCTTGGTCGAGAAGTTCGTGTGCAGGCCGGCACCGTTCCAGTCACCGGGGATGGGCTTCGGGTGTACCGAGACCTTGGCACCGAACTCTTCGGCAATGCGGTGAAGCAAGTACCTGGCAACCCAGAGATGGTCACCCACTAGGCAGAAGTTAGTACGATCCTGAGCATCTATATCGGAATTGTGAACACCCACTTTCAATCCCGACGCATGGCCCAACCTGGAATTCCCACTGAGCGGCTGCTGTGTGTTAGTTCACGCTGCAACGGACAGGAGCAGAAGCTGACATACGCATCACCTGCAGTCATGTTTGATTAGCTTAAGCTCACTCAATCATGACCCGAGTATCATACCTCTGCGTTGGTTCCCGAGATCTTGATCCCGGCATACAGGCAGGCCCGGTAATGTGCCTCCACGATATCACGCTGGACCACCTTGCCAGCACCAACTCCACAGTAGTACGGACCCTGGGGGGCAGGGAAACCGTTTTGAGGCCTGCAACGGGTCAACGTTAGCCAGCGACTTCCCAATTGCTCGTCTCTCGGGAGGGCAAAGCTTTACCAGCCATAGGGGCGGTCGTTGAGATCGAGCAGAGTGTACTCCTGCTCAAGCCCAAACCACGGCTCATGGGCGGCATGAGCCTCCATCAGCTTAGCAGTCTCATGGCGGTAGTTGTACTTGTTGGGGGTGCCATCCGCATCCCAGCACTCAGCGAGTACCAAAATGTTCTTGCCACCGCGGAAAGGGTCGGGGAAGACGGCCACTGGTCTGAGGTATACATCTGAGTTGTCGCCTGGAGCCTGGCCGGTGGATGAACCGTCAAAGTTCCAAATGGGCAGCTCTGAGGGCTGGTACTCCTTCTCGGGAAGAGTCTATGGGCATAAAGTCAGATGCGGCCAATCCTCAAAGCAGTCTCGAGGTCTGTTACCCTGGACTTGGAGCGAGTGCCGCCCTCGGAATCGATCCTGGCAGGAAACTGTTAGTCAAAGCTCGCGTGCTTCGGGCAGATACACAGCATATCGCGACAAATCAGGCCTCATGCAAACTCAGGATACTCACCAGATATACTCAGCAATGATATTGCCCTTCTGGTCGAGGTTCATAAACTTCTGGAGCTAAACTGACTGTTAATACCAGATCGACATTGGCAACATGGGCAGTTTGCTCGAATCAATGCTCACATTTCCAGAGTTTGAGGTGAAGGCGACAGACTGTCGGAACACTGTCAGCATGTGACACGTGTGTCGCACAAATCAGCAACGCCGTAGTTGCAGCTCGCTCACCATTTTTGCTGTTGTAGATGTTCGATCCAGGTAACACCTCGGTGGTTTGCGATCGATCAATAGCTCGAAAAATGCCCAAAATCCTTCTACTCCGACTACAAGCGGTGGAAATGGAGAAAGTCGAGAAAGGGCGCAAAGCAGATTAAGGTTCGTGAGGAAGCCGTGGGGTTATGCGGTTTAAGTTCAAGCCCGATAACGGCGCACCTGCAGCGGGACAAGAAGTAAGGCTGCATCCCTTATCTGTTGCTCTTAGTGGGATGGATGGGTAAATCACAACCCCGCCAACATCCTCCTGTGGGAGGCACTGCCCCGCGGTTGCCACTTCGCCCAATAACCGGTAAACCTGATACACCCCACAACCCCGACCTCGCATGATGGCTGAGGGATATCTTATCCGCTCTAACCAATTGGCCATGACTTTGTGAAGTACAATGCAGGAGAGGCATTTCCCATGTTACGTTGGTTGATTAGAATGCAGGGTCCAGCCAGCGGCCCTCACGTCCCTCACACTTTACCACACCTCGGGTTGTCCAGCCCAACACGGAACGTGGAGGTCAAAGGACTAGTGGGCCCACTGGTTGGCCGGCTGATCTTGTGCGACCTTTGATTTGTCGTTGATAAGGTGAGTAACTTTCTTACGGAATACACGAGCTAAGCTGAACACGCTTCACCAATCACAATCAGCGGTGACAGTTTCAAAATACCAATTTTAAGAACACCACTTCCCACTGCCTTACTTCCATTAGCTCCTCGGATTAAGGTAGCCCGGACTATCCCGTTTCCTCGGATCTAGTACAAAACCAGCAACCTTTTGAGCTGTACGAGCTCTCTCAGAATGCTGCCTAAGTCACTCGAAAGCGCCATTTGGTGCCAGCCCGTTGAGTGATTTACTAATGTAGGGCTGTCAGCATCTTTGTTAGACCACGAGAAGTAACAGTCTGAATTTGTGACTGGCCGCCTGTGGAACCGAAGTTCCGGAATCTCTCTGGCTTCACGTTTGGATTGAAGCAAGCGTCCTTGCGATTCATCACTTCCGGCTCTCATTATACTGGTACTCTACCTGTACGTACAAATGCAATACAGAATTCTAACCTATCAATGATAATGGTACGGGGCAGCAACGATAACAAAAGTTTCCCAGTGATAAGGTAGGCGATAACGAAGGACAGAGAGAATGACCTAGAAGCGAGAAAGAGGAGGGGCTCAAAGCTATGGCAAGATGGCAAGAGCTGCGATAACAGTACTCTGTCAGTCTGTCACGCAGCGTTCTCTCTGAATCTGAAATCAACCGCTGGCTTTTCCAGAACAATGTAGAGTTTTAGGGAATTTACAGTGACACTCTGCTTGGTCTTCGCCAACCTGTAAGTTTCCAAAAGTGTCATTCCCGAGCCTTCAATCGGAAGTGTCTAATCCAATATCTAGGTATGATAGGTAACCCCGTAGGGTTTTTCCATGGTTAGAGTTCGAGACCTGGAAACTTAGGAGCGTCCCCTGGACACGATGTCGGCTCAAGTCAAGCCTCCTGGGCTCGTTCCAGGGTTGCTACATCGTTCTTACCACTTTCCAGCCTTATCGAGACAAAATGTTCACATGAAATCGACGCTACCTATTTACCCCGACTGTTATGTTCTGTCATGCCTGGATACGACCGCCTGGGACGAGAACCGTCGCAGCCAGAGCAATATGACGGCTCCGACATGGAGTGACTACCGACCCTCCTGCACTGTCAGAAGACCGGATTCGATATGGATATGCCGGTACTGACGAATAGCCTGCTAGAGTGTCCTATCTTGGCTAACATCGGGCTTGGGTTAAGTTGAGACAGACCTACGACCTAGATTTACTATTTAATTACCTGCTCGACTTTACCACAGGCACTCGGCAGTCAGAAGATCTTGACATCCAGATCTCGGAACAGCGTTTGCTAGCTACAAGGACTTGAATGCTGATGAACTAGAATCCAGGAAGCACGGTGAGAACTGCCAGAACGCCAAGCTGACAGTACTACTTGCAGGTACATGCGCCGGGCTAACCTACCTTAGGCATTCCTTCAAATTAAGTGTGATTCCGTCCTTGACGACGTGTTAGAGAGTAGCCAGGATAAGAATTATCACCATGATGGCCGGCCTGAGCTGTCCTGCGTAAGGTACCCAAGGTCAAGACGCCTGATTTGTATAAGCCGAAGTCGACCGGGCGCTCAACTTCCGTCAGGTCCGAACCCAGGAATGGAAAATGGGAATCCCCGGATGGACTCGTATGCCGCGTTCTTTCCATATATGGCAGAAGTCTTGAGGATTGGCCAATCGCGTTGCCGGAAGAGTAAGTTGGAGAGTGGTTCGATCTCGGCTTTTGGATCAGGCCACCAGGGGTTCATGCGTCATGCTCACACCACGCTGGGATCTTCTGGACTCAGTCAACTGCTTGAAACGAACATTCAAAAGCTTACAGGATTCTGCTTCTATTCGGGTCATCTATCACAATCTTGTTCGCTTTCAGGTAGCATTTTGGCGTGCTATTAGTAGACTGACTTGCTGGTTGCGCATCCCTGACATTCGCTTCACCTACGTTCGGTCACTCCCACCAGTGTGTATGAGACGAGTTCCACGTTCTCAGCATACACACACCAAGGAGGTTTAAAATGTCGACAGCAAGGACACGACCAATACAACACATTGACCGAAAATCTCTTTACACTAACCTGGAGTCCCGTGTCCGCTATCTTCACTCGTTCCTCGATTTCGGCTCCAGTAAGTCTATCAAAAACTAGATACCATATCAAGTACAGCATCGAATTGTTAGCTGATGTACCTCAGGCGACATTGAAGCACTTAAATCCGGCAGCAAATACATCCAGGCCCTCATCCCAGCAGTAGTCAACATCGTCTACCGGAAACTGCTCCAGTATGATATCACGGCACGGGCGTTCCAGACGAGGAGCACTGCGTTCGAGGGTCCCATGGACGAAGAGCCGGACGAGCAGAGTCCCCAGATCCTCCACAGGAAAATGTTCCTCCGGGCCTATCTGAAGAAGCTATGCTCGGACCCTACCCAAATGGAATTCTGGGAATACTTGGACAAAGTCGGGTAAGTTTGACATGGATTTGAACCGCTATGGTACCAAGGCTGCCATCTAACCTATCTCTCAGCATGATGCACACAGGCATCGGGCGCACGCACCCCTTGCACATCGAGTACATCCACATTGGCGCCGCCTTGGCCGTCATCCAAGACGTGCTCAGCGAAGCCATCTTGTCGCATCCCCGTCTGCACCTAACGCGAAAGATCGCGATTACCAAAGCGCTGGGCAAAGTTATTTGGATTCAGAACGACCTCTTTGCCAAGTGGTATGTGAGCGACGGCGAGGAGTACACCGACGGCATGGACTACGGCGAGGTCGAAAAAGAGGGGTGGCTGCACGGGAAGAAGGTCATCCACAATGACGATGAGGCGGCTTCTGACGCCAGTGATGACACAGCGAGTCCCGGCCAACGGGTAGCCGCTGTTCCGGGCGTCTGTCCTTTCACCGGCGTGACAGCGTCGGTGGAGGGGTTTCCTGTTCAGGATGAAAAGGCCAAGCCTGTTGGAGAGCTTAAACCGGAGATTGTTGTGACTGGGCAGTAAGGGGATTCCGGATATCACTAATCCTCTTTAGCTCCGTGTATTTCAAGGCTCTCCACTACCTCAGCTACTTACCTTGGATTTGCGGGCGCTGATGCGGCTGGGAGCTGGATAGTCAAAGCTGGCCGTAAATATACAGTGTACGGAAGGGTTGTTTCCTGCGTACATGATAGGTTCAGCAAGACTCGATGCTGGTGGTTTGATCATCTTTGGTGGCAACCTCTTCTCTCCTAGGCCGATCGCGTTACAAGTGACTTGACCTCTTCTCAGGCTTTTCCGCGACCCGGATGACGAACAAGCGTAGCATACTCGAAGCCGGGGGTTCAGGTCCCTCTCACCTTGAAGTCAGTTTCTACAGTTTTGAGTACTGAAAACGGGGTTACTCATCCTATAACCAAAGGACAAGGAACTGAAATCGCGACATGAGATGCCAGTTCGTGTTTGAGCCGTCGCAATGACATATCATGAACCAAATCTCAAGCACAGCTGCTCGGTCATGAAAGTACAAGCCTTTTTCTCATACCCTGAATCTAATGAGCTTGTACGGTAGCAGAGAATGAACTGGAAGAGTCGATGGAAAGAGCCTGCAGGAATGAATGAACATCAGGTACCGGTAAGGTATGGTAAGAAACTATGTACGAAGTACCTTGATGTTACCTTACCGATCTGTAATTAATCGCCGGAAACTTTAGGCCTCGAAAACGCACAGACCAAGAAAGGCCAAGGAGCAAGACCCACTTCACGCGCAAGGCAACAGAAAGCTTGGGTAAGCTCATCAGCGACCTTGCACTTGCAGCTGCTGGAGTCCGCCATCATCAACCCAAACCATCAACGACGAGCCACGTCGAACGACGAAGTCTATATCGACCGTGATACCCCGCGCATCATACTGACATTAGCGCACGCTACCGGAGCGAGTACTCAGCGACCCTAGATCGAACCAGCCGCAGAAAATCAACTTCGACAGCTTTCCCGCCCCCGATCATGTCGTCGGACCAGGAACGCGAGCATGCGCTCGAATCGTTCAAGCGGAAGCTGATAGAGTCCCGGGAGTGGGAGACAAAACTAAAGAACTTGCGGTTGGAGATCAAGGGCATGCAGAAGGAGTTTGATCAAACAGAAGAGAACATCAAGGCATTACAAAGTGTCGGCCAAATCATTGGTGAAGTGCTGAAGCAGCTTGATGATGAGCGATGTTTGTGTCCCTGTCTTGCAATGCAAGAGGATCCTCACAGCACAGTTCTGCTGACACCACATAACAAATAACAGTCATAGTCAAGGCTTCCTCCGGGCCCCGTTATGTCGTAGGCTGCCGATCGAAGGTCGACAAGTCGAAGCTGAAGCAGGGAACACGTGTGGCGCTCGACATGACGACTCTCACCATCATGAGGATGCTTCCGCGCGAGGTCGACCCGCTCGTCTACAACATGTCGCTCGAGGACCCGGGCCAAGTGAGCTTCGCGGGCATCGGTGGGCTCAACGACCAGATCCGCGAACTGAGAGAGGTGATTGAGTTGCCGCTCAAGAACCCGGAACTGTTCCTTCGGGTCGGCATCAAGCCGCCCAAGGGAGTGCTCCTCTACGGCCCGCCCGGCACAGGGAAGACTCTGCTTGCCAGAGCTGTAGCCAGCAGCCTCGAGACAAATTTTCTGAAGGGTACGTCCCATCCTGCGACCGCGGATACTTATACCAGCCTACTGACAAGGCCATGCAGTGGTTTCCTCGGCGATCGTGGACAAATACATTGGAGAGTCGGCGCGGCTGATCCGTGAGATGTTTGGGTACGCCAAGGAGCACGAGCCTTGCATCATCTTCATGGACGAGATTGATGCCATTGGCGGGCGGCGATTCAGCGAGGGAACAAGCGCAGACCGCGAGATCCAGCGCACCCTCATGGAGCTGCTCAACCAGCTCGACGGCTTCGACTACCTCGGCAAAACCAAGATTATCATGGCGACAAACCGGCCCGACACCTTGGACCCGGCGCTGCTCCGAGCTGGGCGACTAGATCGCAAGATTGAGATCCCACTGCCCAATGAGGTCGGCCGAATGGAGATTCTCAAGATCCACGCTGCAAGCGTGGCAAAGGAGGGCGAGATCGACTTCGAGAGCGTGGTCAAGATGAGTGATGGCCTGAATGGTGCCGACCTGCGGAACGTGGTGACCGAGGCGTAAGTGGTTTATTTGCCTTTGGACATAACTTTTCCGGTGCTAACCTATCTACTTTCTACAGCGGCCTGTTTGCTATCAAGGCTGACAGAGATGCGGTCAACCAAGACGACTTCAATAAGGCGGTTCGTAAACTTGCCGAGGCGAAGAAACTGGAAGGAAAGCTGGAATATCAGAAGCTGTAAATAAGCTGGTACCAGCCACTGTGAGACAGCGAGTTGAAGGGGACCGCACGGAGGTGGTGCACGATGCTACTGTGTGGTTATGATGTTAGACGTAGGATAAAAACGTCCATCGATGCATCGCATCAGCGCTGGCATTAGCTGTGTACTATTATAAGAGGAGTGTAGGTTTGATAAGCGGCATTGGAAGGCTGGGATCTTCTCCCGGTGAGCGTATCACGCTTTCATGGAGTAGCTATCCCTTGTCTGAACATGAGACAAGGCAGCCCTTAGGTCTTTACATCCACTGGATGTTTTATGAAAGATCTTGATCATCTTCGTTTTCTGCTGGCGAACTGCGGCTGTCCGGCAGTGCCCCTTACACTAGTAGCTATAGGGCCGTTTACGTCATACGCCCTGCATAGGGCGTGCCAGGCGCTTGAGTCCGAGTCCACTTGCGATGGGCGTTGCGAGGATCTGGAATGTACATACAGAATAAGGCCGAGATCCGGAACCATTGGCTAGGTGAGACCCAATGTTCAGATGGCTGATGGCACTCGAATCGGGACACCGGAACCCATGATCATAGGGGTAGGATGGGCGATCTTTGGAATGGACATCATGAGGATTCGATTGATAGCGTTTGATCCAACGGTAATAGTGTAGATCTGGTTATTCAAGATTGGCTAAGTTCGTGTTGGAGTTTTGCCCTGACCGCGATGATATCGTGTCCGGCATTGAGATTGTGGGGCAGCGGGTGGCATGCTAAGAATAGATGGACGCAGCCAAAGAGAGGCCGCCCCTTTCTTCTGGGTTGCCCCTTTCACAGCCGCAAAAAGTGGGTTTTGTCCATGATGCCCCTGAACCTTCACAACTGATAGGTAGTGCGACTGTGCGAGCGTGTGCGCAACCTCGGATTACGGTAGGGCGATCTCCAAACCTCCATTCAACATGGAAAGCTGGGTTGCATTGACGCCGTTGTGGCTCCGTACCGACTGGCCGGCGGTTCCTGGAATCCCAGTTTGTGGGGGGTTATGGGGGGTTTGGGGGCGGACAACGTCATGAAATCCCCGACAGTCGGCTGGCGCGACGAGTAGGGAATTACTATACGATATACTACATGTGTACACGACATGTGTACGACAACTGACAAATGCACCCAGGAAAATTTCAGAGCCGAAGAGAGGTTGATCTCGATGTGTGGATGAACACGGCATTGGGGCCTGCGCCACGATACGAAGCTGCTCCACTGTATGGTCGAGGAATCCCGGGATGGCGAGCCACAACCGGGCCGGTTTGCATCTCCTTCCGGGGAAAACGTGCACCAGAGTCCTAATGTATAGTCTGGTAATTTAGGGTAGTGTATGCCTCCGATCCGTGGCGGTGAAGACGAGTCACCTCAGGTAGGGCGTCTTTGCATGCAACGGATCTGTCCGCAATGGCCAGAATCTAGACACGTCGATCGGCTTTGCGTTCGTCCTGCAGCACCGGGATGCTGCCAATGGGAACCCCAAAGAACGTGGATCACCAACTCTCGGTGTCGGGTGGGAGTAAAGCTGCATGTTCTCAATGGCGCCATGCGTTGGACAAGGCAAAAAAGGCCCGCCTTTCATAGGGCGGGAGGCGAGGAACTCTGGATTTGGAAGGCTCGCTCAGATATCCAAACTTCACCGTTGCTCTTACACCTCAGGCGGTGGGCAGTGCAGTAGAACAGGCGCTCTCAATTCATAGAGGAGCGGGAGGTCGCCCACCAAACACAAAGGCAGAAGATGTGGAACGCCTCAAAGCACATTTTCTTGCAAAAGGAATGAAAAGTATGGCAAGTTATCTCCCGATCAGACACAATAAAGTAGCTGAGATACCTCCGTACCTTATATGATGCACCGTCAGAATTGACAGACGAGGTTGGAGACAGAAGCGGTGGGAGGGAGGGGCTGTGGCTGGGATAGGGCGCCACCAAACGTTTCTATCTGCTAAGACCCCTCCTACGATCACGTACCGCCCCGTACGAAGTACAGTGAGTAAAGGCAGGCCATGTCAAAAGGAAACCGTGCATTTCTCAATATGATCATCAATGGTAAAGAGAAATTAACCGTTCAAAAGCTTCCATGAGTAAGAGGCATCAATGGTCTCAATGCAGGTGGTCCAATGGACAAGAGAACAATCGACGGGAACAACAATGAGTGATGCACTTTAGCTCAGCAACCGGTGCTGGTGGAGTGTAAATAGTGGGCTGCCCTGGCTGCGCCTAACCCCTGTCTCGTCTGGAACGCTTTGCTCCACATTTCACCTGTCCTTGCAGGACTCCCCCTCCAGAAATCGGCCATAAAACGTCAAGCTTCCCAGCTGCCGCAGCAACTGTTCCGAACCACCCATCCCATTCTTTTGCTATCTTTTGCAGACTTACCACCGCCAGTCAGGCACACCGGGGCTTTACACCGATTTCCGTGATATCTTAAAGGTTTTCGACCCCGAATCCGCGATCTGTGTCTTGTTCGCATCCCGTCATTCGTTGGTGGGCCCGTCAACATGTGGTACGAGCAACTCCCAAACACAACCCCGCGCTCGCTCTATGTGCCAGGTCTCCAATGCGTCGAGGCGCTGCCGCGATCCAAAAAAAAAAAATCGTTGCTAACAGCATACCTTCTTCTTGCGCAGTGGCATTTTCGGTTACGTCAACTACCTGGTGGAAAAGGACCGGAAGTTTATCATTGACACCCTGATCAACGGTAGGTCGGATCGATATCGGGCGCTGGAATCCAGCTTTTGGCCCCACCATTCATATGCGGAAATGAAGGACTCGGTCAAATCCGCAGCAGGAGCCGCAAGACGCTGACGTATGCCTCTCCCGGCAATTCAGGTCTTTCCCGGCTCGAGTATCGCGGTTACGACTCTGCCGGTCTCGCCATCGATGGCGACAAGAAGAAGGAGGTTTATGCCTTCAAGGAGGTTGGCAAGGTCGCAAAGCTCAAGCAGCTCATAGATGAGTCGCAACTCGACCTGACCAAGACCTTCGATTCGCACTGCGGCATTGCCCACACACGCTGGGCCACGCATGGCCCGCCGTCCCGGGTGAACTGCCATCCTCACAGGTATATCCGACGAGACACAAAACGAGCCCCAGGATGCTGCTGACATGCTGCCCCTCCAGGTCCGACCCGAACTGGGAGTTTTCCATTGTTCACAATGGCATCATCACCAACTACAAGGAGCTAAAAACCCTGCTTGAGAGCAAGGGCTTCAGGTTCGAGACCGAGACGGATACCGAGTGCATTGCCAAGCTGGCCAAGTACATCCATGACCAGCACCCGAATATCGGCTTCACCGACCTAGCCAAGGCCGTTATCAACGAACTTGAAGGCGCCTACGGACTGCTGATCAAGAGCGTGCACTACCCTCACGAGGTGATTGCCGCTCGCAAGGGCTCGCCGCTGGTCATTGGTGTCAAGACACAGAAGCGCATGAAGGTCGACTTCGTCGATGTCGAGTACGCCGATGAGAACAGCCCGCTGCCCGCCGAGACGGCGTCGCAGAATGTGGCCCTGAAGAAGTCCACCGCAGGGAGCCTGCTCTCCCCTAACGGCCTGCTGGGTGCCCCAGACAAGTCGCTGCTTCACCGTTCGCAGTCGCGGGCCTTCATGACAGATGACGGCCTGCCAATGCCCACCGAGTTCTTCTTGTCGTCGGATCCGTCGGCCATCGTGGAACACACCAAGAAGGTTATGTACCTCGAGGACGACGATATCGCGCACATCCATGAGGGTTCGCTGAATATCCACCGCCTGAGGAAAGCGGATGGCAGCAGCAATGTGCGCGCGATCCAGACGCTCGAGCTTGAGCTGCAGGAGATCATGAAGGGCAAGTTCGACCACTTCATGCAGAAGGAGATCTTCGAGCAGCCCGAATCGGTCGTCAACACGATGCGTGGCCGTCTTGACATCGGCAACAAGACGGTAACCCTGGGTGGGTTGCGCAGCTACATCAGCACCATCCGCCGCTGCCGCCGCATAATCTTCATTGCCTGTGGCACTTCGTACCACAGCTGCATGGCTGTCCGCGGCATCTTTGAGGAGCTCGTAGAAATCCCAATTGCCGTGGAGCTCGCTTCAGACTTTTTGGACCGTCAAGCGCCCGTCTTCCGGGACGACACATGCGTTTTTGTGTCGCAGTCTGGCGAGACGGCCGACTCTTTGATGGCGCTGAGATACTGCTTGGAGCGCGGAGCCCTGACCGTTGGTATTGTCAACGTGGTCGGTTCGAGCATCTCGCTCCTGACGCATTGCGGCGTGCACGTCAATGCGGGACCCGAAATCGGTGTTGCATCAACCAAGGCCTACACTTCGCAGTTCATCGCCATGGTCATGTTCGCCTTGTCTCTGAGCGAGGATCGGGCTTCCAAGCAGAAGCGGCGTGAGGAAATTATGGAAGGCCTCAGCAAGATCAGCGACCAGATCAAGTTGGTTCTCGAGCAGGACAAGAAGATTAAGGCGCTGTGTGAGAAGACGTTCAAGAACCAGAAGAGTCTTCTCCTCCTCGGTCGCGGTAGCCAGTACAGCACAGCGCTGGAAGGCGCCCTCAAGATCAAGGAAATCAGCTACCTGCACTGCGAGGCTGTCATGAGCGGTGAGCTCAAGCACGGTGTGCTCGCGCTGGTGGACGAAAACCTGCCCATCATTATGATTTTGACCCGGGACAGCCTCTTCAAGAAGAGCCTGAACGCCTACCAACAAGGTTTGTGTCCCCTTCCAAGCACGGTTCCTGGTAGATGGAAACCGAGCTAACATGTCTTCCGTATAGTCACTGCCCGTGGCGGCAAACCTATTGTGATTTGCAACACCGGCGATGAGGAGTTCAAGGAGAACCAGGCCGAGAGGATCGAGGTACCCAAGACGGTGGATTGTCTGCAAGGCATCTTGAACGTCATTCCACTTCAGCTGATCGCCTACTGGCTTGCCGCTATGGAAGGCCTGAATGTCGACTTCCCCCGGAACCTCGCCAAGTCGGTGACTGTCGAGTGAGCACCGACAGGCGAGTGAGGCGAGTCACGGAGCAACAGGAAGCCGTCCATGTCCCCTTCTGGGCTTGGATAGCCGACTCTGGACTAGCATGTATTAGTATTCGTTGACTACAGTACCATCCGCTGGTTAGGAGTTGACGGGAGAACAATCGGGGTAAGGGTCCCGGAAAACTCAACAGCGTTGCGGGTCCGTAATATTTGGTTTGGGCACACAGGGTTTTGTCGGTGGATTTCATTTGGGCCGGAGAACTCTAGCGATAGCATCAGGTAGTATTGTCACATGCAGTGTCATGCGTTATGCGATAATTGAGGATGCAGTCACAGAGACCACACCAGTATTTCCGCATTTCTAATGTTACAGAAGTTTCACCCCGACAGGGCTCGGCATCCCGTTATGACAGCCATCTAAAGTATCCGGAGGACACAGCAACCCACGCTTTGCCGTAAAGTCCAGCGCATAAATTTCATGAGCTACCCATCATCGCCCCCATTGCATAATAGACTCCAACCCCTTTCTCTTTTCCCCTAGACGGACACATCAGACGGTCTGAGTGCCGTAGCCGCGAATCCGCTCGGCAAACGCCCAGCTCTGCCTCTCGAGCTGCTCGTCCTCGCTCAGCTCGACGCCGTCCTTGGTGACGACGGCGATGCTGTAGCGGTCCAGGGAGCGCGCGTCGCGGTAAAAGAGCACCTTCATGCACTCCTTGACCACGTCGACGGCCTGCTCGCGCGTCAGGCGCGCCGCGTCCTCGTCCGTCGCCGCGTACCGCCGCATGATGGGCTGGGCCAGCGCGGCGCCAAAGCCGGTGGCCAGCGAAGGGGAGGTGAAGGCCGTCCCGCGCAGGTCGACCGACGCCAGGAACGGCTTCCGCGCCGCGTCCAGCCCGCCCACCAGGATCTGGTTCCAGAGCGGGTCGAAATCATTGCGTCGCCGGTACATGAGCTTCTGCAGGTACTTGTGCAGGTTGGCGGCGTTGAGCGCGGTGCCCGGTGTGGACTTGTGGTGGGAGTCGTCGTCGTCTTGTTGTTGTTGGTCGTCGTTATGTTCGTATGCCTCATCGATGGCAAGCTCCTTGAGGTGGCGGTCGAGGAACTGCATGTCCGAGACGTCCCCGCCGAAGCCGACCACGGACGTATCCAGGAAGGTGCGCAGCCGCTTGACGTCGGTGAAGCGTGCTAGGGAGCCGTAGGACGCTGGTGATTTGTGGAAGGAATGGTTAGAGAATGCGGGTGAAATGGGGAGAGGGTGGCGGGTCTGCTGCTAGAAAAGACGAACCCAAGTTGTCGGCTGCCATGACGATGCCGTCCTTGAACTTGATGGCGATGACGGAGGTTCCTGTCACGACGGGAGATTGTGTCGCCGTCTTGGGGCCGCTGGTTTGGAGGTAAGAAGCATCGTAGGCGCCATAGATGTCATCTCTGGGCTGTGAAAGGTTAGTTTTGCGTCCTCAGATCTGGGGTTTTAAAGTATGGGACGGCGAGAAGCGTACACGGCCCCAGGCTTGCGGGCGATGGTCCATGACTGTGGTAGACGAGAGGTGGACGAGGGTGAAATCGAGCTAAGGGTAGAGCGGCAGAGTCGATGCGATTCAATTCTAATGTTGGAGAGTTCCGCAAATCTGGTAAGTAACTCTGCGGGGTCGCCGGGTGGTGATGATTCCTTTGGTTGTGTTTGGCAGGAAGCTGGACGTTGGGGTGAGGCTGGAGCTCCCTGTAGCTTCGCGTCCGAGTGCTGCCTTGCTAAAGCTGGATGGTGCCAAGCAATGACTGCCTGAGGCAAAAAAGCGATAAGCACCGATAAGGCTGGCTCACAGAGCCCACGTGACGACCTTCTTCTTGAACCGTGACAACTGACAACACTTAGTGCAGTGTGAAACCATCGCCAACAGATATTCGGCACAGAATCTGTGGATATTTGAGGTCTGGAGCTATGGGTCTGGTGCAGTACGACAGCAGTGATGATGACGAGGACGTAACAACCGAAACCACCCTCGAGGTACGTAGATGACCACACCGCACCTATTAAGCAAGCATCTAACTCTCTGTATCCAGATCCGTAATCCATCAGTTGAAACCTCCACTCCAAACGTCCAAAATACCAATGGTAAACTCGTTTTGCCACGATTTCCAGCAAAACTTGCTAACCCCTCCCAGATCACCCTTCAACCACCTCCAAACTACCCCAACCACCATCCGCCCCACCAGAGCTCGGTCCCATCCTCGGGCCCTCCAGACCACCTCCTGAACAACAACCCAGTTTTGAACAAGCTCCGTTACAAGCCGAAGATGTGGAAGACCAAGAAGCCCCAGTCGACCTCTCCTTCCTCGACCCCCCATCAGCCAACATGAACAACGCTTCCTCCCCATCCACCAGCACTCAACAACCCCCTCCATCCCCTTACACAGCAACCCGCACCCTCCTGCGGGACCTGACCTTACCCGCCGTAGCAAACATGGACATCCCTCCCTCCCCTCCGGGTTCGCCGCCGCGGGGCCACGAGGCGCTCACGGCCAAGTTTGACACATTCCTCCGACTGAAGCGCACCAAAGGGGTGCACTTTAACGAGCGGCTGGCGTCGTCGGCGGGGCTGCGGAACCCGGCGCTCATGGACAAGCTGCTGGGCTTTGTCGGACTGGAGACGGGGTTTGGGACTGATGGGAACGACGACGAAGACGGCGGTGGTGACGGTGACGGCAACGGAGACGGAGGAGGGGTGGGTTCGAGTGCAGCCGGGATAGAGCAGTACGCTACTGTTCTGCCCATGGACGTATGGGATCCGTATGCCTTCCCGCGGTGGGCGGTCAGGGGGTCTCTGAGGAGGGCACAGGAGCAATTGAGGAAGGAAAGGGAGAGGGGGAAGGGGGAAGCGGTGGAGTTCGTCTCTGCTGGGAGCATTAATGGTGGCGGGGATGGTCGGGGTGTCGAGGTTGAGAGTGGAAGTAAGGCTGGAACGCCTGCTGGCGGCGGCGCTGGCAGACGGAAGGGGTAGGGGAAGAGGAGCGCCAAACCGGGCCTATAATTCGTATACATACGTTGAGTGCAGCCAGTAGCGCGGCCAGCCAGGAGATGCCATGATACCCGGCCAAATGCTACACATGCAGGACATCATACGCCTCAGTTTCTGTCCAACGCAAGGAATTTAGCTCATAGCGCCACTCCTTGACATCTCACTGCGGCGGAAAACGGGATATGGATGTCACTCGGTGTTCGCCGGACCTTCAAGTTGATCATCTCAGCTCGATGCCCAGGGTCATTTCGAAAACTTGAATAACACGATTACAACGCTGGTTCGAGTACAACCTGCACGATAACACGTTCTGTCTGTTTCTGTACCATTACATTGTCTTTGCTTGAACTGACCGGGTAGGCTGCCGCTGCCCGCGCCTGCATAAGAGGAACATATCTTCCTCGCCCACCCATGGCAGCTCAGAGAGCATACCAGACTCCAGCTCCCCGGCCGTCGTCCAATAACACTAATGCCACGCATGGTATATTCATCGCCCCGTCCAATGGTTTGCCGAACCGCACAGCTAAACCCTGAAACATCAAGAATACAACGATTAAGCAAACAAAAACCTCGGAAAGTGAGTGGTCAGTGACCGTCTCAACTTTCCCCGGCACACGGAATGGTAAGGTCATAATCCCGCTTTAGCGTACCGCCAATATCGATAGTAATGGTCTGGTTGGCCGAAGCGAGAGCATTGGCAAAATAGGGGAGGGCCTGGCCATGGTTCACCACCGATTTGCCGCCGATCTCGAACGGGAGCACCCCCTTCGCCTCGTCGCAGTAAGGCCTTTGCCCCATAACATTGATAACGTCGGACTGGCTGATGGAGGCGCGCATAGTGTAGTTGTTCATTCCCGGCCAGAGCGTCATATTGTCGATGAAAACGGTGCCGACCTCCTTTCCAAGGAGATAGTTGTGGAAGGTGCAATTGCCCTGGAATGGTAAGCATCACCCTACCATATCGAGACGATCTGGGTCGACTTACAAGCTCAAAAGCTACCACCGAGTGATTGGGAATGTAGACCTGGCCCCGGAAGTTGTCGCCCTCCGTAGCAGTCGCGTTGATAAATGTCTGGTTGACTATAATACCCTGAAGCATGCGCAGACCTGTGATTTGGTTAGCCCAGGAACGCATAGCGATATGGGCAACGGAAAGGCCGGCTAATTCCTACCGGGGATGTCTACGGTCTTTTTGAAAGTGACCGGATACGCTCTGGAAATGCCCCGAACGTGCACGTTAGTGTTGCCCTCAACGGTCACCTTGAGGCTCTCGTTGGCAAGTAGCCAGGTATTAAAGACGGTAAGCGCTTCGACATTCTCAATCTGGAGCGTTTGGGTGACGTTGATGAGCACGAGTGCATCGCTGTCCGTCTCGGGGAAGTCGATCTTGGCAAAAGGGGTGTGAGGCTGGAGATCCTCGAGGTACATGACGCCCTGGAATGGTTCGAAAGTAGCATGCACTTGGCCGTCGCTCCTGATGGTGCTGTTGATGGCCATGGTCATGTTCTGCGCCTGCGTGTTGGTGACAACGATGCCGTCAATACTGAGCACGGCCGCATCGAGTTTCTGCTGGGCAAGGTTCGGGATGCCGACAAGGAGACTGGACGGCGGTCAGAATTGTGGGATGGGTATTTGGCGGCACGAGGCAGCCACTTACACCAGGGGAACGACCAGAACGACGATGCACGCGAGCGCAATCAGGTATGCCCACCAGAACCTGGCGCAGTGGCCGGCGCAGCCCCGTCTCCGGGGCTTGCCTGAGACGCTCTCGGCCTGAGTGACAGCCGGCTTGTCGATTTCTCCCATGGCGACGATTAATATCGATTATCGGTGTTGGTGATGCCACGTCTTTGCTCACTGGAACGCGGGTCTTGATCCAGACCAAGGCCGACGAACGTGAAGACGGGGCTATAAGTTGAGACTCAGTATCGGCATGGGGAAAAGACAAAAGAGATTTCACAACATGCAAGGAGCAAGGAGGTTCAGATACCACATATAACAAGGGACAGCAGAGAGAGGGTCACGGCAGCAGCTGCCTTATACAGGAGTGGATCTGGGTGCAACGGGCCAATTGAGCCACTGAGCAGGGATCGTGCTTGCGGTTTCCTCTTGCAAGATGTAGCAAGCAATGGGGATCGACTTTCCCTTCCATGTTGCCACCCTTCCGCTGGTACGGTACAGGAGCGAGTGGGAGTCCAGTTGGCCCAGGTATTGGCAGGCCCATCTCCGGCCTTGTTGGATGTACCATGTGTATGCACTTACAAGGGGGTAAAAACTAGCCTCTTTTAAGCAGCCTCGTCCGACGCTTCAAATGGTTCGCAGTACCGGAGCATGCAGGGCAGTCTCGGTTCCAAAATCGGTCCAGAAACTTCAACCATGGCAGGTCATGTCAATACTGATAAACGTTAGGAAAAGGGTAGAGGAATGGTAAAAGAGACCTAGAGAGGCATGCTTCTCGGCTTGGAGACCGGAAGCATTGGACCTTCGGTTGAGGCCTTGAACCCTGGCCACTTGCTTGAGACTAGGACAAGACCTTGGCCAAGCGCCAAGCAGCTGCACAGAGTGCTTAGTTCACTGCGGGGAATGCGGAGGAAAGAAGCGACGGGTGCTGTAAGTTGCTGCATAGAGGTAAACGGGGCAAAGGGCTGCCTCTGACACAACGAAAGCTGGAGAGGCCATGGTGGTGTGGATGACCACACCTTCAGCGGGAGCTGGCCATCTTTTACATACGCATGTCGCCATAAGTAGACTGACTAGTTTTCAATACTGAGGGGCGTGACCTCGTGATCGACGACACTGAAGCCGGTCATGATGGTGATCTATTGCGTAGGATCGAATGCCGCAGTGGCTGGCCTGGATGGCCACAACACGGATATGCTCAGATTCGTGTTCTCTGGTCCCCAGCGGCACTCAGCGATGAGTTTGATGCAGGCAGAAGCCGCAGAACGGTATATTAGAGTACAGTCGTGCTTCGCAGCAGAAGACATTTTCTGATGAAATGAGAAAAGAGATTGTAAATGCTACACAAAAACGGTTGAACTGCCTGAAAGAGGCTGATGCCGAGAATTTCCGCCCCTCATTGTCCTGGGGAAGGCGTCAGGGGTTGTACCCTCCCTCAGCCTCCCCCTGTCCGACTTGACCAGGGCCCACCTCGGCTTCTCACATGAAAGAGTCGGAGGAATTTTCCACAGCGGAATGCGCTGGATTAGGAGGGCCTTACTTCGTTCCGTACCTTGGACGTAATGGAATCGAAACTATTTCGAAGCGTTGGAGTGTTTGCATGTTAGATGAGAAAGTGCAAGGAGATCAGCTCCGGCCGTAAACAAGATGGTTGTCTCCAGCCTCTCATGGTCATAAAAGTCAAGGAACTCTGTCAAATTTTAAGGTTTGACTCCACTGAGCTCCATAACGTGCGCCGCGAAGGAACCGTTTGTGTACTACGGCACTTCGTACAGACTACAGACTGATTGAAATCGCAATTGTCAGCTCATTGATGACTTTGAGCAGGCAAAAACAGCACAGTCAAGTCGGGCCTTTTTGAATGGTTACAGGCCGCATGGCCTATGACCCCTTTCTCAAATAAAAGGGGGGTGGCTATAGCCAATAGGAGCCCGATATCAATGCCAACAGAAGAACAGCTCCTCGGCGTACATTACAGTTTGCACCTCCAATTCGAAGTGGCGATTCATCAGCTTAATCCAACACATTGTGTGAGGAGCTGCCCGAACATCTTGCAGCCGTCATCGCGTCACCCCAGTCCACAGTACTGTATTTACTGCTGCAAGCTGGCCAGGCGTTTCATAAATGATGAGTTGGCATCAAATACAATCAGACAGCGAAACAATGCGACAATAAGACATCTAAGCAACAGAAGCTCCGGTCCGCCTATCCCCGCGAACAGATGTAGGGAGTCAGGAGGGCATGGTTCTTCTTCACGAGACGTGTGCCTCTTTCAAGATGAGATTTGGGAGTATAAGGACAACTGTGTCTCAAACCCGCTCTTCAAGGCAATATGCTGACCCTGATAATGAAACGTCCCGCGATACCTCCGGTTCTGCGGTACCAAGCTGCAAAACGTCCCCTAATTCCAAAACAGATACGTAGAGACGTGTTGTTGAGGACTGCATTGGCCCTTCGGCTCCAAAGATTCCCACATGTGAAGCAGCAACGTCAAATCTATGTATACCTCGGCAGACATGAGATCTCCGTGTCTACCCTGACGATGATCGCCAGTTCCCCGCGTCCTTGGCAACGCACAATCGCCGGTTCGCTAAAGCTTGGCGCGAGACGTCCACAACCCTGACTTGTCAAGCCCGGCGCCGCCATCGAAAATGTCTCGCTCCACCATTCGACTGTTGATCTGCAGTCGATCGAGTTAGTCTCGGCAAAGGCGGCCGGATGGGAAAACTGCTGCTGAGCAGCCCGGGATGTCACTCACGAATCGCGGGCCCAGTTCCGAGATATCCTTGGCGCCAAGCAGCTTCATACATGTCTCAATCTCTCCTTGCAGGACTGAATCCGTCAGATCTGGTCAGCGTCTGCCCGGCCTGGTGCTGCAGCAAACAAGGGGAAATAACTCACTTTCGAACGTCCGCTCAACCCCCTTCCACCCGCCGGCACCAAGCCCCCAAAGCGCGGCACGCCCAACGCCAACCGCCTTGGCGCCGAGGCACAGCGCCTTGACAACGTCAGTCCCGCGCTTGATGCCGCCATCCACCCACACCTCGATCGTATCAAACACCTCGGGGCAGTACTTCCGGATCTCAAGCAGCGTGTGAACGGCCGGAGGCGCCGTGTCGAGCGACCGGCCTCCGTGGTTAGATAGGATCACGGCTTTGACGGAGCCGGGGTGTTTGCGGGCGTACTGGGCCGCCAGGTAGGCGTCTTCGTGTGTCTGAATTCCCTTCAGCACAATTGGCAGATCCGTATGCTTCGCCAGCCAGGGCAGGGTGGTCTCCCAGGTCAAGTCCGCCGCCGTGCCCCAAAACAACTGCTGGCCGACGCCGCTATCGGACCCGGGGCGCCCGCCGCTCTTCTCCTTGTCCCTCTCCTCCTGGCTCCTGCTGGCCTCGATAATGAGCTGCGCCTCGAGCGCGGCCTTCTCGTCGTGCTCGCGCTTGCTGGGCACGGGCGCGTCGAGCGTCAGCACGACGCACTTGAAGTGCTCGCGCAGCTTGCCGATGCGCGCCAGCATGGCCTCGCTCTTGGCCCGGGTGTTTTGCACGTACAGCTGCCACCCAAAGACCTGGCCCGGTGCGGCGTCGGCCACGATCTGCTCGGGCGTCATGCTCGCGTTGTGCGACACTAACTGCATGGCGCCGAACCGCGCAATGCCCCGTGCGATGCCGGCTTCGCCGTCTGGGTGCGCCAGCCGCGCCATGGCCGCCGGCGACACGTACAGCGGCGTGCCCACCCGGTGGCCCAGCAGCGTGGTTGCCGTGCGGGCCACGGTGCAGTCCACAAACACGCGCGGCCGGAGCAGGATGTTGCGGTAGACGGTGTTGTTGTAGGTCTTGCTGTACAGATCGTCGGCGGCGGAGAAGTAGTATGCCCAGCACTTGCGCGAGACTTGGGTACGGGCCGCGGCTTCGATTTCGTCGAGGTTCAGCAGTGTGTGGAGGGGTGGGGCCGCTTTCTTCTCATCCGACTCCGCGCTGGCGGGTTGGCCATGGCCGGCACTCTGTTTTTGGAGCTTCCTGAGGCTCTCTGGGTCCACCGTGCCCAATTTTGCCTCCGGTTTGAGGTTTTCCTCCAACGTGCCTGGCGGGTGGATCGGATCGAACTCGGCTGTTGCGTCCCGCCCCGCGAGCTGCAAGATAATTCTCGACCCGCCAGGATGCTCTGGTAGAAACTCGGTCACATCGTAAACATTTCCATGGATCACTACCCAGCAGCTGTCTGATGAAGTGTGTTTTGCAACTGCAGGCGGATAGGCGGTGTTAGTTGTCCGAGGTCGGCGCTAAGGGATTGGGCAATGAACGTGCCTTCTTCTGCGCTGAAGACCTTCGTCATCTTGCAAATACCTACAGTGCACCGGTCCTCGCCGGCCTTTTGCTATTCCAGGGACATGAAGGAGTTGTGAACCCGGTTGAGAAACCTGGGGCCCGCCATTTGAGGTGCTCAGGTCATTTTATGAGTGAAGCAGGAGGCTATGTGGAGTCGGTGCCGATGTCCATCAATCGGGTGCTCGCTGATTGGATTCCGGCCCTCGGAACGCCCGCTGTGTGGTGCCTGAAATCGGCCAACCCCCGCTGTGGGCGAGCGGGTAGGGCACCGGCTGGGGAAATGTTGGCCCCCACTAGGCGGATCCAACTGACAAAAGAGCGGCAGTTCGCTGCAATGCTCACCCGAGAATCAGAAATACATAACGACTTTGTCGTAGCAAGTCCATGGCTGATGAAGTGTACACTACCTTACGGAGTAGGTGTAGCTCAATCTGAACTCAGAGAGCCCTAGAATCAGATATCACTCGGTCGTATGATCCTATCTCGATCCTCTGGCAGAGCCCAGGGTTTATCGAGCCTCCGCATGTATCAGGGATCGACTTGACGATATTGATATGTTGCACCAGCACGCATCAGCTTACGAGATTCTTCTCCTGACTATGCATGCTTGTTTTTGCTCTTCCCAGCTCCAACCTGTATTCCAATGTCGATTTCATAGAAGCACGGCCGGAGTACGGAGTACGGAGGTGCTGTACTGTAATTCGGGGGTTGGTGTATGCCTGTACTCATAAATGGCCCCACCTGCAGGCTTGACAGGGTCTGGTGTCAGGCTGCAGTAGGCCCCGCACCCCACCACCAGCCGCCTGCTCAGCTGGCTCAGCCCCGTGGACTTCCATCCCAGCTTTCCGTTTGATAAGGTTCCAGTAGGAAGTTTGATGACTCGTTCGACCTCTTGTCTATCGATCATCTCGCCCACAGCGCTCACACAACTCCACTTTACCATCACCTCAGCCATCGGACGAAAAGGCAGTGATAAACCCAGCCGACCGACACCCAGCCCACCCGCTCGTCCCTCCAGCCGACAAGCTGGGGTGCCAGCTCTGCAAGATGGCAGCCCGTCCGAAGCTGCGCATCCTCTGCTTTGGCGACTCGCTCACGGCGGGGTACTCGGGGCTCGGCACCGTGTTCCACCCGTACAACGAGAAGCTGGAGCAGATGCTGGCCATGGCGTTTCCGCATCTAGACATTGAGACGGTTGAGGATGGCCTGTCGGGCGCCACCGTCCTGGCTGGGTTCCGGCCGAGGATGGTTGACCAGTGTGGGTGGGAATATCTCTTCTGACACAAACGGTGTGGAAGGCTGACAGCGGTTGCATCGCTTTGTTAATCTCACAGTCAGCTCCAAGAATCCATACAAGACTGATCAAGGGAAATACTATGACTGGGCCATTGTGTTGGGTGGGACAAAGTATGTTTGGCGACTCGTTACTCTGCGTTGGCCTTGACAAGTGCCCGAATTGCCCCTAACATTCGGGAAACAGTGACATCGGCATGGGCGTTCCTCCCGAGGAGGTGTTTGAGAAACTGAAAGTGATTTGGGACATTGCACTCCAGCAAGGTTGCAAGGTTCTCGCACTCACGGTGCCCGAGGCGGCGTTACATGGGCGGATAAGAGAAAGGGTAGACGCTCAGAGGAACAAGTTGAACGATTTGATAAAGGGGTACAAGAGGGACGATTTGTGAGTTTCCGCCCACTCGACTCTTTCCCACACCGATACCTTCTTCCAAGACTAACCGGAGTCGACCACGTCCTGCAGTTACGTGTTTGACCTGCACAAGGCCGTACCGTATTATTCCCTATCAGATGCAGATAAGGCCAAGTACTGGGACGATCACCTCCATTTCACACCAGACGGATACGACCTAATCGGCAACAAGGTCGGCATGGCGCTTGTTAGCATTTTGGCGAGGGAGAAGACATACCATCTGTCTCCTGCAAAGAGGCGACGCATATTCAAGGATGATGATAAGCTATTTGAGGAAGAGGCGGGCGATCCGACGGCGATTGACCAAGGCTATGTCGTAGTCCGACGAGCAGACCTTGACTAGGTGATGTTAGGATCGAAGGACTTGGGACAAAGAGTGGTGTTTGGCGCTCGGTATATCGGAATATAACTAAGGGACTGGGATGGACTGGTGTTGGAGTAGGTTCGGTTGCTGTTATCATGTCTAGACCTTTTCTATTATTCTTCTACTTATGCCACGACCAGCTGCCCCGTACGATGACCGGCATATGTTGATGCCACGAATGAGTAATTCCATATTCAGACACCGGGTATCTGTCATCTCAGGTCGCCATATGAGCAGCGACAAACTCTGGAAACTCCGCTTGCAGAGCATCTGTGACCCGCTCCACATCCTCAGCCAGCGCCTGCACATTACTATCCCACCGCCGCATCTCCCTTCCCACCAGCGCCTCTGCCCTGCCGCTGCCTTTCTCCCCAGACGCCTCGCCGCCGCCAAACCAGATAATTCTGTCGATCTGGTCAATCGAACCGGACAGTCGCCCCTGCTCGATCATTTTTGCCGTCGTGTCCTCCGCCTTATCCCCATCCAGGCCAAGCAATACCCCCAGCTCATCGAACCCGATATTGAGATACAGCCTGCTCGCGCTCAGGAGATTGTGCTCCACTACCGCCCGAGATAGGGGAGTTGAGCCGTCCGACGTCTTGGCGAGCTGATGCGGCGCGAGCCCCTGGGCAAACTTGTCCACCTCGGCGGGGCTCAGCAGCCGGTCAAAGAACATGTTTTCGAGAATGCCAAACTCTTCTAGCCCCGCTGATCGTTCGTCCTTGTACAGCTGGCCCAGCGCCCGGCTCCGCAGCGGGCCGGCGGGGGCTAGGATGGCGCACTTGATGGCCATGGCCAGGGTGTGCAGGCGCTCCTCCTCGGCGATGGAGGGCGAGAAGCTGATGTCGTGATAGCTTTTGGCGGCTTGGAGGAACTGGCGGTTCGAGTCTTGGATGCGGGCGGCGCTGAGGCGGAAGTGCAGGTTCAGCTCCGGGTCCTCGACCGTGTGCATGACGTTCTTGAGTTTGTTAAGGTAGATCTCGGCCGAGGTGCTGTCGTCGACCTCGAGGTAGTTGCGCACGATGCGGATCCAAACGGCCGCCTTCTCGGCGTCGGGCACTCGCCGCTGCGAGCTGTCGAGCGGTATCTCGGTCAGCACCTTGGCCGCGTCGACAAAGTCCTCGTTGGCTTCGTGCGCCCTCGCAACGAGCTCGCGCAGCGTCGCCACCTGCTCGACCAGCGATGAGGCCAGCGCCGTGCGGCTTGTTACTGCCTGGATGACGTGCTGGCCGACCTCGATCCACATGTCGTGGTCGTCGTATTTGCGCAGAGCGGTGATGAGGTCGTCAAGGACGGACCGCGTGGCCACCACGCCTATGGGTTCGGCCAAGAGGTCATCTGCGATGGCGATGAAGGCGGTCGCGATGCGAAGCGGAGGGGCAAAGGACCCGATATTGGCGAGAATGCCCTTGAACTCGGCTGCCGGCTCCTCACGTTCCCGCGTCTCCCTAAGAGCCTGCCTCAAAGCTTCGGAATCTGTGGGCGATGCCATCCTCGACGTGAAGGTGAACTAGGAGATCCGGTTTTCGGGGAGACAGAGGAAGGGAAGATGAAAGCGCCGAGCTTGACAGACAGCGAATTAACGTTACCGCATTCAAAGTTTGTTTGATGGTGGTGTTCGAAAAGCTTTTTATTATTACAATCAAGAATGGAGATACTGCCCACAGCTCCCGGCCAAGGCTGAAGAAGTGCTGCGAATGATGGCTGATGGAAGCTCCCAAGTTTAGTGCTGCAGCCTAGATGAGCGTGGATGTGGGGTTTGGCGGGGTAGCAATCAAGACGTGGACGGTGGAGAGGTCGATGGAGTTTGCCAAGACGATCGCCCCGGGTGGGTCTTAGCGACAAGAATTACAGAGTACGTACTCCGTCGATCCTGTACACACCGCGTCGAGACCGCTAAGTTCTAACCTCTGAGAAACTTGTAGGGCGAAGAAAAGCGAAGAGGGGGGGGGTGGGGTATACTGATCTGAAATGTATGAGTTGGACTTGCCAGATTCTTGAGGCATCTAGCGAGGGAAGGAGCAAAGCAACATTACCGAGAGACTGTCCGGGCCTATCCGTAAAACCTGTGGAATTGAGGCCATGGGGCCTGCAAATGGGATCTGGTGAGGTGACTTCCACACCTGGTGTATAAGAGAGCATGGCAGGAAGGAATTGCACTTCGCGCATTCTGGAATATGAGGGCCCATGGTTATGGAAACTATGTAATCGTCTTCCTCAATTTACGACTTTAGGAAAATAAGCCCGAAACTGAACTGCGGAACCTGGGCAGGGAGGCAGGGAATCGTGAGATAAAGATCGTACGATGGTGGAGGACCAACAATGATGGGGAGCCAATACCCTGAAGCCTTGTCTTTTATTTTCAAAAGTCTGGTGTGGTCCAGCTTAACTACGGTAGGCTTTGCTCGCGCATCAGATTTTTGAGATTTCATTCCATACGTAGCAATTCCTCCCTAATCTCGCCCAACTCAACCCTCAGTCACTGAAGAGACAAGAGCTGCTCTGTCACCAACAATAGACTGAGCGGAGTATCCCCGGCAATTCAATGCCAACACATGATTAACAATGAGGGTATCCCAGCCAAACACTGACGAACAAGCTTCCAACATCTCGACAGATGATGCCAGAACCCAGCAACTTCAGCGACCTCTAGTCCCCAGGCACCACAAACTCCAGAAGCCGCCGCTTCTTCAACGGCTTATCCTGCTCTATCTTGCCTAACGTACAACAGATCCCGCTCAGTGTTGCTTGAAAACGAGTCCGAAACGAGTAGTGCAAAGGAACGAGAATGCGGAAACCTAGTGCTGCAAAACAACCGGCTTGCCCCTCTCCCAATTATCCACCCCCTCGCGGATATTGACCCAATACCTTAGCCGAACAGCCTCCTCCTTGGCAGCCTGCACATCACCGCGCTCGAGTGCCTCGCCCAGCGCCGCTTCGGAGTCCTGGATGCGCGCCTCGTTGGCCGCGCGCACCTCGTCCAGGTCGGCCTCGGTCTCGGCCTCCTCGATGGCCTCGCGCGCCTCGAGCACCGTCATGAGCAGCTCCGCGTCCGGCGCCGTCTCGGCCCCGCGCTCGTCCGCCTCGAGATCCACCCCGTACAGCTCCCGCAGCAGGTACTGCGCGCGCAGAAGCGGCGATGAGAGTGTCTTGTAGGCTTGGTTGATCAGTGCAGATGTCGCCTCGGCCCGGAGGCGCGCGATTGATTTTTGCGGGTTTGAGGACGAGGAGGAGGAAGGGGAGGCTGCTGCGTGGTGGTGGAAGTCGGGGTGCGAGGCGGCTTGCAGACGGAGAAACTCGCGGCGGAGCGCGCGGACGTCGATGGAGAATTTCCCCTTTGGCGGGGGGCCGTCGGGAAGCGTCTCCGGAAAGAGGGCGTAGTAGGTCGGGATGGGCGGAGAATTTGGAGGTGATGATGTCGAGGCGGAGGTGGACGTGCTTGCGTTTCTGGACTGAGGCCAGGTCGTTGCCACGGTGCGCGGGAGCGGTGGTGTGATGGTTCTTCGCATTGTCGCTACTGGTGCCGTGGATAATGCAGCCATGGATTCGACGCTGCGATTTACCAGAGCGCGCCGAGCTTGCCTTCGACACGCTGCGCACAGGTGAGCGGCGGCGCGCCCCGTGCTCGATGTCATCGACGGTCGCATCCTGCTCGCAGGTCCTGTTTTCACTACCGGAAGTGCCGACGCTCTTTTATAGGTTGTCGGGAGTGACAAATTTGCAGCTGCTAGGTGCGTTTGTTTGAAGTAATTCGAGGGCCTTGTTTGGTGTGGTTGGAGGTTGAGAAATAAAAGTTGACGAGCGGCGAGCGGAAGCCGAAGGAAATGACGTCGCCGGCAAAAGGCCGCATAGAATTCACCGATAACGCCGATACCCGAGCAACCCTAACCCGCATCCAGCCACTACAGCAGGCTACCCCTGAGAGCCTACATACTAATTACCGCGCGACCCAGAGATTCCATCTCCGTCCTCCACGGCCAAAGGAAATACAATTCGGTCATGGCGTCGTGAATTACTATGATACTATGAGCAACCAAAATAGTGATACATCCGAAGCTTCCTATAATGACGATAATGCGCGGTCATAAGTCGTGCCCCGGGGACGCGACGCCCAATCTTCCCAGTTAGATGGTTCCTATGCGGCGCACAGCAAACGCCCCTTTCCACTTTCCCGTCCTCCGCACCGCTATCCAACTGCCTGTCTTCTTCGACTTAGAGGGAGGCCCGGCTCACGAAAGCACCAACGGCCTCCATCTCCCGCGTTCCTGATGCCACCACCTTTCCCGATCCTTCTTGTCCACCACCGCTCCACTGTATGTGTTCCAGCGGCCGGTACACCCCTCGCGGGTCCTAACCTGGCCCTTATCACCCGCAACACCGCCCTCCCCATCCGTCCCAGCAGCAGTGCCTTGGTCAAACAGCCCCTTTCCCCTACCCTTCAATTTCTTTCCCCCTTTCTCCTTCTCCTTCTTATCTTCCTCCTCCCGACGACCCTCACCCGTAGGAGCAGGACCCTGAATCAACGCCTCCCCGGCATCTCCAAAAACCATATCCTCCACCGTCACCAGCCCGCCGCCCTCGTCCGTGCCGCCCAGGTGGCCGGCTTCGCCCGGCGCGAGGACGTAGCGCACGCGGGACTCGACGGTGCCCAAGAAGGCACCCACGCCGAACTTGTCCACCAGAGCGCCGTGCTCGTCGATCACGTTGACGAAGTAGCGCGGGAACCGTTGGGCGGCCTCGAGGCGCGCCTGTGCCGCCAAGCGCGCGTGATGCAGGTTGCTGTTCTGGGGCGCCGACAGGGCGAGGAGCGCCCCGGCCCCTGATGATGCCGACAAAAAATCGGTGGGGGGGAACGCCGGGCTTGCCGGGGGCGGCGTGCTGAACCCCGCTGCCGAGGAGCCGCCACCGCCGCTGACGAAGCTCGGCGTGTTGCCCGTGTGCGTGGATGAGAAGCTCGAGGCGTTGCGCGTGTGGCCCATGCCGCTGGTGATGGTGTTGCTGCCGCCAGAGCGGTAGCGATCGGCAGGGCTGTCAATCCTATCCCGCGGCGCGCAGAGCGCTTGGAAGAGGCCCTCCGGGTCATTGGGCGTGCAGAGGGTCCGCAGCGAAGGAAACCCGCCTGCGCTGATGCTCCTGGCGAGAATGGCATCGGCCGCCGTGGCGGCGTTGGGGAGGTAGGGGATGTCCCAGTGGAGGTTGCGGAGGGATTGGGACCCGAGATACGGGTAGAAGATCATCAGTTCGTCGGGCGGCATGATCGGAGCGTATGTCTGTACCAGGTTGAAAGTCTCGAGAGAAGTAAGATAAGCTAATATTCTGGCAATGGCCGGGACGGTCTCGACTTCGATGTGTATCAGAGTGAGCGTCTCGATGGAGGCACTGTTGGGCCGTGTCGCCATGCACGACAGCCCCGGCGTCGTGATACCCATACAGTGACTCAGAGACAGCGTCTTCAGTGGCGGGAGGGAGACGAGGTGAACATCGTTGAAGGCGGTGGGAGGTATGCGGGAGAGATACAGCTTTTGCAGTGAGGGAAGTTCCCTAATCGTGTCTTGCAGCAGGCTCGCCGGGCTCAGGGTCGCGCCGGGCTGGCAGTGGACAACAAGCGTTGTAAGGTGGCGCCAGTTGCTGTGAAAATCCAAAAACAACTGAGACTCTCTTGGCTGGAGATCCCCTTCGCCCCAGCGAGAGTTCTTAGCAGCGCTACGCGGCCTATTCTGCCGTTGGGACAGCGAGGGTTCCAAAATCCAGTTCATCTCCTTCAACTTTGGTCGTGTCGACAGAGCCTGAAATATCCGCTGAAACGAGTAGTCGTACGTCGGGTAGAAGCCTACCAGGCGTTCGAGATTCGGACATGCCATCACCACCGATGCCACCAGGTCGTTGTACTCAACCACGCCAACGCCAGGCGGTAATGCTGGCGGCTTCAGTGACCGCACAATAACCGCAATCTGCGTGTTTGCCCTCAGCGTCCGCCGCAGCAAGACCAACCTCGATCCATATGTCGATTTTGTCCGCTTCTTCATGTGCGGTCCCTCCTGCCCGACGAGGTAAATGTGCTGATACAAAGCCTCTCGAGCATACTTGAGAAACTTGCGAGCGCTGAGGGCGACGGCGCAGCAGTTTCGCATCCAGCACGTCGCACAACTGGTGCTCCCTGGCCGCAGGTGAAGCTTACGAAGCTCGTCGAGAATCAGTTCCAAGACCTCACCTGGCAACGCCGCAAATAGCTCCCCTTGCTTGGCTTTTCGCCGATACGTCTTGATGGGTGCCGGCCTCTGCCAGGGGTAGTAGTGGCCTACGGGACCGCCCTGCATCTGCCATGACGGGCCCGGGCGCGGGCCTACGCCGGGGCTGGCCGGCCAAGAGTCGATGCTGGTTTGACTGCTGCTGACGGAAGCGCTGCGCATACGGCCGTCGAAGCTGTCGCGGCCGGATACGGCGCTGCTCGAATCGGAGCTTGCGCTGCTATTCGACAGCCGCCGTGGTTTGTTGTATCCGCCCGGGCGCTCCAAAGGCGGCAACGAACTGTCCGGGATTGCAGTGGGCATATGAATCAGGGGCACAGGGTCCATGTCCTGCCGCCTACCACTGGGCTGGGAGCCTGTGATCTGCTGCACCCGCACGCTTGCCCGTTGCGTCCTGAGCACGAACTCCTGTTCCGTAGCAGGGTACATGGTGAGCGGGATGCCGAAGGGAAAATCTTCCAAGGTAGGCGCAGCAGTCGAAGAAGTACTCGGCGCCCCGTCGCCAAAAGAAGGGGTCCGGAAACGAGAAGGTGGTTTTAGCAGGGTGTCATGATTGTAGCTGCCAAGCGCTGTCCGTTGCAGAGCAGGGGCAGAAAGGGTATGCCGGTGGTAGCGGTTGAAGAAGGCTGGCGGAGGGCTGTAGAACACAACAGGCACTCAGGGCTCTCCGGTTAGCAATCTGCTTCCGTGTCTTGCTTCCGTATCTTGCGATGGAAGGAGAGGATCGATGAAATGGGGATGAAGAAAAGGGAGAGAGAAGACCAGGGAATCTTGCTCTGTAGGGGATAGTGGGCCAATCGCGATTTTATTAAAATGACTTGCAGATCTCAGCCCCAGGGCGCGGCGACGCGCTCAATAAGTCACCGGGCTTGGAACGCTGGCTTGCCTGCTGGGCTCAGCCCGAGATATTGACTCAGACGCCAGAGCGCGGTTTGCAACTATGCAAGCGCTTGATGATGGCTGCGTCCTTCATCTCTGAGAGCAAGACTCCAAATAGTACGCAAGCTGCATCGAAGCCGAAGCGCTTGCTTGGGCCTGCATCGCCCAGGGGTCACACAACCAACTTGGTAGGACCTTGGCTGAACCGACTTGGGTAACGCCACCAAGAAATGGTGGAAATTACAAGAGCACCTAATTAAGTTAAAGGAAACCGGAGGTGCTGCAGAGACTGATAAAACCCGTCCTTTTGACCCGACCAGAAAACAATAACTGGCCTTTCTTTAGTGACACGACGGGAAAGACATTGTAGGCAGCTACTGTAGCTGCTGGAGGCTCCGAATCTCTGGGCTAGGCATCTTACAATTTTCGTGGGGAAAAGGGGCTTCCGAAGCCCCATGCGATGACACCATGGCGAGCAAGGGACAGGGGTGCGATGCCTCCAAAAAGACCGTGTTCCACAGCGCGTCATTCAGCCTCTCCACCGAAGCCGCCCGACAAATGGGGACACCGCACTGACAAGATCGCTCGGGTGTAGGGCGGGGTAGAAAACCAGAAAGATGGACGATTGGATGGTATGCGCGACAGGAGAAACAGGCGAAGGAGAGGAGGTTCTTGCTCACCCAGAGTGCGTCCGCCTAATCCTCTCTGGTGCGCTGCTGCCGACAAAACTTCTGCTGTCTCGATCGATGCCCCGACTTTCGACAGCCCGGTACGACGCCAAGAACTCGGTCGCCTTGCTGCGGATGGCATCGCTGCTCCTGTCGTCGGCAGCTGACACGGAATTCCGAGTAGCCGTCGTCAACCCTTTCAATGAGGGTAACGTTACTGAGCCCTCGCTATTGCGGCGTCTTGACCTGCCCCTCCATGGCCATGTAGGTCTCTGCGGGGCTGGAGAGCTGGTGCTCATTGTTGCACAAGATGAGACGAGGCTTCGAGAGGGTCTGCCTAGGCCTTCTGCCTGCCCCAACTTCCCAAGCGCTCCGCTTAAGCTGGCTTTTCGAATTGCCCGTAACTATCGTCAGCACGCATTCGAGTTTTGTGAGGGGTCTGGTGTCCGAATTCGTCGCTGATGGATGAACGCGGTGCTCTAGGCCTTCAACCAGGGCCGCATGATGCTTTCATCGGTCGGCCTTCGTCTTCAGAGGAGAGTTTTGATATCTGCGGTCGGTCCAAGTGAAATGAGTCCACGTGCTCGTGGATAAACGAGTATCGGTCAGATGGTCGATGACTCGGGAACTCTTGGTTACACTTTCGACGACGGCGGTATCAAGGGTCGCGTGAAAAGCTGGGTTTAGCACTCGCAACGGCTCAGGTTGAAGGCAGCAGCCATCCAACAGTCAATCCATAGACCTCAACCACAGGAGAACGAGGTCTTGAAATGGGCTGGCTTGGGTGGGGATATGCAGGCTTAAGCACTCTTCTTCATTGTCATCCTAGAGTGAGTTGCGTAAAAGCTTCGCCATGCCATGCATGCAAAGTATGCTAGGCATGCTATAACACACCCACCTTTCGGCGGTCCGCTAAGCTTGTCGCTCGGCCGTGCTCCTCTGCACGTCCGGCCCGGGAAGCGAGACATTGTCTGAATGGTCGGAGCGGACGTCCCCCGCATACCCATGGTCTGAGCCGAGCCAACTGGAATACTGCATTGTAAGTGTACAACACTGTTTGCAGATGCAGATGTCTTTGTGTCGTAGCGTCAATCAGCTGTGGCAGCGTTGCACGCGATCCCGCCCAGAAATACTGCGGCAAGACACCCACTACACACACAAATTCAGGTATGCTGTGTTACACAGCTCGGAAAAGCTGTGAAGTACAATGCCCACTTTTGCGCAGCAGCCCTCGCCCGTCAACTTTATTTCAGCTCGTTCGCTCGAGACATCTCTTGCGCGGGACGACCAGTCGCTGGGCACTGGTGACTGGGCAGACTTCGTATGAACGACAACCGGGGAAGCGCTAGTATGACGGGGCCAATAGTGTCGAAAGGGTTTTGAGTCCCACTTGTGTTTCCCCATCGAGGCCTTTTCTGGGGGATCCTAGAGCCCTCAAAGAGGTTAAGGCTCACGTTCCACCTAGTTATCGGCGAACATGTTTGCAGCAGCCTCTACCCGCCTGCATCTCATAGTCAGCACGGTTCCTGCATGTTGCCGCTCCTAGACCAGCCATGATGGCAACCACCAAACGGTACAGCCAAACGAGCAATCCTGAGGAAATCAGGAGCAGCTCGCGAAAACCATTTCTTAACTCATCGTTGCGGGTCTAGGGCCTGCAAATTCCCTGCCATCGTCCTCCTCGTAAGCAAACCGCACGCGCGGCCTCCGCTTTGGAGGAGAGGCTTCGTCGAAGGTCGGTGTGTTCGACCTGCTGTATTCCGCAGGCCGTTTCTTCCGACTTGCTTCCGCCGCCGCAGCTAGCACACCATTCTCCTTCCTTCCCCGCTCTGCATCCACAGTAACCAGATCCTGGTCAGGGTGACTGACGCCCCGACCGAAGCCTCGGCCAAAGATGAACTGGGGCGTCTGCAGCTTGGCCATCTGGTCCGGGCCTGCGAGGTCACGGCCTCCGCCCGGAAGCGGCAGGATTTTCGCGTTAAGAATCCATTCATAAATGGGCTTGTCGTCGAGGATTGAGCGACACTTCCACTGCTCTGCCTGCGTCATCTCACCGCGTCTCTTGACGATAACTTCCTCCACGCTGCCACGGAGGACAAGTGTCTCAACCGACACGGGCTTCTTCTGGCTGATGCGTCTTGCTCTCCCGATAGCCTGCGCTTCAACCTGGGGGTTCAGCACGGGATTGATGAAGTATATGCGTGACGCTGACTTCATGTCGAGGCCAAAGGCTGCCTGGGTGACGTCCATGAGCATCACCCTACAATCTGTCAACTGTGATTCACCGCAGGTGTCAGAGAGTGTATGGCTTACCGGAACTTTGGATTGAAATTGAACGTTGCCACGTACTGCGCCCTCCGCTCAGGGGTTAAGCCCTTTGCGTATATTAGGTGCTGGACTTGTAGCTAGAGCTGTCCGTTAGCGGAGAAGCGCAATAAGAATTAGAGGACCAACAATCTCTAGGACGCCGGCAAGATAATATGCCACGTTGTCATCCTCGTAAAACACGATAATCTGTTCATGTTCCTGATGCATTAGAATCTGGTCGACCAGATAGGAGAGCTTAGCCGATGCGGTTGAGACAAGCTGGGTTCTCGCAAGCGGTTCCGCAATCCCACTTTCGCCGTGGCCGGCAGCTATGGGCATCTCCTCCTTCTTGGACGGTCCCTTCCCCATAATCACGGAGCGCCGTTTGCTTGGAGAACCGCTCTCCTGTCCTAGCTGGGTGTTTCCGGCAAGCCTTCCCGCCTGGTTTCTTTGAGAAGCCGACTCAACCCTGGAGTCCTGGTCCTCGATTCCCTTTAACCGTGCCTCGCGGCCACGCTCTGCGAGGCGCCCAGTCTCGAATATGATCTGCAAGGATTCCGGAGCATCGACCAAAGGCTGGAGAAACCTTTGGAGTTCGAGAATCATGCGGGAGTCTGTGCATACCGGGTCCCCATCCTTTAAGTCGAGTGACCACGGTTGGCCTGCTCCCCACGGAAAGCACTGCACGTATAGTGGTATCTCGTGGAACAGATTAGAGCATTCCTTGATGTGGTTCTTTTCCGCTAGGCGGCCGGCTGCAATAGCATCACGTAACAAATCGGCGTCTTTGTCGCTGATTGGTATCTTGCCTTCTCGTAGGAACTCTTCAGCCATCTCGACAGTCTTGCAGATGTCGGCAGGTGAGAAAAAGGATCCGCCGAAGAAACTTGATCTCCGTAGGTTTGTCACGAGTTCGATTAAAGCTTTTCTCTGCCGTGGATGGAAAAGGTAATCTTGGTCCTTTCTCTCCGATTGAACAGCATTGGCAATGATCATCATGAAAAAGAGGTTGAGCACAAGGGTGTCTTGATACGAGCCATCGAGGTAGACAATCCTTTCGTCAACACCAGGGAGAAGATGGCTGAGTTCCGATAGGCGGTGCCGTATGATTAGAGACTCGAGTGTGCTCTTTAGACAGTCTGCACGCCCTGCGCTTCGAGGAGAATGCTGCGGCTGCATAACGTAAGTCAGCCAATCCGCTTGTGAATCTCCAACGTCGGTTGGAAGATTGGCCCAAGGACGCATCTTCAGGTAGAAGGCCGCAATAGCGCCGATACGCTTCAAGTCCTTCCTTTCCAGCTCCAGAGAAGTCTCGGCTTGTCGCCTGCTAGATTGATTCGGCCGGCGATCACCTTGGAGGCTAGGGCTGTCGTCGACTCCGAAGAGCCCCTTGGAAGGCGTGCCAGTCACTGCCCACTTGGCTGTGATCTGGAGATGATCGATGAAGAGATGAATATCACTCCGCTTGTGCATCGTAGAATTTCCGAGTTTATGACCCTCATCAACAATACAGCGCTTGAAGTGGATCTGGGCCAGGATGTCGACATCACCGCCGTCCGGATCCTTCCATATTCTCTCGAACTGTGTCGATGAAAATAAAATGATGTCACACTCGACGAGGTCTGTCGCTGGTGGAAGCCGCTCTTTCTTGTCGGCGATCAGGACCCTCAAGCCCAACGTATGTTTGGCGATCTCTTGCTTCCACTGCTGTACGAGGTTCGGAGGCACAATGACTAGTGAGCAGTGGCTGAGGTAGATCTTTTTTGAGGGGAGCGGAATGTCTGGTTGGCGGCGTTCCCGGCGTCGAGTCGGAGGAGGTAGCTCGTATACTCCCGGGTTACTACGTATCGCATCGAGGCAGCGAGGATAGTCTACGCCATTGGGGTCAAGACTCCCGAACACGGTCCTCCAAGGTACCGAGTGGCGGGTAGCGCAAGCTGCAGCCATATCAGCAAGACTGCCGACACGGGGGCGGACGACTGGGTCATTAGTCCGATAGAGTTCAGGGATGGAAGAAGGGATATGCCGTGTTGCAAGAATGAGGGCAAGGCATATCAGGGTCTTGCCAGCACCCATCTCCTCGGCAAGGATGCCGCCGCATGGTCTATCGTAATACTTGGGCTCCCGTAAGCTGGTGCCTGTGACGGCATCGTAGTACCAGACGACTTCCAGCTGATCAACAACTCTCAGAAGCCGGGGATCTAAGATATGCTGTCCCGGATTCTCCCTCTGGAGCATTAGCGCCGCAGATCGGCGTTGGTACACGTACAGAACAGTGTTGAGACCGGGCACATCGCTGTCCATGAGTCTATACGCGGCATCGCGAGCCTCGGGGCCCTGAATCTCGTCGGGATTTGGATTGGGTGATGGTATGTTGTTGAACATTTGTAGGAGAGATTGGTCCTGATTCAGGGGCGAGTCACGGGCGATCAGAGAAGAGGCAAAAGGGGGTGGGCTTATACACCGACGGCTGCTGACCTTCCCTTGCCAGGTGCTTCGTGAATAGTCGAGCTTCCCCAAAAGACTCAATCTCGCCTTTCGCAGCGATGCATCCCAGCGGGGCACCCTGCAATTGTCAACATCATCTGGGAGGATGTAGACACGAACAATGGCTTGGGAAGCATCGTCGAGACTGATGGCAAAGCTCATGCGGATCCACCCTCCGTGGAGAAGAGCCACATACGGGGCGAGACAGCCGGAAGCGGAGGTGAGGCTATGTTGGATATCTGGTGCAAGAAAGCGAAGCTCCGATGAAAGGCCCCCATTTGATATCTGAACTTCGCGACGACCACGTTCGTTATGGTCGGCGAAAGGCCCGAAATGGTGCCACTGCAGTGGTTTCAAAAGCGACCAGACTTCCTGTGGAAAATTCGTATCGGCCTTTTGAAGAACTAAGCATCCTGCTGCAATGTGATTTGGATAGTCGCTTGATTGCATGGTTCCTACTTCTCATGCAAAGTTGCTCATCGCGCATCATCAGAACTGGGGTGCAGTTGACACTTGATAGTGGACAATTGCAGTGGTGTGCAGTGGTGATTGCCTGGAGTCTTGGCTTCGCCTTGCCTTGGCCTGCGGAGCAAGTGGACGAATGAGAGTTCTTGTGGTGGGGCTAGGTAGGTAAAGTGGAGGCAGGCGAGGCAGGCACTGGGCACTCTTGCTTCAGCTCGACTTCCATCGACTTTCCTTCCATTCTTGTTCTGTACGTTAACTGGGCTCAGTTGTTTCTTCATTAATGACGCTTCGAGTCACCGAGAAGGTTGAGGACACCTTTCTCACGCCAACTCCACAAGCCCTCTTATACTCAGTGCACCTCAGCTTAATTCTCTAGATCCTGACTTTCAGGCCTCCCCGGTGACTATACATCGACTTGCACACTCGAAATCTTTCCCTTCCAATCCTGGTTTCAACGCGCACTTTTACCCTCGAAGATGCGGATGCGAATGGATACGCAGCCAAGGAGCACAACGCCAACCAAGTAACGGGAACAAGCTGGGCGCCATGCTTTTCATTGTCCCCGCAACCTGGATCGGAGCCATGCATCACATCTAACAGCGAGCAGGAGCAATTCCCAGGCGGGTGAAATAGTTATTTCAGCACTCATCACTAATGGATAATAGGTGGTTATTCTTTGGCGCCGTTACAAAATCAGTTAAATCTCTGCCAATCGCTGAGATGGGCTTGGTGGGTGTTGGAGCTCCCATCGCCAAGGGGCATCCCGCTTTTCGGCCGATTCCATAAGGTGTACGGAGTACTCCGTAAAGGCAAGGGCCGTTCTCGAACTTCGCCTAGCTGCAAAAGTGAAGGGGCAGAAGGCTCTAAAGCCGACAGACAAGGCGAGTTCCGCCTCACGCTTTTGTTGATGCTGCTCGATCACGCGAAGGTGCAAACTTAGAGCGATTGGGGGGTACGTATTGTAGTGCAGGTCGTCACCAAGGTCCCCTGTCGCCGAGCGCTCGCACGCGGCGCCTCCCACACATGCCAAGACGGCCCGAGGGTCCGGGCCGACACCGTTGGGTCTGTGTTGTTGGCTGTGCCTTTTTCCCCGATCCTAACATGCCTCAATGATCGACCTGCTTCCTCAAGCGCCAAGGGTCAGTGCTCTCCACTGCAATGTACACTTGGCCACCGGTCATGTCGATGCTGTTACTGTCGCTGTTCCACAGCCCTCCATGATCACCGACGCCCTCGCATTGAGCGCACTGCCCGAGAAACTGGCCTAATCGAGCGCTTTGCACGAATCCTGCTTCGGCTTCATTTCCATCTTCAAAAGACTGTAACATCCCAGCCTGCGGCTGATGGCGCTCAGCGGATTGGCTACCATGGCAGAGTCGTGCATCCGCATGTGCAGACGTCTGTCTGCTTCCACTCCGATTCATCCAATTCTAGTTAATGCTGATCCCGGAGCCAATAAGACAGATCAGTTGGGGGAAACGCCTCCTCGCTAATCGATCTCTTCACCATTCCACCACGCCCTTTGACGCCACGTTTGAGCTCGAGCCTGGTTTCCAGGGATTATAACTCGTTCTTGCAACGGGCCCTGGTCCCAGTTCCCCGACACCCTAGGCCTCTCGTCAACACGTCGAATCGTGGATCAGCCTCCGATCCGTCTGAGCTCGTGCACAGCATGGTGGTTATGCTGTGAACTACGGGTCATCAATCTGATGTCCTCGGTACGCCTATAGCGCTGGCAGAACAACCTCACAGCCATTGGATATACTACATAATGCATTGACGTTCGACATCGCATTGCGGTTGTACTCTGAGTCTAACGTTAGTAGTCTCCATGCAGATACCCCAGGTCCGTGATTGGACCAGTCCGGTTGGCACCAAGGGATATATGGCTTAAGGGAGCTCGTGGCCGAGTCACAATTGAGCCAAGCGAAGAAGATCACCGCAGTACTGCAAAACCAAGCCATCGTGTTGCCTCACCCGCAGCCTCCCGTTGGCCATGCCCTTGGACCACCTCTTCAAGTCTTGGGCCGGCGCGTACGCAGCCACGCCGTGGCATGCCGGAGTGGGAAGTGTGTATGATTCGCCCAGGAGGTATGTTGGAACATCATCGCCTCCGTGATGAGATACACCTTAACCTCGCTAGTGAGATCGCCTTGGCTGTACGACTCTCCAACCAGATGCGGGACGATGGGTTTCATGCTTCACAGGCCTACCCCGCCCGCCGTGTCCCCCGACATGATGTGCAGATGTTTATTTATGCGTCCGCGAGAAACAGATTCAACAAATGCTAAGACCTTCCGGTTTGGAATGGCCTTGGGTGGCCGTTCATTTGTTTCCGGATGCGCACAGCGTCTGTTTCGCTACCTGGCTACCCGGGTTCCTCCTCTTCCCGCATCTGAGCGTCGAGCCGCTGTGAGCTAGCCGCCGGTCAAGGTTCAGGGCCCAGGTTTGCTGCCTTAACAGCCTCTCTATGGCCAGTTACGCCGTGAAGAGGGGAAGGGCGTGGACTCCGGTGAGCAAAGCGTGAGGGGAACATGGGGTACACAACAACCGGCTATATCCTAGCGCTGCTATACTCCCTCTTGGTCCGTCCGTTAGGCCTTCAACAAGGCGAGCCAGCCGGCTTGCCGTAGGCAGCTGCTCTTCCAGTGGGGGGGCGAGTGCTGCCAACTCATCATGGTGCCATCAGTGACGGGGGCTTATGCTCAGTTGGCCGCCCTCCATCCCTTCCCGGATGGCTCTTGCCGGCCGCGAACCGGAGCGTAAGCCATCTGTCCCCCTCGCCCCTCCCTTCGCCTCGCCTCCCCTTTCCCCCCTTACCTCTTCCTGCATGTCATTCCCTCCGGCTTACCGTCCCACCGCCTCCGTTGAACCACGCCACCTGCAGTTCCGGTTCATCTCTCGCGAGAATGACTAAACCAGCTGGCCTACGTGGTAGCGCAGGTTAATCTAGCAGCTCCCTAGCTCAGGGGGAGGGGTGTGAGGAACAACACATGGCTAGGAAGGAGATGGCCCGACTGGACGGAAAGGTTGAGCTCATGATCACACGCAATAAAGGGGAGGGCCTGTTGCGATATTGAGGAGTAAGCCAACAACGCTCTTACAAACTGGTCCTTCTCGAGCGAATCACGGTCAGCCAGTATCGATCGTGGGCTTGGAATGACCTATGTCCTCGCCCCCCATCGTTAAGAAAGTCCTGGACTGCTGTCAGACGAATCACGCCTTGATCATGAGGCGCCTCCAATAGAGTCGTCGTTAGTACCCTGCACCCTTGGCCGCAGGCTTAACGCATGCAATAGCAGGCGCCGGGTCTGCACGACTCGAATTTTGGAAGGCAAACTGTTAGCCCTCCTGTCTATGGTTGAGGAGGGGAGGAATGTCGCATACAAGCAAGCTTCTCTTGAGTCTGAGAATACCAGATCTACTGGCTTGCTCTTTCTTTCTTTTAATCACGGTTTGACACCCCATCCTGGGTTTTGGGGAGGCAGCTGAGAACATGCACGTTTGGCAAAGCGAGACGGTGACCCTCAGGGGCAGGCGTAAAGTAGCTTGGGTTTTTGGACCAAAGACGTCAGTGAGCACGAGGAGCAACTGCCTGCCCCGTGGCATGACGGCATGGGCTTGCCTACGCAGTGATCCTCACAGATTTACATTGTGACGCAACAAGTATACAGAATCCATAGCGTAGGTCGGCGTTGTGGATGTAGTGCAGCCACCTCGGATCAACGGGATTGGCGTCCCCATCCACCCTTCCCTTGGGCCTTCTATGCAGCCTTAACCGTCCCCCTTACGCAAGCGAGGGAAAGAGAGGGAAGGGGAAAGAAGATTGGACCTGAGCTGGAAGGATACGACAACTCCCACCAGGGTGTTGGACCATAAATGGGGATGCAGACACAAGAGTCTTCCGTCAGTTACCCTACATGGTCCTAATTTCCCCCTTCCAGCGAGCCGGACAAATGTATACACATTCCCGCCAAGTCGTGTCTAACTAGACCTGCATATTCATATTTTGTGCGTGTCATGCCTTCTCCACTCGGACTGTCCTCCGGACCAGAGTTGCGTGTGCGTACGTGAGAGCTCCCCCATCTCTTGCACCAACCCCGGCAGGGGCTGTCCAGAATATTATGTCCTTTCCATAGGATAAGTACCAAAAGAAGAAAGAAAATAAGAAGAAGATCCGTCCATCGGGCCGAGCTCGGCGGCCGCTTGTCCCCCCACCACACACACCCATCCATACACACACATACGCACGGACAGATCGAGGCTTTGCCAGTCCCCTGGTTGGTTTCGCCCATCCCTTCCCCCTCCGCTACCCTCGGCTCCGCCCGTCCTTCCATTCCCTCCCCTTTTCTGCCCTTCTCAGACTTCTTTCCTGGAGAGAAAAGGAAAAGAACATGCCGATGAATCTGATCTGATCATTTCGTTCCCGGTTGCTCAGCGGCGCAAAGGCCATCGCCCCCCATCCCCCCCTCCTCCCGGCTCCCGTTCCGTCCCGTTCCGTTCCCGTCCCTGCGTAATTTCCAGCCGTTCCATTTCCCAAGGCGGGTAAAGGATGGGAGAGATGGGTGGTGCTAGTGCTGGTGCCCAAAGAAAAAAGAAACAGAGAATTACTTTATCTTCGGTGCTGGTGCCGTGAGAAACGGGGCTCGATGAGTGGAGTCCCTTCTGGAGAAGGAAAATAGCATAGGTGAAGAGATAAGGGGAAAGCCTGGAGGGTCTGAAAGCAAAAGAGATGGCGCCCGTGGTAGTGCTATCATGAATTGCCCATGTTCGGAAAAGGTTTGTCGTCGTGCTCGCGATGGTAGGCCCGGTGCTTTCGTTTAATCAGGGGGATCCGTCTTTAGGTTTGGTTTGGTTTGGTTTGGTTTCGTTCGGTTTGGTTTAGTCCGGCCCGGTTCGATCCGTTTTGGCCCCTGTTTCCCAGCCATGTGTCCGTCCAGAACCAGAGGGGTTATTTTGAGAGCGAAAGGGGTCTGTCTGCGCACTAACTATACGAAGGGCAAGACCGGCCCCCGAGCCCCGGGCGGCACTAGGCGTGAATTTCCCCCGGGGAGTTTCCGACTCAACCATAACAGAGAGGACACCGTCCAGGCTGCATGATGTAACGCTCATGAGGACCCTGGGGGCAAGAGCGCTTGCGGTTGCCGTCGACTGAAGTACCAAAGAAGTGCGCCCCCGGGTCCATACAGGAGGTGTAGATGTAGTAGTTCTTAGTGAAGTCGCACATGTTGGAGGGTTAAATCTGCACAATGTAGACAGAACTAGAATCTACGCGAGCTTTTCAGACCGAGGTTAGCTCTGGAGGCCGAGGAGGATGAGGGAGAGAGGACGGGGAGCCTACTGAGAGGTCTCAAACGGGTTATTGAAACAGCAGGTTAGGTTGTATGACAGACCCAATGTGGCCTCAAAGCGTTGGGGAAGACTATAAGCTGATATCTGGGACAAGGAGGTGCGAGGTGTGATAGAGGGGTCGAGGGAAACTTGAGGATCTGCCCCGATTCATATAAACAGCGAGACAAGGTGGATGGGGTTATATCAGAGATGGGCCCACTGGTACTATGGGCCCACAGCAAAGACAGGATGTTGAGGCAAAGAGCAATATGAAGCGCTAATCAAGGCAGGACATAGTATGGGATGCCCAATCTGGTAACAAGACAAGCCCTGGCGATGGCGGGTTTGCTTGGTGGTGCCGGAAACAAGAAACATGAGCGCCAGGGCGATATCAGAGCGACATCAGGGGTGGACAACGGCGCTGGATAGTGAGCTTTCAGTCGCGGAGTGGAATGGAGGGTGCAGGTGACATTTAGGCGCTTGAAGCAGCCCCAACAGCGACCGTCAGCTTCGGGAAGGTGAATGACGTGTAGGTCCACGAAGTCACTGGCAATCAGCGTATATTCTGGCGTGAAGAGAAACGCGCAGAGTGGGTAAAACGAGGGCCACAAAGGGGAGGGGTGATCGGCTGCTGGAAAGGGATCCAGGAACAAGGAATGGTATAATATACGGCTTGGCTGTTCTCGGTCGTGGAAAGGAGCGGGAAACAACCGAATGGGCAATGTCCCACACATTGGGTGCTATAAGCCGCCGACCCATAGTTAGCTGATGTATCATCGACCGAACTTTGAACAAAGAAAAAATGCGAGAGAAGGTCCAAGTGGTACTGTATGTCGTCCATCCGGACAGGCCACCCGCAGAGGCCCTTGGCTTGGATTTGGCAAAACGGATCTGATGTGGGGCGCAGCGAAAAGCAGCCTCCGTGCGTTGTGTAAGTGTATGGACCTAATAAAGTGATCCAGGGAGTGTGTAAGTTACGGATGTTCCCACGTTCTCCTTGCAGTCCCACCTCTGCCAATCCCCCACCCAGGACAAGTGGAGGTCCCAGGGAAGTGTCAAACATGGCTGGACATTCGTTGGATAAATTGGGACGTATGTAGGATTGGGGGTGGATGCTTATACTAGAGCGAGCAGAACGTGGCAAACCGATTTTGCTGTTGGCAGCTTTTGTGGGCTGCCGTGCTGAAATGTTTCTGCCGATTTTACCTCCGGTACAATACCTACAGTAGGCACCTTGACGGCAACCATCGCCAGCGCTGAAATCTTTTTGGTAAAGAAACCCTGGAGCAGGGGTGGGATTGAGATGCAGCTCTGCCACACACCTCCCTGAGCAACGTGTGCATGCTGCGAGGTTAATCTGTCTCTCAGACTCACCTAATGCGACCTTGCAGTCGCGAGTCGACGGTTTTCGCCTGGTTTCGCCTCCAGCTGGGCGTGCTGAAAAGGGCAATGCTGTCTTTGGAGCCAGGGGGAAAGGATGGTGGGGGAAGATGGTGGGGTTCCTACCCTGACAGGTCCACCTGTCTCTCCTGGCAGCTTCCGATGGGGAAAAGGAGAACTGAGGAGAAAGGGCGAGGGTTCACCCGCCATTGACCTGACCGCATAGGTATCCGAGCTAGCCCCGGGAAGCCCCGGCGCCATCACCATTATTTCGCAACGTTACTGCTGTGAAATGTGAATGATATGATGACTGCGAATGGATGTGATGAATACGCGACAGTGGAGCGCCAAACCCCTTGCGGACAGGGTTGCAGTGGGTTCAGTGTCGCCTCGATGCGTTCCGACAATCAGGGGGTGTGCTACACTTGGCCTACAGATGAGCTTGGACTCCAGATTGGCAAATGCCAGAGTATTGTTGCCTTTGTTACTTTTATTAACGCACTGACACTGATGAAGAAACGAGCGACGTGGGCGCCGATGAGAGCGTGTCCACCCGTCTTTGTGGCCCTGCAGATGACGATCCGGTACTTGGTATCCTGTAATCAACTTACACCCTCTCTGCCTGGTATAGAATTACGCGCATTGCGTGCATTGCCTTGGCCCTAATTATTAGTGGTTCCTTACAAATAGATTCGTGGCGCCTTGTGGATTGCGAATATGGACACACAATGCCAACATGGAAGTTAGCTCCTGGCTGCTATAGCCGGAGTGCAGGTGACAGCTTGCCGAAGGGCCGGCAGTTTCGAAACCACGCATGGGATGAAGCCGAGCAGGACAACCAGTTGGTGCTGTCAGTTTTCTGTTGTCTCACGAGTCGCAACCGCCAGCTGGTGGTGCAATAATCAATTATCTTCCCCGATTCTGGTTTTGAACATTACCGTTCCTGGAGAACAAGCACCCAGACTGAGCGCCGTGTTGTACGGACCTTATGTATGTTTGCCGTCTATCGTTAGAGCGACCAGTGAAATGAAGCAGGGACACAGGAGTGCCGCAAAACTCGAGTTCAAACAAACTGAGCCTTGGAAGGTCCGCCGTTTGCAACTTCTCTCTACGTGCCAACCGAGGCTCGACTGGCCAAGGGAACAACGCTGTCGGGTGTCATTTGTTGAACTTGAAGAGACTTGGAGGCAACGGAGACAACTGATAAACCAAAACTGCCCCGCTGAGTGAGTGGGGGGGGGTCTTGGTAGTGTAATACACCGTGGGTGCCGAGCTCACCGCTGTGACCGGAAAACGCCAGGAGAAAGCGGGTCCTACTTTTGTTACGACTTCCCGAGTCTCCCAGCGCGCAGCAAGTCAACTCGACAACAATTGAGCTCCCTATATTGGCCTGTATATGGCATGCGCCTTCCGGATAACCACGTATATATAGGTAGTCTAACCCGTAGCATCTGATTGTATAGTCGGATTGATGGCGCGCGCAATGCGCGTAGAGCTATTGATGAGGCTCTATTTTTACAGGATTTCATAGAATTTCACAAATCTTTCAGCGAAATTTTCACCATTCTTGGCAAATCCTTGGCAAACAGACTCAAAGAACGACCAAAAAACGGCCATTTCAATTTCATCAATATCCTTATGCGTATTGCCCGCGCCGTCAATCCGACTATAGAACTTGATTCTACGGGTTAGATTACCTATATATACTTGGTTTTCCGGAACGCGCATGCCATACGTAGGCCAATATATCGAGGCGAGTTTTGGGGCTCAATAGCAGTTGAGTCGACTTGCTGCGCGCGTGCAGGGCACCCTACTATGGCCCTGGGACCCGCTTTCTCCTGGCGTTTTCCGGTGACAGCGCCAAGATTTGATGGTCAGGCCCAAGCACCGCTCTGCGCTTGGTGTAACCTGATCACCTCATTCATGCAGCCAGGTCACAGTGAGATGATCGTGAGGAAGCAAGATCCGAATTCGGGACACTCTTGATGAGACGATTGGCTGGCGAAATCAAAGCTTGGCTTGCGCACCCGGAACCAATTAGTTAGGTATTTCTCTGTTTTCGTCAACCTACGGAGAGAAATCTCAATCGTGCAAAGACGAGGGGCAAAACAATGCTCGAGTTCGAGCGCCATTTCGAGAGTAGGACCGAGCGCATCCATCGTCTTCCATGGCGCCGACAGCCCTCCGGCTGTCCTGTGTTCCAGGGCGGACTTGCCCCAGCTGATGAATGAGAGCTGATAGATAGAACTCTCAACGTTAGAAGAGAACTCTGCAATTCGGCAAGCTATGCCTCAGCCTGTTGATGTGAGGCTGCCCGCACCTGCAGCTTTCATCGAGAGGTGACCGATCGCATCACCGCTTTAGGAAGTTCCGGCGAGACCCATGCGGCAAGTCGTCAAGCTCGCTCGCTGCCCTACGCTAGTGAACTGCTCGAGAACCCGGGGTAATTACCTTGGGTACTGTACTGCACATACAGTACAAACCGTAGTTGGAAGATGGTACCGGTACGTTCTTAACCCCGAGTAATCGCGACTCACAGGCACTCCATCTGCGCGCAAGGGCCGCTTCTGTGTAACACCTTCTGGCTCACTTGGCTATTCAACGTGGATCTCAAGGCTCAGTGCAATCATGGGCACTACATTGATGTGTGCGGACTACAGTTTGGTAACCATTCATCATGGAGCATAGCACTTGAAGTTGCCCATTTCCCGTTGTGGTTGTCATCGGTCGTTATGGATGGTCTGAAGTTTTTGGAGCCTCCCTGCACAATGCTGCAGCCCTGAGGAGGGTTATGCAGCCGCAGACGCCGCGCCCGTCCCATCATTCTTTGAGCGCCCTTGGAGATTGGTGCGCAATCTTTGTGTGAGCGCAACGGGCGGCCAAATGCAACGCCGGCCGACGCATCTTCCCCAAGCTGGCGATCTGACAGGCTCTCATTGGATGTCTCCAATTACAGCCCCTGTTGAGCCGGCCCGTGGTTCCCGATCCCGTACCCGGAAGCCGAAGTCGAGCGAAGCTACTCCGTATCATGGCGAATGTTAAGTTCCGGTAAAGATGCGACCAGAGCTCCCGATTCAGTTTAAGATGGTGCTGCCCATCGATTCCATCACCGATGCAGTGAAAAATCTGACAGCTCCCGAGACATTGATCCGCCCAGATTGTTGTCCGTCGTCATTTGTCCTGACGCTAATATCCCAGCGTGTGCGGAGGGAGGTATTGTACGAATACTCCGTAGTGAGCGGATAAGTTACAATAACGTATCTTATCTCATGTCCTGTACCGTAAAATACAGTACCAAACCTCTTCCGTGCACTGAAGTGACTGTTGAGACAACGTTGCAAGGGTCCGAAACATGGTAACAGCAAAGGCAAGTACGAAGTATGTACTCCGTACAAGTACAGTACATAGCTACCTATGTACAATCAATGTATGTATGTACTATCAATGTATGTATGTACTGTACAGTACATCGTAGAAACTTATTGTGCGTGCAAGGATTTGCGAGCCGCCGCGCTCGAGTTCTTTTTCATCTTCCTCCTTCCATGGATGTTTAGGCGCCCCCGCAAGCTTTTCCGATTGCAGCCGCGCGAAACAAACAAATCAGGTATGTTACTGCGCTAACAATAAGAGAGATAGCAGGCAGTTTCCCATCGCATATCCTAAAGAACGACGAGTCACCCCAACCCACCCCTGCTCTCAAAACCGAGGCATTATCTTGACCGTTTGCCCTCGTCTCGCGCGCTTCGCATCATGGTAATATCAAGGATCTGGGTGCTTACGAAGTATACACAGTACATAGTGTAGGCTATGTTTGCTTGATTTAAGATTTGGGGTTAGTATTAAGCCCGAAGTATCCGTAGTGTACGTACCTACCTGACGTGACTCTGCCGACGGGATTCGCCGTCCCATGTTGTCAAAACAGCCTCACCGCCAATGTCGGATGTTTTATGTGAGCCGTCCCTGCCAAGCCAACAAGATTGTGGGGAAAAGAAAAGGTGAGCGAGATCTTGAAACCCAGGCGATATCGAAACACGTGGCCATCTACACTAGCGTAGGTAACAGTGCACATGCGCACTGAACTTCAGGCTCGGTCGCTCGAATGAGCTAGGTAGTAGTTGGCTCCGGCGACAGTGGCATCAAGACAAACTCACCACTCGGAGAAGGGCCGAGGCTGCAAGGCGGCTGGCGCCGGCGGCTGCCTGCCGTCACGGTCTCTGCCGGCGGTACGGATATTGCTCAGCAATTCACAGGTGACAAGCCGGCGTACGTCACTACAAGACAACACTACTAGTACATCCATGGTAGACTCTACACGCGCCACATTATCGCTTCCGCACCCCGTCGGTAGTAGGTATTGTACAGTACGTGTGCAAACTAGAGCTCGCCTCGTACTAGTGCTGTGTGTACAGTACCACGCTGCCATGTCGCGCGGCTGTCAGCCGCAATTGCATCCAGGACCAGAGAGTGTTTGAACCTGCATTCGGGTTATCCATAGGTAGCCGGCACCTAAGCCTGGGGGCCTTCCAAGCCGAGTTCACAACAACTACCTACAGAGGTGCGTTTCTTACTCGACCCTGACGTACTTACAAAACTTCCTCATAACAACGTCAACATCACGAACCCCCGATTGTTCTTTAGTCGCTTCAGTGGCTCATCGTCCAAGTATACATCCAGTACTTCCGAGGGCGCCCTGGCCCTACTACCTAAGAGTTTCTGAAACGGGAGCCAGGAAAGTTAACTTATAGTACTCGTAAGACTGCGGGTCAGCCATCAGCGGTCCTGGATTTCAAAGTCCTTGTAGTAACGAACGATGCTGGTTGCGTTCATTAAGGTATCCAGCATGGGTACAGTACATAAGGCACCTTAGTGTGAATTTAAAGGTAAGTATGTACCTTACCGTATAAGGCAGCATGTTTATGTGTTTCTCAGGGGTCCCTGCATCACCAAGCGTCAAACATTGCACCCACGGACGAGTGGATGGCGCGATGGGCCGAACGCGGGGTCGAAGTTCAGCCGCTAGACCGACACTACTAGTAAGGAATCAAGGTACATCAATTGTCCGACACAACAGAGTGCTTTGTGCTTTTGGCTCTCGCCATGGTCAAATCCCTTGCCTTGCTTGATGTTGCTGGCAGTCAAGTAGAATTTAGATGATGACGGACTACACGTGTACTACTGCAGTCTGGCGACATACTAGTACTATACTTACCTACCTATGCTGTAGGCCGAATACTGGGAGAAGTGTGCCGGAAATTGACGGTTTACCCACCCTTTCATCATACCATATGCTCCCCACAATCCCACATACCGATGAATGCGAGGACAACCTATGGGGCGGGAAACGCCACGTCGGAACCTAGTGACGGTAGAACCCGAGTGTTTCCCGTCCTATGCCGAGAGTGGCCTGTTCCCGTCCAGATTACAGTGGCGCTAACGTCTATCTATCGATCCGCAAGAATATAACTCAGTTACCTTGGCCTGGTACTAGTAGTAGTACTACTACCTAGTACTTTCACTTGATATCTAGTATGGGCCATGGACACTAATAGCCTAAATCAGAATGCTACTACTAGTATCTACCTTACCTACCTCAGGTACATAGCTACTTACTTACCTTAGCAGTGGCAGCCAGCCGCGCGTGCAATACGCTAATGTCAGCCCTTGCTGGCCGACGGATAGGGACTACTAGGTACCACAACGGAGTAACCGGCGGCGTCCGTGTTTAGGTTGTGGGCAAGCATAGCCGAGTCAGGCTCTTTACATACTGTAAAAAATCTTTATAAGACCAAATTGGAAGGCGACGGAAATCGAAGGCCGTAAGAAAATGAGAATTATCAGACATGAACTTTACTGTAAACGCAGTGACCGCACTAGTAGTAGCAAACAACCTAATCAAGCTTAATCCAATATCCGTTCCACTTCCAGCGAGATCATTTACTCCATTTCAGCATTTCCGGCACAGTCCTGGGCCCGGTTGACAGCTCCAAGTAAAATCTGGGTCAGCCTCTCCCTGAAGGGTTTGTCAATAACCCGCGGGCTGTCCCAAGGTCGCGTATCGACAATCTAAGTGGTAGGAAAGATGAGTCAGTAAGTGCTCCGTCGTTAACTCCAATGACACAAGACTCACATCTCTAACAGAGTGCTTCTCCTTCAATGCATCATCCAGCGACCGTAACCACCTCGCGGCATCATCATCCTTGCCAATCTGCAAGAACTGGATACCGACCTGGTTGGGATGCGCACTGAGGCTGTCTAGCCTCTTGGCCACATTGACGATGATATCTTCTACTCCTTCTTTGTCCTCAGCAGCGCCATCCGTGATGACGATCAGGTTGAGCATCCTCGGCTTTTTCATCTTTGGCCTGGAGCGGTCACGGCTACTCTGCCATGTCTTCCACGCCTCGAACCTGTCGACATAAGGACACAGGATATCCCAGAGGCGGGTGCTGATGTAGGTCCCGCCGCCTTGCTCGTCGGGGCAGACTTCCTTCGTCAAGAGGTTAAGAACCCGCTGCCCTTCTGTGATGCCGTCTTCGTCCTTCTCGTCCTGGTTGAGGAAGTGGACTTCGACCCCGTCCTTGTCATAGTGGCAAACAATTTCGACCGTGTATCGGAGACTTTCAATGAGTTCCTCCCACCGAGATCTACCGCTGTCCGTGTCGGTTTCCACCATCGAACCCGTGTCGTCCAGCAGGAAGACGGTGTCGAACGCACGCAACGCGGAGAAATCGCTCGTGTGCTCCCTGCCCTTCTGGACTGGCTGAATAAGCTCCTCAGCCTTGACAGGTTTCACATCAGGAACGACATTCCTAAACGATTCGCTCGGCCACGGATCATCCGTCTTTTCGGGACATGGGCTAGCGTCTCTCGTTGGCGGCTGTCCCAAGGATGATCCAGACCTTCTTGGGCTCTTGCAGTCGCAAACCGGGGAAGTCGGATCGGCAGGCTGAGCTTGAATGAGCGTACCGGACAATCCCGGGTACGGGGGAGGCGGTGAGCTCCAGGATCTGCTGCGTAAGGGCTGCGGCTCAAACGGGGGTGACGGGTTCGAGTCTCTTCGGAACGATTTCTTGCTTGGTAGGGTATCCTGAATCATGCGAATCATGATCTCTGAGACATGGAGATAGTCCTTGTTGTGAGGGTGATCGAACTTGATCATGGTCCTATGGTCCCCGTCTATTCCGATGGTCCGCGAATTGAAGGAACTGATAGCCGAGTCGGGCTTGGTCACCTAGGGGTCATGTCAGATAATGCTTCGTTTTGAACCAGATATTACGGGGAGAGCGCCAAAGGTATGGACATACGAATTTGAGGTTGAACATGGGCGATTTCTCAAACGCTACTACAATAGGGAATCCCGTCTCCCGATGGCTTCGTAGCTGATTGAACTTGCCTACAAGCTCGGCTAATACTTCGGATTTTGTTCTTAGGCTGTTGATTATTGCTTCGTTGCCGCCGAGGAATTTGGCGAACTTGTGGGCAAAGTTTGCAAGTGATGATCCCTCCTATAAGATATCAGTATCCTTTCCTTTCAAACGACTAGACACTGGGCAACTCATCAAACCCTGCGGATCGTGATCTGGATTGAACGAGGCAGTAGTATTAACTGGGAACGGGGTAACTCACGAATGGAGTCCCAAAAAATATTATGCCCTTGACCAAACACTGGCCGTTCTGAAAGAAGATGCCGCGGTAATGCTCCTGCAACTCAGGCTTCGAGGGATCTCCGCGCAGAGCATGAATGAGGGCCTGGCACGTAACAAGGCCGCCAAGGCTATGACAGGCGAAATACATGGGGCGGCCGGAGCCCTGTTCAGCGGATCAGCTCTCTATCTGTATGCCTACTTGCTGGTCTAGAGTATCGCTTCAGTTGAACTTCTCACCTCAGGGCGGTCTGTTCTAATCCTTTCAAGGAGGTCCTCGGCTGCTTTTTCGATGGTCATTGTCGATGAGTAACTCTGCTGCGCGTGGGCGTTGTAGCCAATGGTCGAAATACGCCCTGCGAGTTTGGGACCGTCGGGGTCAAGGCGAGAACGAGGTCGGTTCTGGATGTCCTTGGCGAGGAAGTCTCTTGGCCACATGCTAGGAGTGCCTCTGTTCAAGTTGGAGCTCCAAGATCCGAATGCATGCCCGCCAAGACCGTGGACGAAGTACAGACTTGGGAACGATGGTTAGTAATCTGGTCAAATACGCTCTCTGTTGGCGAGGGGTGCTCACTCAAACTCGGGGTTCTCGTGCTCGGCTAACGTCGTGACGCCGAGAAACTCATTGCTCACGGCAATCTGAGACTCGGTAACCGTGGTTGTCGGGTTCCTTGGGTAAAACGTCTTGAGGTTGAGACTGTCCCGTAATGTACGACACAGATACTCGCTATCCTGCCGTATTGTCACAACGGTACACAGTGAGGGCCTGTTCGGGTCCTTCACCAGAGGACCGACCACGGGATGTGCATTTGCGCGTCGTCGATTGATATGATCGCAAACATCCTGAGCGGTGGTACCCGGGGGGAGATCGCGGACTGTGAGAGTCATGTAATAATCCCTACCCATCATAAGAACGGCGTCGGGCAGCTCGACGAGGTGTATCGAGAATGATCTAATTTTGTTGTTAGATTCAGCAATCGCACCCGAGTCAGGAATCACCAAGGCACATGTCGTCTGAGTTTAGCGTCACGTTGGCCAGGACGACATGGGCTTTTGAAGTCTTCCGAAAGAGCCTCAATCGCTGTGTGAGTACTAGTATGCGTGACCCGAGTCGCTCTCAGCTCTGGACGAGAGCGGTAATCCGGTTCTGCGATGGCCATGCAGCCAGCCCCTCCTCGTCTCATAGGCTCTGAGAGGGGGACTCATTCATCCGTCGAGCAGGTGTATGCCGTGTTTAGCAAGTCTCCCCAGAGCAAGAAACAGTTAAGGGGCTAATCAGATCCTGCCATGTCATGCCGATGGACATTCAGTCTATGTTTCCCAAGCGCCCAAAGGTGGCTTGTAGGTTGCCTATCTACCAGCTTTGGTTTTCCTTGCTCGCGTGATGGGCATTGAAAGCACCTACTAGTAGGGAAGGCACAGCAGTGACTTCGGTATAGCTCGGGCCGGAATAGTCGCACAACCTAACAGCGAACTGTAGGAATTGGGCATACTCTTCGCAGCCTCGTCAGGCATCATGATATGGAAAGCTCAGAATCAAATGCTGGTGAACGCATGGAAGGGCTTGGTGTCTTCAACGTGTATGCTGCGAAGATCAGGACCCTGGTGAACGAAAACTGGACCCTGTCTGCTTTCTTCTGGGGAGATTTGTTTGTCGAGTGGCAGATCTGCAGTCTGCAGTCTGAATCATGGATGGACGGATGGATTTGGAAACCGCCTCCCGCGTGCAACCACATTTCTTAATCGTTCTGGTTCTGCCATTGGCAGGAACGATCCCCAACCTGCTCAGTGCTGTGAAGCCCTGCAGAGGTGCAAGCCAGAGTACAGTTTGCAGAAGGAGGGCCAAGACGCACCCACGTGCTGCATTTACTACCTCCATTTCAAACCAGCGCCGTTGCCGATATATTTCGTCGTGATTGTCGATGTGGCGGGCGCAAGACCGTGGATCATCGTCGGGCCCTCGGCTAAGCCCGTTGGGCTTTGGCTGCCCAATATACCTACTCAGTGCGCGCTCCTTGGGTGCTTGGCAGAAACATGCCGTTTGCTCGCCTTGTTTTGGCGTTGATTGATGGTTCTTCATTCGCCCATTCGCCGGCCGAACTTCGCCTCAAAGGTACAAACAGCATCTCCGCGCGGCCCCAGCATGACGGCGAAAGAATTCGTCAGCGAACTCCGACTACCTCATGATAAGTGCCGGCACAAGGCCCTTTCTGACACGGCAACCCGGCAACCCGGCACCCCGAGCAAGTAAGTCATTCTGGTCTCATCGCGGGTTTGCGGGTGTCGCGGTAAAAAAAGGGAGAGAATAACATGAACTCCATGAAGAGCGTGAAGAGGAAAATCACACTGAGTACAACAAAACCATTTTGATCGGCTTTGAAGCTCCCAAAGCTACTACCGAAAAGGACAACGTGACGGAGAGAAGACAAACTGATTGAAGCACTAGGGGCAGGCAGTTGAGCAAAATTCGAACAGGAGAGCACTTACCATAATATGGCACAATCACGGCAGACTTGGACTCAGGAACCGTTCCGTCTCTCAAGGATCCTGACTGCCCACTCTCCAAGCATGTGATACCAGCCCATCGAAACTTGAACCAACCACCGTGGCCTCCTCTGCCCTCCCACTGCACCATCCCGGCCACCATCTCGTCCATTTGCATCTTGCAAACCGTACCATGAATAGCCACTTCGTTGTCTAAAGCAACATCGTGATGTTGGCGGATGGCCTACTAGTACCTGCCCCGGGCCATTCCCCCCGCCATTCCCTGGTGATTCTGTGCTGCCGCTACTCCCAGCCTAGGCCCTGGGGACCTTGTGCATGATATGGAGGGCATGCTTCGTTCGTTTGTGACGTTGTCCACAGCTACACTAGATGCTACTCGTGGTTAGGTGCCTAACCGACGAAAAATGTGGGGTATTTCCCGAACCCATGGATCGATGACGAGATTTTTGGAGGAGCGGGTAATGTCCGCTGACGAGATATGCATAAATGCTTTGATAACTTGATTCGTAAAGCCAAACCGGCAGGGATCCCCGATCCAAGGGTACGGCACCCGCGGGAGTTGAGGCTTCAAAAGTGCAGACTCTAGCCAATAACAGCCATTTGATGTAAGCTGATCAATCAGATTCGAGGCCTATTTTACTGTGACTTCCACTGCAGATTTCGGTGGCAAGAAATATAGTCCCATGTGGAAGGAAAATGAACAGGGGATCGACTGTCCAGGAATCATGCCTCCGCTTTCCTACCGCGCCGATTCACGTAACTCATATTGCCAAGTCAACCTCTTCAGGTATATATATACGTTAGCTTATGCTTTTGAGGACGGCAAATCAGGTCCTTGACGGTCTTACACCTAGACGCGACTGGTTTTAAGCCGTGCTGTTCCGAGTTCCCTCATGTTGGGTTTTCTTTTCAATGGTAAGGAGGGTGGCTAGCCGAATGGCTTTGCCGGGGCTCCATCTCAACGTGTCACGAAAGAGCAAGTCGGCGTATTCAGCGATGCGTATTGAAACACTCATCGCTTAGAAGTCCATGTTTGGGTGATTAGTCCGGTTCAGAATGGGTCGTTTGGGCTCATAGGCGTTGGCCGGCCACTGTGTCAATTTGTTCGGTATTCGACCGCATTGAGAGACGTGAACAGCAGAACAGGGCCCAGCAGCTCTGAATAAGATCCATATATTGGAAGGGAAACAGGATGCCAGATATCTGGCTCGTTCTTTCGTTTCTCAGAAGCGGCCTGGTCTTCTCGGCGACTGACCTTTCCCTACAAATAAGATGATCCGCTATGTCGAAGACTGTACTGATCTGTCTTTTCATGAGAGGATCGTGAATGCTGGTCAAGTTACCTTTGCTGGATAACTCTTTTCTAGAGAGAAGCTGGTAATGCAAGCAGCAATACTCGGTGATTACGAACCACGGTAAGTAGGGTAGATAGATCGAATGCCCTAAGTTGACAAAGAACAAGGAAATCTATCTGGGATTGCTGCGCCGGGAAAGCTAAGAGCCAGCCAAATCTATGGTAACAGCTCAAGGTTTGTCATTCCTGTGGGGTTGCTGGAATATTTTGACGCGAAATGATATACCCGCGATTTGGCACTTCGTTAGCGGTTCTGGGTACTTCGCAAGGGTGCCCGACCTGTTAGTGCAGCCAAAATTTTGTATGCAAAAATTATCCTCTCGACTACCGCTCTTAACAGGACCTCCGGCTTACCGATGTCCTACTCCCCCGACTGGGGGTAAAGTGAGAGAAGGAGCCGAGTCCCAATCGAGTCAATCGACAAGCATAGCCAACTCCACAGATTGGATCAAGGTCGCGATTCATGGACCGTGGAACCTTATAATCTCAAGGCGCCCTTGACCTGCCAGGTGCCGAAACTACATAAACTGATCTTGTGTGCTATGTGACTGTTTCCGAATTTGGTTATCGCACCTTCAACCTGACCGCCAGAGGTTGGGTGACCAGACCTGAGTCACGACTGAACTGTGATAAGATTAGTAGATCAGATCAGATAAGTGGAATTAGCATGGCACGTGCTTGGTGGATCCTAGCATAAACATGACGGAGCTTCCCGTCTCTGTATGCACTTCGAGCTTGAAAAGCTCCCGCCAGCTATTCTTCTTTGATTTTCACGAACAACAGAGTCTAGGCCGGTAGATACGGGATATTGCAACGTTCCTTCAAAAAAGGATGCAGCGAAGCTTCAGGAACAGGCCCTGAGGGCCGGCTTATGGCAGGTCAAAGTTCTTGTCTCTTTTGGGCAATGATCGCCATGGGCAGCTCTCTCGCATCGAGAACCCCGGGAGCCGCACTCCAACAAAGGCACGAAGGAATCCAACAATGGTGGCAATGCTTGGATTGAATGAAGCTTCGCCTTTGATAACCTAACAAGCTGTGATATCGCCGAAGCTGCCGTGCTGCATTGTGTCGGGGTTTTCAAACTGGTCGTCAAGAATGTCGAGGACACACAAGCCTGCAATTTTTTCTTTTGTTCCCTTTTTTTGTCTCTCTTAGCGTGTCACAATTTCGAAAATTCAGACGGTAAGCACCTCCACTTTTTGACTGGGCCTTCGACGGGCAGCTTGGCATCTCGGGCGCCATGCTCGATGACGTAGGGGCTGTCATTTCCAAGGTCTGGTCGCGCCCGCCCTGGACTTCCGATGAGTGGGCTGGCGGGTCGTCGCTGCCAGGTCAGGTTCGGTCATTTGCCGTGACCAACAAGCGAGCCAACCCATCACTACTAGAGAAAGTGCTCTACAGTAGGCTAGTGTATGTACAGTTGCCCCGTCCTGGCCCTTGGCCGCTGCTGTCTTCAATTCTTCGCTGTCCTTCAGAAGTCTCGACCTCGTAACTGACCGCCGCCCCCAACTTCCCAGACGTGTACTGTTGCCGAATCCAGATACGACATTAGCCCCTTCGACCTTTTGGCACCGCCTGTAAAACGCTATCGAGGCAGCTGAACTGCCGGGACACATACACTACACATACACTGCACATACCTCCACTGACATCCTTCCATCAAGCACCTTGCTTCCAGCCAACTGTTTCCCGCTTCCGTTGCTTGCTTTCCTCCCCCCTTCCCCCCCGTCGCCCATTCTAAGGGGGCCTCCCCGTCGTGCTTGGCTCGCATCCTAACCTTCCCTCTCGGGAACTTTCCGCCTCCCCGCCTCGCATCAGCGCCTCCTAGCTGAGGGCGGGGCACCTGAAATTGCTGATACACTACGTATCATGTCATTGTCTTGGCCGTTAGGGGTAACAGTCTTCTCAGACGGCCAACGTCTTGCCTGACCCGAATTCCCCGCCCTCGGCCCTCCCTTGTTCTCGCTCGCCCGCGTCAATGTTGCGCAAGGCAGGGACACACTGGCGCCTTAGTTGACCGAGATCTTCGGGCCTCGCTCCTCGGCTGACCTGTAGGCTGAAGCCCAGAAGCCGTACCGACGGCTATCGGGCCGCCTGCGAAGAAGATGAGCGACCTCTCCACCACGCCCGTCACCCAAACTTCGAATAACAGCTCCTCTGTGCTTTTCCCGTCAGGGCCCGGTCTGCGAAAGGAAAGGGGCGCAATTGCGGCCCAGGTATGCCCCCTCGAATTTTCTTAGCCTGTCCATTGCATTGTTTTGGCTGACTCGCTCTAGGCGTGCGATACTTGCCGCAGTCGGAAGCAGAGATGTGACGAACAGAGGCCCAAGTGCGGCACATGCCAGAAGTTCAAGCTCGAGTGCAATTATCGAGAACCCCAGCCGACCAAGTAGTTCCTCTTCAAGCGCCTGAAGTGACGTGATGTCGGGGACGTGCAAGCTGACTGCATCGCAGAAAAGATAAGACGCTGGTCGAGATTCTGGATCGGATTAAGAACCTGGAAGGCAAGATTGACAGCCTAAGCCAGCGAGGACTGTTGTCGCCTTCAACCTCGGTTGGCCCACCGCTACAGACTAGCGCAATACCTCCGGCCGCGCCTCTTGCACCTGCTCCCGATCTGGGGCCATCTATTCCCGCGTCGGCGTTTCAATTCCCTACCACGTCCAGCACAGCATCAGGGGAAGAGGGACACTATCAATATGTCTCTTCTGTGTATCAAGTGCTGAAATGGCCAGCCATACAACGACACTTGGCTTCCATACAGCCAAAGCTGCACAGGGTTGACCTCTCGGCGCTCGAAAGAGATGGCCCCGCCAGCATGATGGCTCCCTATCGCTCCTTGAACCAGGAGGCCTTGCCAACAGACACTTCAGCAAGCGTTGCGCGAGGCCCTGGCCTGAGCATACACAACGCTGTTCCGGGCCAGGTTCCAATGCCCACGCTGGATCTGAGTTGGGACACGGTGCAGAGATTGAGCAAGGCTTACTTCGACAGCATCAACCTTTTCTTTCCCATCCTCAGCCGCGAGTCCTTCATGTCCGAAACGCTGCCCGCTGTTTTCAACCACGGTTTCAGCGAGAGTATGTCGGCTACCATCGCTTATCTTGTCTTTGCTTTAGGCGAAGCCGCACTTGCAGGTGCTGATGGCATTCCGGTACACATCTATAACGGTCATGCGAGCGGCGTAAGAGGAGGGACTAAGGAACGCCCTCCTGGACTCGACTATTTCAACGAAGCCAGACGACGCATGGGCTTTCACCTCTCAGAATGCAGCCTGGAAAACGTCCAGATGTTTGCCCTTGCAAGGTAGGATTCTATTTTCCTAAGAATCTACTTGTCCAACCTTGCTTAACTCAGACCCTAGTGCTTATTATGGAACATGCTTCCATTATATGGTGTGTCGGCCTGGCGCAACCGTTGCTTTTCCCTCGGCCCCAAAGCGCTGCTAATAGAAGTTAGGGGCTTTGGAGGATGACGACGTCGGCTTCGCTAGCGTGTCAAGCGCTCGTGACCAGGTAGATCCCCCCTCCGTCAATAATAATCATTGATCTTGAGTTAACAGCCTCAGTAACCCGAATTCTCTCTCTTCCCCACAGGCAGATCTGATCCGGCGGGCCTTCTGGCACTGCTCCATCATGGAGACGTATGGCGCGTATCCCCCATGGTGACAGTGCGTTGTCTAACTCGCTATTATCTAGTGCCCTGAACCTAGAGCTCTGCGTTCCATTGACGGGCTTGGAGCGGATGGGATCTGTCGTTGGACTTCCCGACTTCAGCGGCCCGTTTTGCGAGGAGGACTACATCAGCAACCAGGAGTCGCATTTTCAGGAACACTTTGCCTCCCAAATTGTCTTGAGGCGTCTGTTGGTTGACTTCCATGGCACTTTGAGTCAAAGTATATCATCATATACCTACACCCTCTATTTCCAGTTGTTTTTTCACTCACCACTGTCTAGATACCGGTGGAACCTCGTCTTTGGCGCCAGCTTCAACGCCATTTACCCCCTCGACAACCAGCCCGGGACTCAGCCAAGTCACGATACAGCAGCTTGCCCTGCAGTTGGAGCAATGGCGCGGCATGCTCCCCGCTTACCTCCGGTGGCAGGAGGATTCTCCGGGGGCTTTCCCCAACTCCACCACCGACTTGTACAATACTTCCCTCTACACCCCGGCTACTACCCCTATAACGCCCCCTATGCCGACAGCAACGACGTCGCAGCCAGCAGCTCCCAGCGCAACAGCGCCCCTAATGTTCACCACCGACCTTGACGCCATCCCGCCGCGATACTCGTATGCTCTTGACGTCCAAGTCGCCCTCTTGCGCTCGCGCTATTACTACACCAAATACTTGATCCACCGCCCTTTTTTGTACAAGGCTTTGCATTACCCGGATGCCATGGTACATGAAGACGCAGTCGGCGTGGCAGAGTGTTTGAAATCTATGCTTAAATGGCCGGTTGCCATGTCCCCGACTTGCAGGCACAAGCGACTCGTGCCGTGCTTGTTCTTCTTCACCCAGAACTTCTTCGGCATTTTGGTGTTGCTCCACCTGACCACAACCGTACCGATCCTAAGACGGATCCGCAGCACGCTATGTGGCGAGCGATTTGAGCTGGATGCTGGGGAGACTGTGGGTCTCTACCTGGATTGGCTTAGGGACTTGAAGGCTATTGACCCTGGCGCAGCATGGCATTGGGAGGTTGTGAAGGCTATATATGAGCTGGATGAATGACACTGGCGAACTGTTTTTCTCAATGCTACCCCTGGGATATGCAAGCACGACGAAGAAGCGAGCGACGGGGTCAGGTCAGTTTGCACGGCGTTTGCAGAGCTCATATGGATCGGTCTGTTGGCTTAGATGCATAGCGAACTTCCTCCGTTTTTTTTTTGGTTGATATATCGGAAGCATGTGGGTGCTATCACCTCCAATCTAAGCGGGCAAACTCAGTCAGCTATACCGCTTTGATAGGTACCATATCTGTCTGAATTCACACAAGTTATATCCAGTCAGATCAAGGTAGTTGTTGGATCTTTGCCGTGCCAAACAAGCAGATGACGCCGAGGCTCCTTGCCTTCGCAGTCTTGTGATACCAGAAGGCCGAAAGAACCGGTGAGTGTCAGTAGGAGTTGCCGTGTCGAGCACTTCTCTACTGTTGCATCTGGAGCTCTCTTGGAATGCTTCAACTACTACGCCCCTGAGGTCGAACTAAGGTATTTCTCTAACAGTTCAACACCCTTGCTCCTGCGGATGTCCTGCCATTGCGAGGTGCACCATTTGCGTCTCCCCGTTCTCTTGGAAAGCTGCCTGATACGCATCGAGTCAGCCATGCGTTCGTCGGAACTCACCTCGTTGACCCCTGACATGAGTGAGGTGCTTTTCCCGCCCACGCCAGCTATCGAACATATACGGCGGAAGAGGAATTGAGCTTGTTTTGAGCTCTGTCTCTGGAGAGGCGACTGGCTGGTAAGCTTTGCTCTTGATCAGGGCAACACTCAAGTGCCTCCCTGTAACAACATCACGGCGGATGATTGTGCTGGGTGCGTCCGAGATTGGCGCACTGTGAGCAAGCACCTTGTCAGAGTTTCACGACTGTTTCCCAGGGGTAACAAGACATGAAGGGAATGCTGCGGGAAGCACGAAGCTCAACAAGGCAAGGGGGAACTTGTACCAGTTGGAATTTGTATCGTCTATTCATAACATGTAGTGGATGAAATCCAGCTACCAAGCCACATCCAAACTCGCTCGCTCATGATACGAGACTCATCTCTATGCAACAGGAATACAGAAAAAAGAAGAAGAAAATAAATCGGTGGGGAGCGGGATCATCTATATTACTACCGTCCCTCTCAACCACCCTCTTTCTATCCAACAACATGCAACATCAGTAAACTCCGTCACCAAACATGAACGTGGTCATTAGTTCGATGACGCGGCATCCGACCCAGCCTTCTCGTTCAACGTCGGCAGCTGCGCGCCATTGCCATCATGCCGCTTCTCCCCAGCCAGCAAGCTCGAATCAGTTGTACGTTTGAAGTAGTTCTGCACCTCGTCGGACCACTCCTCGTCGTCCAGATCCTCCACACTGGCGGCACCGGCCTCGTTCTCACGCTTAAGCTTTTCCTTGCCGGCCCATTCCTCGCGCATGTCCTCGATCTTTTGCTTGAGATCCAGCTCCGGGTTGTAGTTCTTCCCAACACCTCGGATTCGCTCCCACAGGGAAAGGTGTTCCGGGTGGATGGCGATGCCGTGGTACTCGTGGTCCCGGCCCGAGCGGATGTAGGTCCAGCGACGCTCCTGCTCCTTGAGGTCGAGCCCCGTCGTGTCCGGGAGGAACAGCCAGGTGAGAAGCATGCCGGCGAGACCGAACCAGGGGACCACGTAGAACTTGGTCTGCGTGTCGATGTAGTTGTACAGGACTGAGGCGAGCAAAGCGCCGGCCTTGCCGATGCAGGCGCTAAAGCCATGGGCCGAGGCGCGGATGGGCGTCGGGAACACCTCGCCGGCGACTAGGAAGGTGACGCTGTTGGGGCCGAACTGGTTGAAGAAGCTCGAGAGGAAGTACATGGCCTGGAAGGCCTTGATGCCTTCCGGGGAGGTGTAGTACTTGTAGTTGAAGGCGGGGATGATGAACATGATGAAGCACATCAGGAAGCCGACCTGCTGCATCATCTTGCGGCCGTAGAATTTGTTGTCGATGAAGATGGAGGCGAGGTAGTAGCCGGCGAGTGACACGACCACGTTAATCAGGTTCCAGGTCCAGCCCGTCAGGACAGAGGTCGGGTTATCGCTGATGACGGCGATGAACTGGGCCTGGAAGAGCTTGTTGCCGTAGAAAAAGACATCGTTGCAGAACCAGGTTCCGGCGGTCGCGAGCAAGCGCCCACCGAAGAAGGAGCATGCCAGCCGGAGCGAGTCGACGTCGTAGCCCGTGACGTTGTTCTTCCTCTTGGCCGCTACAAGCTGACGGCTGGCGTGGGGCATTTTGTAGGCACGGTAGTAGACGAGCCACAGAGTGCCCACGGCGGGGATGGCGAACGACAGGCGCCAGATCCACTGCACGGTCGTGGACCCGTATGGCGGGTTCCCATCACCGTGGTGGAGGATCAGAAGCAAGAGAATCAGCAAGGCCTGGTTGATCAGCTGGCCCCAACCCTGCATGAGAAAAGCCATGGTGACCTTGCGGCCGCGGTGCAAGCGATCCTCGCGCGTCGATATCTTTCCGGCTGCGACGGCGTTCTCCATCGAGGACGTGGCCGTGATGGGGTATTCACCACCGACACCGAAACCTAGACCGGAAACTAAATCAGAGCCGTGCCCATGGCCAAGCTGCCCTTCCACCCCAAAGTCAAAACGTACCGTAGAAGAACAAGGACCAAGCGTAGCAGATGACCCAGCCGTTCAGATTCAGCCCCCAGCTCGCCGTGATCATGAGCAAGCCGACAAACATGATGGCGGCGTCCTGAATCAGGCCCCAACGGCGGCCAATCCAGTCTCCAATGATGCCCACAGCGACCTGGCCAACCATGATGCCAATGACCTCAAGGTACGTGACGGCGGCAATCCAATTGGCGTCGCACTCGGTCTTCTTGCCCCAGCACCCTGGATAAGCGGACTTGAACAAGGGCTCGAGGTTGCCGATGCTGAACAGGACGTAGCCCTCGAGCCCGAGGCCAGCACCGGGCAGCACGGCGTTGCGGAAGTACCAGGACACGGGGCTCAGGGGGTCGGCCTTCATCATGCGGCCAATGGCACGCAGCTCCTTCTTTGCCTCTGCATTCTGGACCTTGTTGACGAAGGCAATGCGCTCCCGCAGGGGAAGGTCGGCCCAGTAGACGCCCTCGGGGGTGTAACAGTCGTCCGGGTGAGTTAAGTAGGAGAAAATGGCACGCTCCTGGTCCGAGGTGATGGGCTTGTCCCCGGGCGGGTAGTGTTCGTGCTCATCGCCGGTTGCTGGTCCGTGGGGGACGGGAACCTCGCCGGCGCTGGGGTTGTGATGCCGGTGGTGGCGTAGAATGTCGGCCATGGCCGAGGCTTTTGTTCAGAGATGCCTCGGGTCTGGTTCAAGAAAGGAGAAAGAAAGAGCAAAGAGCTTTTTCGATCGTCTGATCTGTCAAGTATAAACAAGAAGGAGGTGGCAAAAATCAAGAGGACGGAAAGAAACTTATATACTTGGGAGAAAAAGGCCAGGAAAAACCGAGGTTTGGAAACTCTCGACCCTTGAAACCAGGTCGGTGTTTAAATGGGACTGTCTAGGAGTCGATAGTCTTGTGCACGAGCAGGAACAACCCACCCACGTGGATCAATGGTTCAAGGACGGAAGGAGGGAAGGAGGTGTTGGTATATGTACATACAGTACCTTGGAATAACAGGAAGTTCATCGAACCAGACTTTGGCAGCTCCTATGGCCGGCGGCGAGGGTTTTTTCAAGCCCACATCCACACAGCCCACAACCCACCTACCCACTCTCCACTGCCCGCTGCAGGCAGCTTGTATGTACCTCGGATATCCCAGCATCACGTCTCAGATTCCACAACGGCAAGAAGCTCCCAGTGGTTCAGTGACAGAAAAAGAGGGGAGCCAAGAGTTCGTGCACCGTCTTGGCATCTGCGCTCCCGTTGACTTTTCCCGAGTTATTCGCTGCGAGCAGCATCGCTCGCTACTTGTTGATCCGTTTCGGCAGGAGGTCGCGTGTCAGTCTTTTGCTGTCAGTCAGTCTTCAGACATCCTCAGACACACTCACTTGCATCTTCTGTTCGATAATCCGTCGTAGCTCTTCGGTGTCCATATCCGTCCCAAGGAATGCCACCAGTTCGCAAATGCTCTCTTGCCGTGATACCCGAACAATGTACTGTACTTTACGGTACATTGCTGCGCAGTACGTCGCCAGCATCCGGTCTCCAGCAGGGCAATGCTCCCCTCCCTCTTTCGTCCCTCTCACGGCCAGACCAGACCATACGATCCGGTTCGAGGAGGAATGAGGCGAGGAAAACGGAGGATCCTTGTCAACTCCAGTCCCCTCTCGCCCCGCCCGCTCCATCCGTCAATTGTAAAGTGTCAAGAACCGCTCATCATCAATCCGACAAGTTTGTGCGTCTCGATGTATCAAGGTTCGTTCAATTCCGCACTACAGCCCTATGATAACATCAGTTCCTCAAGCGCCGGCAGTCGACTCTTGGCTTGCGACACCATCCGCTTGCCAAGGGAAGCTTGACGTTGCTTGGCCTTCTTGGCCTTTTCCAGATGACGCTGAGATGGCATTTTGTCCAAGGGCGGGCGCGCCACGGCACGCGGCGGTCGAAAATTACCATATGTTACCAGGGGATCGATCCGAATCCTCCCCGCGAGATCTCGACCAAACAGCGCCAGGACCCTACCCACGTGGCGGCACGATAGGCGGGCAAGGTACCGGACCCCTGGTGGAGCAGAGAAACAAATTGCGGGCCCTTTTAGTTAGCGTCGTCCGCCGCCGAACGTGGGGATTTTGTTGGTTCTGGTTCGGTCTGCGAAACGGGAATTGCTGCATTCCCAGATCCTCAACGACATTTGCTGTGTATACGCGAATCACATACATACGTTACGTGACTTACGTCCGCAAACGCCAACGCCAACGCCATTCCCGTTGGTGATGTCACTACGCTAGACCGTGGGACGCCACAATGCTTGATTCCACGTCGATGTCTTCTCATTGACCATCTACTTCGTGCGTTCTCCCAGAGCAATGCTTTCATCTCCATGACATGTTGAACATCGGGTATGTGTATGCACACGTATGGTGTACGACCCCTACTACGTGCTCGGGTATGTATCCATCTTGGACGAGAACCAAAAGACCCATTGTTGTTCGGTCCGACTGTTAGACGTATCACTTTGTATGTGTTCCATGTTACGTATTTATGCGACCAGACCTGTACTCGTACATACATACATATTCCACCACATTGAGCTCGGTCATTTTTACACGGAAGCTATGTTCAAGTCTTGCACGGCGGAAACACAGAATCACCCAACGCAGTCTGATATGTAGTATTTATTCCTTCCTACGGCTCAGCAAGGCTCAGCAGTTGTCACTGGCTGATTAGCATCCCCTGCCTTCCGTTCCATCGCCTCCTTGTTCAATCAGCTGTAACCCCTACTAGCCATCATCTCACACCGACCTGTCGAGGTATACAGGGGGGAAATAAAGAAGCCCCTACTAGCCATCATCTCACACCGACCTGTCGAGGTATACAGGGGGGAAATAAAGAAGCACACAAATAGATCCCACATCGAGCCTCTCCAGCCGCGCTAAACATGAACCAGCGACGATATTCCTTTAGTCTATCGTGCGTTGTATTTGGTCGCGTCGCGGGGTTGTGAACAAGTGCTGAAATGGAAAAGGGAGCGCAGACGGATAGGGGGAAACAAATAAAAAAAACAAGCAGAAGCGACAGAGAGTGGGGACTTGGGGACCAGGCACAAACAGATGTCTCTCCCTCGCTCCCAAGGTCCCTAAACAAGCCCCAACTCGGCCGATTCCAACTGGAGTAACTGGGCCGCATTGTAAACGCAATCCTAGAAACGCAGGGCAACAAAGTGGCAACTCCCCGTACCCGTTTTCAACTCCCTTCAATCATTTCGTTTTGCCACCAAGCTGTGTTCTGAATGCTCCGCTGATGCCCCCTGCGCCATCCACACCAGTGCCTTCAAATGATTCCCTAGATCGACAATTCACTTCGACAAAAGAAAACGAGCCATGCAGTCTCGGCACTCAGTTGAGCCGCCCCAGGAACGCCACGCTGATCTGACAACATGACCGGGAAAAAGAAGCAAATGAGACAGACAGGCTGATTGATAAACTGGAAATGAGATGGTGGTAGGTTTCAATTGTATGCTCGTATTGTTTTGGCGCTTCAGTCTCGGCTCAAGACTCAGATACGGCCGGGGAATGGCGACATGGTATCGTCTCTGTCGGTTGTCCCAACAGGCGGACGCCTCGGCGTCGGATCTTCATCCTCCACAATCATGTTTGCCGCTCCCCGGGACGAGGTCGGGCGTGGTGTTTCCTCGACATCCCCGGGCCCGAGCTTGCCATGGTCGCCCGCCTCTAGTCCGGGCGGGGTGCCCATTACGGCAAGGACTTTTTCGCCTTGCCCTTCCTCAGCCGGTGCTTCGTAGTTTGGGAACTCGAATCCCACATCATGGTTTGGTGTCACCACTTGTGTCGCTGGTTCCACTGTGCTGGCGCTTTCCGAGCCGCCAATCATGCTGTCATGGCTACCCGCACGCATCATCTCGATGCCAAGCTTTGATGAGGGCAGGCCCGACTTGCTGCGATATTGCTGGTTGGAAGGAGAAACGGAACCGCTGCTGCCACTACTGCCACTGCTGCCACCCTGACCGGCTTCCGAAACTAGGCCCAGCTCGTCATCTTCGTCATCGGCCGAGTCGACGCTGCCTTCGTATCTACGTTTTTCGATCAGTTCCCGCTTCGCTCGCAGTTTCTCAAACGATCGCTGCGGAACAGGCATCTTCATTCGCCCCGATGGGTGCTCCATTTGCGCTGGCGCTGATTGCTGAGTGACGAGATGCGGCACAGCCGGCAAAGCACCGCTCCGGTTGACTACTGTTTCTTCGGTGCTTGAGATACCCAGTCCAGCCTCATCCCAATCTCCCGTGGGTTTTCTGCTGATGACGACGGGTATGTCGTCGGTCACCACCGACTCCGAATCTCCGAATAGGCTCGAGGTTATCGAGTCTTCGCGGAAGCTTCCACTTGACCGAACTGCATATCCAGATGAGGCCGAAGTCGGGCTGTCCTCCAAGCGTAGGCTCTCTTGTCGAAGGCCGGAAGGTATGGGATGCGGCAGTGACAAAGACAGTGAATTTGTCTGACCCGGTGGTGGAGGTTTCCATTGGCAGAGCGTGCTGAGAACATCTGTCAGCTTCGAAGAGCTGATAGGCTTCTCGACGAGCGAGTTGAAATATTGGGGAGCGGGCAGTTCTTTCAGGTAAGACGTGATTGCGACAATCGGCGTGTTGGTGTTCGTGTGTTTGGTATCGCGGATCATGCGGGCAACATCTGACCCGGAAATCTGCGGAAGTCTGAACTCGAGGAATATGATGTCAAACTTGATCTCGCTCATTGCATACCGGATAGCCTCGCTACCCGTCGCCGCTGAGATGGTGCGGCATCGCAGCTTCTCTAGGAGCTTCTCCATCACCATTCGCGAGACTGGGTGGTCATCGCAAATGAGCACGTCCAGGGGCCGAGAAACGGGATCGCCCCCAACAATATACGACATGCGTCTCGCACTTTGACGTCGCCTTTGGACCCTGAGTAAAGCGCTCGCCTTGTCGGCTTCATTGTCTGAAGACGACGGTGACATGTCAAAGACCTGGCTGCGACGGTTCCTGTGATGAGCTGCCAGGATGTCCGAAGTTGCAGGGCTGCCTTCTTGCGACCCGACAGTCAGCGAACGGGAGCGACCGCCAGATGAGCCACTGCTGTGGCGAGGGGTACCCGTCATGTGAGTCGATATCCCCCCTTTCTGGGGCGATGCCGATGCCTGCAACGGAGCTGGTACGCCCTTGCCTTTGACGGGCGATGATGTGGCGACTGTGGTTGCTGCTTTCTGCAAGCTCGGCGGGACGCGGGGCACGTCGAAGTATGTGCCTGGCTGTAATGAGCTTCCAGAGGGTTGGGACAGGCTGGAAGAGTTGTTCGATGCCTTGCGTCTGCCCTCAGCTCCCTGGCCGGCGACAAAGGAAACCAACAGAGGGGAGGACGGCTGGGAGACGCGGTTCGGAGATGAATTAGAGTGGCTGAGACCAGACGGTGACTGTGGTCGCTGAGATGCCTTGGCATTCGAAAGCGTTCTTTGAACCGGGTTTGAGAGGACCGGGCTGCCCTCGAGCGCTGAGCCAGGGGACGTGACGCTCCCCGAGCTACTGGGGGTAATTGCTTTGCACTGGGAAGCCAGAGCTTCGGCCCGAAGCTTCTGGATGACATCTTTATTCGCCTTTTCGAGCACGGGCAGATTCTTAAAAGTGAAGTTGCCAAAGTCATCCGCCGCAACGGGCTCGCTCAACCGCCTGCTCTTCAGGTCGCGGACATGGGGCGGGATGTGTAGCGGCATCAACCCACGCTTCATTGAGTGAACCTGAGCCTTTACACGAGAAAGAGCATCATGGGGACGGTCATGATAATCAGCCGCTGGCGCAGTCGCGGGGGGTGAATGCTGGTCCTCGATCTCCTCGACAAAGGATTGAAGCGTGGCGCCTCGGGCATCGAAATATTCGGTATCTTCAGGATTTTCCGGCTGTGGGACAAACTGAGGCTCATCTTGTAACAGCATGTCCCAATTCACATCATGGAACCACGGGTGGTTGCGAATCTCCTCACCCCCAGACTGAAACGTCTCTTCGCGGTTAGCCCCCAGTCGCTGTTGAGGGTCCGAACAGAGCAGCTTATTGATAAGGTCTTTGGCTTCCGGCGACACTACATCCTCGCTGGGATCGGGCCAGTTGATTCTGCGTGCCAAGATGTTTTCAAAAACTTTGTCTGCCTCGCTAGCATTGAATGGCGGGATCCCATAGAGGAACTCGTACATGATGCAACCAACGGACCACCAGTCGCTCGTTTCATCCTGGGGCTCTCCTTTGATCGTTTCTGGAGCGAGGTAATCGGGCGTGCCGACAAATCGGCGAGTCTTGTCCTCGGGATCAAATAGCGCCCAATTTGGAGGGGCCATGGCCGGCTGCGGGGGTGTGCCCTTGTTGGAGTCAATACTGTTCTGGGTGGTAGCGTAGGACAGAGAGGCGAGATCCAGGGAGGCTTCGGCCTCGCTGCTCTCCCCAGGAGACAGGATCACCTGCGAATTAGCCACCTGCGGATCGTTGAGGGACAAGCCTCCTAGCATCTGCGTCAATGCCTCGCTGCCGCCACTATCGCTGCGATGGTTGGAGACGCGGCGTGGCTCATGAGAGAATGCGCCCAAGTTAAAGTAGGACGGCTGCCCCATGCTTGCACTGTAGTCGCTAGGAGTCATTTGTGGGGTAGAGCCGGGAGAGTGGCCACGGCCGTGAAGATCCAAGGACGTGGACCGAGATGAGGCCATTGAGGCTGATCGAGCGAATGGACCCTGCTTGAGGATATCAGGGGCCACATCAGCGCCGCTATTCAGTGCCCTCTTCTGGCGCCCAATCAATCCCATGCGTGAAAGACCAAAATCTGTCAGCTTGAGATGCCCCTTCTGGTCGATCAACAAATTGTCGGGCTTCAGATCCCGGTGAACGATACCTCGGCTATGCAGATGCTCGACTCCTAGGATGACCTCTCCGAGATATTTCTTTGCCCAATCCTCGGGAAGGCCTCCGAGGGCCTTGATCAGCGCAGCGCAGTCGCCTCCGTTGAGGTACTCCATGACCAAGTACAGATAATCTTTGCTGGAAAAGGTCCAGTATAGCTTTGCGACAAAGTCGCTCTCGCCCTGCCACATCATGATGGCGCGTTCAGCCTTAACATTGGTGACTTGGTTCTTGGCAACCATGTCCGCCTTCTTAAGCACCTTGATGGCAAAGTACTCGCCCGTGGATTTCTTCTTTGATAGATAGACGCTGCCAAATGCACCTTTGCTGATAGGTTTAATGATCTCAAAGTCCTTGATCGAAGGAGGAACAGCCTTGACTTGAGGACCACCGACTACCGCACTAAGTCGGGGCGACGGTGGGGGTTTCAACCCTAATTCCGCGGGAGTTGCAGACACCGCAGCCGAAGACTGCCTTCGATGGTGATGGTAGGGTTGGACACTGGGTGACGTAAATTCACTACTTGGGAGCATCGGTGAGGCTTCCGGTGACATCAAGCCGTCGGAAGGGAATGGTAGGTTTCGAGGTTTCGAAATCCGGAGAGGCGATGATGGCGGTCCCGCTCGGGAAGGCGACTCTTGTCTCCGCGGCGAGATAGCGCCTGGTAGAATCAGACTTCTCCGCTTGTGTTGCCGCGAGCTCGCCTGTCGGCGAAGGTCACCAAACTCGGAGATGGGGGAATCCACCCGCTGCGGTCTAGAGGCTACCGACGACGACCTCAAGCTCCCATCACTATCCCCGGCATCGCTCTCAAAAATCATTGACTCCCGCCGAGACTGGCTCGCACCCGTAAGAGTGCTGAGGGCACCTCGGTTTGATCGAGGTGTCGGACATTCTTTCGGGCTACTCGACCTTGGAGATGGCAGTGCCATCGACAGCCGCCTGTTGTCGGGGTCTTCATTGATGGCAGCGTTCTGCAGGGCCAAGGCTAAAGTGGAAGGGGCATCGAAAGATCCTGGGAAGATCCCTTCTTCGGTCGAAATCGGGGCATCTGCTTCATCCTCTTCGTCCTCGGTAGAGTCGCTGAGACGGCCCGCGGCAATCTTCGCAGCCTTGCGCATGGCGGCATCTATGCAATCCTGAACCATATAGGCGAACTCAATCCGAATTCGCTCCGCGTATTCGAGGATCCTACGGTGACGGAACACGGCTTCGACTTTCTCACGGGCAACCTTCTCAGTATCAGCGCAAAGCAAGGCGAGACCTTGCTCCTGCTCCAGAGTGTTTGTGCCCGGCGTCTCCCACTGCAGCACCTGCGTAATTCGGCCTTCGGACTGCGGCGACTGCGTGCGGAACTCGCCAGGAGCCTGGGATGATTCTTTTATGGCAGGCGTGCTGATCTCGATGGCGGTATCACACAGATCGAGCAGCAGCTCAACGATTCGCGCCTGCGGCCGGCGGACGGCAAAGGAGCGAGCCCTCGCGTGTCCAAATCCGGATGATCGCTCCCTCGAGCGGCCAGGGGCAGACCCGGGCGTGGGGGAGGAGTTTCCGGGAGATGACGTTGATGATGGGGGAGGACCAATAGGCAGACCCTTATATTCGGCCACGGGCAGGGCAGCCTGGTCTCCTGCCAGCGAGCGGCTGCGTCTTGCCTCAAGAGCATCGAGGACTTTGACGATCGCATGTCGGTGCTCGGTCAAACCTTCCTGGGCAATCTGGACATCCATTTCGGCGCGATGCTCTTGCAAACACAGATCGGTGTGCTTTTCAAACCACCACGGCGAGATCTGACGCTCGCATATCCTGCACAGCACAGGCAGGGGAGGCGGGTGCTGTGCAGGGTCATCAAGCCCCGATTCTGCCAGTTGAGTCAGATAACTTGCGAGCACTTCTGCACCAGATCCCAACGACTCAACAATGACTCGGGGCAGATCAATTTTAATCTCGCGCGGCGCAACCCAGGGCCTTATCATCCACATGCTCTAGAACTCTCTCACATCAGTCATCAAGAAGACAATGAAGGTGGGGGCGAAATGTGCATACATGGCTTTCTCCACCAGAGGCGCCGCTGTAGACCATGATGCCTTGGGCCTCAAGGTCGACAACAGTAGGCTCGGCGAGCTCGACGGATCCGTCGGGGCTCTTGGGCATATCGGAGGGCAAGAGCTTCGAAAGGGGGCCGAGTTTGACCGCAAATCGAATGAATTGGCTTCGCCTGTCATCCTCTTTCATGCCCTCAGCTACCTCTGAGAAGACGTTCGGGTTCTCGCTGACAATGAGGTCGGCGATGGCTGTACCCACAACCGAGTCTGGTTGTGTCCCGATAACGTCGACCCAGGAGGGACTGACCCACCGGATTGTTCCGTCGATGTTGAGATCCACGATAACGTTGAGCGTCTGCTCAGCGGCTTCGCGGAGCTCCTCCCTCTCTTCCCGGATATCCTCGCTAAGAGACCGCTCCATGGCGCCAGCCTTGAGTGAGGCCACGGGCGGCGGGGCGAGCGTGTTCAGCATTGTGGCGGGTACTTCCTCCATGGTAAGTTAGCGGCTGTCGCATGGATCAATTCATTCGTTAACCATTTGTGGCGGCGCAAGAGCGGCAGACTTCTTATGGGCAACGCGAAGAAAACGCGGCGTTGTCGGCGGTCGTCAAGGATCGAAAGGCTGGCGGTTCCAAGGCGCGCAATCGAAGGCCGGCTTACAGAAGGGAAGCCTGTCAACTGGTCGATTTTGGAGGTTTGAATGCTGCGATGGTCGGAAGGCAGTGCCAACCAGGTGACGGGTCCGGCCGAAATGCCAGAAGCTAAAGTGCAGCACAAGTCTTGGACATAATGCGGCTGGCCTATTGTTTTTCTCTTGTGATATTCAAAAGTGAAGAGAAGTCGGCTTGTGCAGGCAATGGTTGCCAATTGTCGTTCGACGTGCATCGACAGCAGGGGAGCGCCTGTTCGCCCGCCGTCGAGCCGGGCTCGCTCCCGGAGGGCGGCGATCTGGGATAGCTCAATTCAGCACACGTCACCAGGCCTCCGGTATTTGATAGCAGCCGATCGCGGTGGGCAGGAGTTGTGCGTCCTTGACAAAGGCACTGGTCGAGTCAAGGCGATTACAGGGCCGCAGTTGAGGTACACACTGCAATTTTCGAGATAAGGCGACGAGAAATGACACGGAACAGCGTCCCCGGGGCGAGGGCAGAAATATGCGTAGCAGTAGTCGTGTCGTCGCCGTCGACTCGGCCGGGTTGTGTGGTTGTGGTCGTGTTGTTCCAAAGAGCCAAAGTTTAAGTGGGGAACCCTTTGTTCGGCTTCGTGAGCGTGTTCCCTCGCCGACACTGGCGCTGTGAGGGCAAGGCGGTCCAAGCAACTGGCCGTAGTGACAACTTGTGACAGGCGGTGCGTCAGTGGCTCGATAAGCAGGCCGAATCTGACGAGAGGCCCATCCAGCCCAACTTTGTTTCTGCGTGAACGTGTCGGAATGGACAAGATCGATTGAAGTCAGGGCTTGTGTACGTACATACAGTACCTTAGACACCTAACGTTATCAGGATCTGGGCTAGGCAACCCTCAAACTTGGTGGCTAACACTTCCCACCAAGCAAAAACAAAAATCTAGAAATAATTACCACCAAAACAAAGTATAGGAAACGCGAACAGAGGGCGCAGTATAATTACTAATAGTAAGGTCCAAAAGGCTTGTGTAGTACGGATAAGTGTCAACAGATCACGGACATCCCTACAGTCACATTGTGGTTCTACTTCGCACCTACTAACGTTAACGTTAAGCTGGGGCTTGGGTTGCTTTCTCTCAATTGTGCTCACAACGTGGGGTGCCGTCCAGAGCGGGGAGGTGCGCAGACCGTCCAATCAGCATTGCGTGACCTGCAGATTTTGGGATGTTCCTAGCGCACGTTAGGCTACCCAGAAGGCGCTAGCGGGGTTCCGGAACCAAGGGAACCAAGGTAAGAACAACCGGCTGGTGTGGCTCACTGTCACGTTTGCCTTCTTTATCGCTGGCTGCCGCGGCGAAGTCGGGCAGGCTGAAAAAATTATGGTCAGCACAATGGGTAAAACTGCAATGAAAATCCTGCTTAGACAAGCATTACCAGCTGCGAGCTTTTCGGGTATAAAAAGCAACACGTCAATGGAAAAAGAGGAAAAGAAACCAAGAAAAAAAAGATCGAAAGAGGAATAGAAGTAGAGGGGCTCAAGGAGACGGGAATTCGTGGAGAGGAGGGAAAAAACGGGTCACAACCAATTGACAACCACCGGGCAGGAACCGACACAAAACTCCTGACGCAGCTTCCATTTGCTCTTCTCTGGGCCGGGCCCATTCTGCTCCCGAGGGAGGTATGTTATCCATACATGGACTCTTGTCACGAGGATGCATTTGCACCTCGAGTAACAACCCGAAAGTCCTGCTGTTCCGGGAACCTAGGGCATGGCACGTTCCCGTGTGTGTAGGGTATTGGCTGGCTGATCCCGTCTACCCTAACAGCCTTAGGGGTGACCGACTCCAACGTGACCTTTCCCGAGTTTCAACGGGCAACAGCTTTGCGCATCAAGCCATTTGTTGGCTGATTTCTTCCTGCATGACTCCAGTCGCACGAGATATTCTATGACAGGAAACATTGGACTTACAGTGCGCCACAGTCTGGGCCGCCTCCAGCCAATTGGCCTGCTTTTTTTGTTCGTTTTCTTTGCTCATTCTGGCTTCTTCACATACATAACATACATACGAAGTACCTAAGGTAAAGCTCTGCAGCGACCAAGGCCCCTTTATCCCCCCCCTGGTCGATTTCATCTACGTGTAACTGCACCCCTACCTACACTCAGGTATCTTATACTGGGGTTTCCCGTTCTTTCTGTGCCCTCAGCATTCCAAACTCAACCCCGACGGCACTCTTCACAGTGTACCACAGCAGCACTGACTCCAATCGACCCAGGTAGCAGAGTGACCTCATATCTCAGAAGAAGGTTGTGACGATGACGATGTATGTCGAGGGAATCGATGAATAGGATCCAGATCCGATAGTCTAGATCTCTCGGCACGCACAAACGGCCAGCAGCCGTCCGCTTCGAAACCCCTCATGCCCTCCGCATTCCTCAGGGCAACACCGCCCGCATCTGAGAGATGTTAACGCACCCCGATTCCTTTCGCCGATCCGCTCCACGCAACTATCACCGCTAGGACGCATGGACGCCTCTGGGCTGGCAGGGGAAACAACCAGGTGCTCCCGATTCTTGGGCACGGGAGCATGCCGGCACCCTGCGCAGACCACAAGGTGCATCTGCATAGCCTTCTGCAGAGTTGAGCGCATTGGACAAAATGATCACCGCTTCTAGGCCGAGAGCATCTGTGCTCTCGAGCTGCATGCCCAGGCTCGAGCCAGGTAGCATTAGGCATTGCGCGCTCGTAGCCACCTCCAGCTGGTGGGATGGAGGTTCACGGTTCTGATACCATTCACTGCAGGCCAAACGGCTGCTGCGAGCCGAGCGGCTGCTAATGGACATTCTGCAGACCCTGGCTTGAGGCTATTCGGGCTCATAGATTGTAGTGTCTCGCCACAGATTAACTGATTAAGCACAGATTGAGTTGGTTCCCAGGTGGGACGATATGCATGCAGCCACGCCCTTAAATATCTCTCCACAACGTCAGCGCGCCGGACAAACGTACGTTTCCCTTTCCACGGGACCACCGAGTCAACCGTCCCAAGCACACATATCTAATGTAGTTGCCTTAGGTGGTCTCGGGATGGTGTAAATCGGCAGATCGCACAGCGGTCCTCCGCTCCACTTAATCCCGGTGTATCGGCTCGCAAATGCTCGAACCCGCCACACCATACCACGGCCCAATATCCACTCCGGGTCCGCTCCCCTGCGTTCTTCTAATCTTCATGAGCCTTTCCAATCGTCCACCCCAAGGGCAATCAGTCCAATTCCCAAGGAGCTGCCCTCATGATATGCTCTTTGTCGCCCAGAAACGGCGCCTCCCTTGGCCCAATTCAGAAACTTGGAGGACAAAGCTGCCAACCGTTCGTATCTCGCACGCGGATTTGTGCCACTCGACGTCCCAGATTCCGCCTAGGCAGGTAGCAGGAGATGGTTCCTCAAGTCCTGCGCAGTAATAAGCCGTTGCCTGTCGACTCCCGGACAGCCGGCCATGCACCACCTTCGCGAGGGCACACCACAGGGGCTATCTGGGACTACACCACGTGACGAAAATACAGCTCCCGTTTCAATGGGACGGGCCGATCTCATCGTCCATTTTGGCACATGTTCTTTGTTCGCTTCTACTGTCTTTGACGCAATTTGAGGGTAGCTGCGAGGCCGATCGTGCCTCTCACAACCGCTGTAAGTGAGAGTTTAACCTCCTGACCGATCATCGATTCTCCAGGTCGTCTTTGTCTCATCCTATTTTGGCATTTACCCCGACCTTATGTCTTCAGCTTCAAACCAGCAATCTATGACGAAACGGCGGGGTCCTCACTATGGGGAAGATGTGAGAAGCAGCCGGTCCTGCAGTGTCACTCAAAGAGACGGCTGGGCTCAAGGGGATAACAGTCTTCCATGCATAGCGCCGCAAGCGCAAGATGTAGTTCTTAGTCATTGACAAATGACTGCTCTTGCAATGCCACGGTTATGGCTGGGTTGACGGAGGGTGGTGTGGCCAACTGCCAGTCGCTGAGCCCTCTTCCGGGTCCCCCATAGGCCGGCAATTTTGTAGACATACAATCGATTCCTTTTGATCTTTGCTTTTCTTTGTGTCACGAGATGTCCTGATCGCCAAGGGTATTTTCCGCTGACATAAGGTCTAACGCAAACCGAACCTGACATACGCAGCATACAAGTACCGCTCCCAAGGCGTGTGCACTCTTTCCATATTATCACGCAAGGTTCAGCCTAGGTTTTGAGTCTTGTATTGTCTCTGACGACAGACACCGTTTACGCGGAACGACATTGACAATCACTTTAGGTGTGCTTGTGGTGGGTGCACACTTATTACTTAAACCGACTCGCACGACAACGTACTTACCACTCACCTTGTCTTGCCACGCCTTTTCAACCCACCCCTTTCTCAACGCACCTTACTACCTGATCTAGCCACAGTCAGTGAGCTCCTTAACGGGACCAAGCGGTTTCTGCATATGAATAAATTTAGTTTGCCTCCAGATCCGTTCCCTTTGGCCGCGTCCAGCACGCCCACCAAGAGCTCATCCTGCGCTATGGAATCCATCGTTAGTTTGTAATCTAGCTCGGTAAGCAGCGGCGCTGTGTCTTTCCAGAGTTGGAGCTTCTTGAGAGTCAGGTGGTGCACCTTTGCGACAGGGAATCAAGCTCATGGGTTCCGGCAGTATAGGGCAGATCAGCGGTCCATCATATGCATAGAAATCTGCATCCCTTGTGAATAGAAAAAGTCAGAACGTCATTGAGAAGATGAGTGCGGGAGGTTGGGAGGGTAAGAACAAACAGCGAGAGAGAGGTGGACTGGAAGAGGAGGGGAAGGAGCAAATAAACTGACAAGTCTCTAATCAGCCTACTCCTCATTCACCTACTCCTCACCTCGGCTCATGAGCCTAGCACCCTTTTAACCATATCAACCTGGTTCGCAGCTTAAGTCTACCAAGCCCGTCTTGGTCTCCCTCCACCCAATCCTATCTATTAAAGCAGAGCACTGATATGACAAGGAGGGTAACCTGGTATAGCTGTAGCTTTATGACTAGTTCCATTGACCCGACATCAATATGTCATCAGTGTGGCTGGGAACGTTTGGATCCGCCTCGAGCTCCAGCCAGATGTGCCCCAGCATTAGAGGGATCATGGATCGAGAGAATAAAGAGCAGGGATAGGAGAACCGTCAGTAAGCGAAAAGGAAAGAGGCTGAGTAGTAACTAGATCAGGGCCAGGGGTGGTGTAGGGAGCTGTCCAGGCGTGAGGTGTATGAGCCAGCGTTGGATGAAAAGGCAGGAGTCAGCCTTCTCCCCACATTCTCTGCCCCCCTTTCTATATATCATCGGCCTCCGTCGGGTCCGGACTCGTCCGGCAAGCGACTGGTATTTTCCGTCTTGATCCGGACCGGTGGCGTTGAATGTGGAGATCCTTGCCCGGGCCCAAGTCTCGGCCCACGGCCCCACGCCCCGGCCACAGTCCCGGTCCCGGCTTGGCGCGGTGTTAACAACACCTTACAGGGGGTTTGACAGTGTCATTCAGGGCTCGGTTCTTCCCCTCTGTACTTCGTACCGCCGGATAAAGAAACGAAAGCCTAGGGACGAGTGTACAGAGTAAGTCGGTAATGATAAACTCCGTTTCATGAATTCCGTCGGCGTGTCGTACCCGGATCACGTCATGTCCAGAATCTCGAATCATACGACCTTAGTAGCCCAGAGCCGCTCTTCCAACTTAGCAAATTAAGAAGAGAGACTGCGAAAACTGGTAGGATATGACTGGCTGCATTGCATTTTGGGCCGGATGCTCAAGGCAATCATGGAACACGCTGCGCGTTGAACCTGCAACAACTGCGCAAAGTATCATCAGCAAGTTGCAGCACCGAGCCGTCCTCACCAGCAGACGGGCTTGACGTGATTAATGGCAGGGCAACTAGAAATGGGTGGCCGTAGGATTCCCCTTTCTTCGCCCTGTTTGCAAGGCGAGACGACACACCATGTTCTGCTGATTGAGCTCGAGAGTTTGGAAAATCGAGGATGTGCTCCACTTGTAAAGAACGAATCTGGGTCTCAGGGCTCAGGAGTCAGCCTACCTCGAGATGTTGTAAAGTTACGTCTCAGTACATCGTTACGGTAAATACTTGGAATCGTCTGACATCTGTAACTCAGCCACTGGATCGAATATTTGGTCGAAAAACATTTGGCAGAGAATGTTCGCAAATCATCAATCCAGAGAGCGCAGGGAGATATGAATTTGAGAGAGGTCGCGAGAAATCATCTTTATAAAGCCGACAACAACTCTGTATGGCCTTATTTCGAAGTTGCAAGGTTCGAGTCCTAAAGTAGTATACGACCATTACAGTGATAACTGTAAGTTTCCCTCAACTACACGTTTCGTATGTTACCCCGCACTTACTGCGTACGTTACGAATGTTACACCACAGCAAGCCTTTGTTGCATCCATTGAGTAACAGGCTGTGGTTCTGACAGGGTCATTTTCTCGGGCCATCCGGCCCCTGCATGTCATTGACTTCGCTCTTCTGATCAAGAACTCCTGAGAAGCGGGATGTTCAACTTTATCTTCTTTCCTTGAGACATATCCCGTAATTGTTAAGTCCAGATTGCACCGGCTTCTCCTACGGGTCACGGCGACACAGCCCAAGCGGGCTCAGACCGTTTCATGATTTCCAATAAGCCGCACCTCCTTCTCATGCTCGAGACACACCAAGTCTTGTGCCAAGCCGCCACACTCAGAACCGAGCATGAGACAGCAGCCTGCCGAACCGCATTGAACTAGGTATGTGGTAATCCCCTGGGTCGGGAATCATCACTTCTAGATACGCAGGGCATATAGTTGCTTGCTCTTTAATCTCTCGCCTTGCGAAGGCGTGTCCTCAGTACTGATTCCCATTCCCTCTCTTGCCAATTCCAAAACCCTTCACTTCCCCTGAAAAGAATACAGCGGATCGCAGCTTTCATCTTTCTGTGGACATCTAGACGCCAATTGCCTTGTTGCCTACTCCCACATACGACTCCGAGAATTTTCAGGTACAGTTTGGTGTGAAGATGACTGCTGACCTAGGGATTGTACCAGCTACGGCTTACCCGTCCCCACCTCACTACTCGTCACCTACGCGCCAGAAGCCTTCCATCCCGTCGCTCTATGATCGGGCAGTCATGGCTTCGTCCATGTCACCAAATCAGACCCCTCCGGCAAGCCTTATTGGCGGGCCTTCGGACCAGGATAAAAGTCCTCTGTCGTCTCTGAATCTGAACTTTCTCAAAACATTGACTGAAAAGAGGACCACAAAGGGTGCGTTACCCAGCGCGACCCCACACCGCCGCCCTATGTCAAGCTGACAGCGGACGTAGACGGACAGCCACAAAAGCGGAGGGGGCCGAAGCCAGACAGCAAGCCAGCCCTGACAAGGCGACAGGAGCTAAATCGACAGGCGCAGCGGTAAGCCGCAATGATTGTAGCTGGGCGCCCGCTTGCCATCCGGACTAATATCTGGTGTTGCAGAACGCATCGAGAGCGCAAAGAACTGTACATCAAAGCTCTCGAGGACGAAGTGCTCCGGCTCAAGGAAGTTTTCAGTAACATTTGCCAAGACAAGGAGCGGCTCGTCGAAGAGAATCGCCAACTCAGGGCTTTGCTCTCTCAAAATGGAATGGCTACCGGAGTTGTGACTGGTGCTAGTAGCGTGGTAGACGAGACGACGAGCAATCCGAGCATCGGCTACACGTCGAGTGCGAGCATGTCGGGCGGCTATGTCCCGGCATCCAGCAACACGAGTCTCTTCACGCCGCCACCACTGTCTGCGAATGCCATGAGCCAGCGGGGCGGAGGCATCTCGCCGAGCAGCGCGACCTCGGCGCACAGTCACCACCACAACCAACCACGTTCAGGGCACGGGCGCCAGAATTCGGGAGCCGGTGCTGGAGGTCAGCCGGGACGGAATCCAAATCTGGATTATGACCAGGCCGGCATCGACTTTGTGTTAACGTACGAGAACCCCTTGAAGGCTGATTCGCAGCACCTGCACACACAAGCACTAGAAGGATTTCCCAACGCTACACGCTTCTGATATCCCATCTTGATACCCCTGACTACACCCCACCCTCCTGATTTTATCGCTACACTACACATGCCATAGCTCGAAGGGAAGGTGCTACTGGAGGAGCAGGTGCATGAGATGGCTTCGGGGGCCGTGTTCAATCCTTCAAAGACGAGGGGACCACGCAAACAGACAGCAGTGAGTGAACCGAGCTAACAGAAGCGTCGCCTCTCCACGGCGGGGGTCGGCGATTATAGTCTTGAGAAGCCATGTATGAACCATATGCCGTGGCTCATAGAGCGAGGCGTCGAGACGGGCCATGAGCCGTGTGGGCACGCCCTCATGGCCTCCTGCCCGCCAGAGCCGTTTTCCGACCTGAGCGCCGACGTGCCGTTCGGCTACAGCAATATTAGGGCCAGCAACAATAAGCCCAGCACACTGGACGTCGCCACCGGGGTCGCCCAACGCACGTGGGAACTGAACAAGACGGATTTGGCCACGCTCTTGGACCTGAGCAAGCGGCTCGACCTCGACGGCGAAATCACCCCGGTCATGGCCTGGGGGATGGTGCTTGCGCATCCTAGGCTGAGCGAGTTGAGGGAAGAGGATTTTGTGAGGCTAACGGAGGAATTGAGCAGCAAGGTTCGATGCTACGGGTATGTAACGAGGCATATGTGTATTCGCTTGGGTCCTAGAGCAGCTGGCTGACCGGTTGACATACAGCTTCGGTGCCGTGATGGAGGAGTTTGAGGTACGGGATGCACTGGAGAGCATCTTTGCGGCCAAGGCGGAATTAGGCGTGGGCTATTGATTCTATCACGTTTGTCAGGCAATACAGCAACTGACTGTTGGCGGCAATCTGTTTCCCGTTTTCTTCATGTATCGTTTTAGGGAGTAGAGAATCGGTTTGGATAGGTACCTTAGTTACTTGCTTGGACAGGGTGAAGCCTTTCAAAGATAAGCACAAGATACCGCTAGATACCCTACAGACAGCTCACAAAACTCCGGGGAGGGCACTGCAGCATGAGATTCGAGGTTGTTAAGGTGAGGTAAGGACTCGGAGTCTCCGAGTTGTATAGGTCCGCACTGTCTCTAAGCCGGAAACGGACACGGTGACTGAAACTTGAAGGTCAAAAGCCACACCGAGAATGACAATCAACGTGCCCCACTCCACACAACCACCCCACCAAAGAGAATTTCAATCTGGTTGAAAATTGTCATCAGGTTGGCCTGTCGCGACAAGCTCTTGATACCCACCAAACAGCCCAGCTCGATTCTGCCACCAAGAAACCAAACTGATTGATATACTCTACATCACAGAGCACGTCCTTTCAAGTTGAAACTAGCATCATGGCTGTACCGCCGCCGGGCAAGTCGAGTCTCGTCGACCTCCTCAGTGCGCTGCCCGATTTCGATGACAACTGGGCTCCCCCCGTCACAAACGAGACGACTCTCAATGGAGTGCCCTACGCTCCATACTCCAAGGGCGACAAGCTAGGCCGCATGGCTGATTGGACCGACTCAAAGGATGGCAGGGACGGTCGTGGTGGCAGGCAGCAATATAACAGGAGCTACCGAGGTGCGCCACTGTCCAGGTTCGCAGAGGCAATGAAAACTGACCTCGTCATCTACCAGACCAGCAAGTATACGGCGCCGGCACTGCTTCCCTTTTCGCTCCGCCCGTCGCCGAGGATGAGGCATCCTTCTCGGTTGTTTCCAACGTTCGCGATTCTGGCAAAACCCGTTTTGGCCGCGGTGCCATATTCACCCGCGGCCGTGGCCAGCGCGGTGCTCGCCAGGACACGCGCGGCGGCGGTCGCCAGCAGTTCCAGCGCGGTGGGCGCGGTGGTGGGCAATACGGTGGCGGTGGTTTTGATGGGCGCGGCGGTGGCCGGGGGAATGCTGGCGCGCGGGGTCGCCGCTTTGGCTGGAAGGACTACGACAAGCCGGCCCGCAACCGTGACGCCTCCATCAACATCAAACCCGATTGGAAGCTCCTCGAGGAGATTGACTTCAACCGTCTCAGCAAGCTCAATCTCGATGCTGATGAGGGTGAGGACATTGACAGCTACGGCTTCCTGTACTATTACGATCGCTCCTACGACAAACAGCCCGTTAAGGCTGCCGAGCGCAAGCTCGCTGTGTTAGACCGTGCCGTCTACAACGTCACGACATCTTCCGACCCGATCATTCAGGAGCTCGCCGAGAAGGACGAGGCGACCATTTTCGCAACGGATAGTATCCTGTCCATGCTCATGTGTGCGCCGCGGTCCGTGTACTCCTGGGATATTGTCATTGTCCGGCAGGGCAACAAGGTATTCCTCGACAAGCGCGACAACGCGGCGCTTGACATGGTCACGGTCAACGAAAACGCGGCCGACGCCCCGCTTGAGGCCTCGGAAGGTTCCAAGGAGAGCATCAATCAGCCGCCTGCGTTGGCGGAAGAGGCTACTTACATCAACCACAACTTTGCGAACCAGGTGGTGATTGAGAGTCAAAGCCAAAAGGTGGACATGCCGCATGAGAACCCCTTCTACAGCGCGTCTGACGAGACGGAGCCGCCTGCATCCAAGGCGTACAAGTACCGGCGGTTTGACCTCTCCACCAGCGAGGAGGATGGCATGTACCTGATTGTTCGCACGGAGTTGGACGCAGTCCAAAAGAACACCATGGGCGGCGACGACCAGTTTGTCACGGTCCATGCGCTAAACGAGTTCGACAACAAGGCCCAGGGCAGCGGCGGTGCGCTGGACTGGCGGACGAAGCTTGTATCTCAGCGCGGCGCTGTCGTTGCCACTGAGATGAAGAATAACAGCTGCAAGCTGGCGAGGTGGACCGTCCAGAGCATCCTTGCCAAGGCCGACGTGATGAAGCTTGGGTAAGTCCAAAATCCCGAAGGTCAGTAACGTCGCAATTCCATGCTAACTATTAACGCAGCTTCGTATCGCGCGTGACGCCCAAGCAGAACGACAAACACGTTATTCTCGGCGTTATCGGCTGGAAGCCAAAGGACTTTGCCAACCAGATGAACCTGCAGCTGTCCAACGGCTGGGGCATCGTGCGCACCATTGCCGACATGTGCCTGCAACGCCCGGAGGGCAAGTATGTCCTTGTCAAGGACCCCAACAAGAGCATCCTCCGGCTGTACGAGGTGCCTGCCGGCAGCTTGGATGAGGATGGCGAGGAGGCGGCCGAGGTGGAGGAGCAGCCCGAGGGAGACGAAGAATAAATACTCTAACGGATGGAGTGTTGAGCCCCGGGCAAGGCACCAGGAAGGGGATGGATCTAAAGTGTCATGAGGGGAGTAGAGGACGGGAAAAGTATGAGGAGAACGGCTTGACTGCATGTGGAAATGCTTACCTATCATCTGGGACCCATGTGAAGTTCATTGCATTCCACTGAACCCGCTGACGCGATTGCTCATATGTCGCGATATCATTGCACCAATGTCTGATTGTCTAGCGAGCAACATCAATGTGGAGGTGTCCTTTGAATAGGTCCGTACAAGTTTACGAACCTGAAGGGTACAGTGTCCGCTTGGCAATTCTAGTTTCCCCCCTTTTCTCCCTCCCATCCTTTCAGTTGGACTGTGTAGGTCGTGAGTCGTACCTATGAGCGGTTAGGAGGACGGTCCGCCCCTGACGTACCGGTATTCCCGCCCCATCCATTTAATGTCCCACGTGACAGCGCGTAGCTCTGAGTGGCGTCGGCCATGTCCCACCTTTTTACCTGCCAAAATCGCGTACTGTCCGCTCCAATATCCGTTCGAAAAACCATCTCCCAAGAACCCAAGGTAGCTCGCTATCTGTCGCTTCTCAAACCGGCTCCTCTTTTTCGATGCGTTCCTGACAACGGAGTCAGAGCTCCCCCTATGCCAAACAAGAAAATTACAGAAGTATTCGTCCCTTTGCCCACTAGATGAACCAATGGCGCCTGCGAGCACCAGCAAACGAACCCCGCAAAAGGGCGCTACCGCTGTTACTGCGAGACGCAAGTCCGTTCAATCGAAGCTCTCCTTCACCCCGAAGACTTCGTCCTCTTCCGCTACCGCTGCCAAGACGAAAACTGCGAGGCCCAAGCCGAATCAAAGCATCCTCAACTTCTTCAAGAAGGCGCCAGCTAATGCGGGGGACGAGGACGGGCTGTTCATTGAGGAGAGGAGTCTCAATGCCGGTGATCCTGCGGTGGTCGAGCTTGAGCTTGGTAAATCCGGATATGAGGACGCCCCTGAGGATGTGTGCGCCATCTCCGGGACGGCCGGGGATGACAGGTTCAATGAGGCTGGCGGGTCAGTTAAGAGGAGGAAGTTGAGCCCCTGTGCTGGGGATCTGTCAGCAGGGGAAGAGGTGAGGAAAGGCGACTCACCTGCGCGGTTTGAGGATTCCGTGTTGTCTGGGTTACCGCTCAAGACGGCCCCGAAACGGCCACGTCCGGGGAATCCGTTCTTGGACGAGGAGGAAGAGGAAGAGGAAGGGAAGGATGACGGGCCTGGGGAAGATGGCTTCCAAGACGAGAATGGCGGCTCGCCGGCAGCCAACACAACAAGGGTGAGATTGCCGACGCCGCTGTCTGTGTCTGATGGTGCCTTAAGCGAGCAACAACAGCCACCGCCCCCGATTCCTGATTCCTCCACGCTTACCAATAGACCGACACTTTCCAGGGAGATACCTCTACCCGAGCCGGAGACACCAGGAACCGGCGTCGTAAATGATGGCGACTGCAGCGATCCAAAAGACGCGATTCAAGACGACTACTTTGATCTTGAAGACGACGATTTCACAGGTGAAGAGCTGGATGCGATGCGATACATGGAAGAGCAGGCACGGATAGAGGCCGAAGAAGATGATGATGAGGAGGATGTTGTCAACGAAAGTGAAGGCTTTGGAGAATCCAGGGCGGAGAGTTGCCCCGTGTGCAATGGCAGTCTGACCGGCGCGACTACGGAACAGGCGATGACACACGTAAACTCCTGTCTGGACGGTGATCCGACGCCCTTGCCGACACCCACTACTGGTATTGCTGTTATTGAGAGTGCGGCAGTAAGCAAACGTTTCGCCAAAGCTGCTGTGCCGCGCCCAGGGCAGACAAATCCCATTAGCCTTGGGGCAGATCCGGGTGAAGGGTCGTCGGCGTCCGCATTCACCAGGCTCATGTCCGGTCATGCTGAAGATGTAGCTTGGGCAACTGCTGCCGCGGCAGAGAACGCCGCGAGAGGTATGCCTGCGTACAAGCGGACATGTCCATTCTACAAGATTATGCCCGGCTTCTCCGTCTGCGTTGACGCCTTCCGGTACGGCGCCGTCGAGGGTTGCAAGGCGTACTTTCTCAGCCACTTTCACAGTGATCACTACATCGGCTTGACCGCCAATTGGACTCACGGTCCCATTTACTGCAGCAAGGTTACCGGGTCGCTCGTCAAGTCCCAGCTAAAGACGGCTGCCAAGTACGTAGTCGAGCTCCAATTTGAGCAGACGGTGCCCGTCCCAGAGACCAACGGCGTCACTGTCACCATGATCCCTGCCAATCATTGCCCTGGCAGCTCCCTCTTTCTCTTTGAAAAAGCCGTCGGCGGCGGCAGGACACAGCGGATCCTCCATTGCGGCGACTTCCGTGCGTGTCCCGCCCAGGTCGAGCACCCGCGGCTGCGGCCCGAGACCGCCGACGCCATTTCGGGCCGCACAAGGCAGCAGAAGATTGACGTCTGCTATCTCGACACGACCTACCTCAGTCCGAAATATTCGTTTCCCCCACAGCATGAAGTGATTCGTGCTTGCGCCGAAATGTGTGCACTGCTCAACAAGGGCCTCATCGCCGGCGACGACAGCCAGTGGGAAGCGCTGCTGAGACGGCAAAGGAGAGGTGGTGCGAAGTCCAGTACAGAGGACGTCAGCAAGTTCTTCACCAGTGCAGCCTCCTCCACCTCTTCGCTCTCCAAAGTAGAATCACAACAGAACCTCACCGCGACCGACGCCTTGACCGTCTCGAACCGCAACCGCAACCGCCTCCTGGTAGTCTGCGGAACGTACAGCATCGGCAAAGAGCGCATTTGCGTCGCCATTGCCCAGGCTCTCAACACAAAGATCTACGCCTCCCCCGCCAAGATCCGCATGTGCCGCCAGCTCGACGACGCCGAGCTCAGCGCCCTCCTGACGCCCAACCCTCTCGAAGCCCAGGTGCACATGCAGATGCTAATGGAGATCCGCGCCGAGACGCTAGCCGAGTACCTTGAGACGTACAAGGCTTCGTTCAGCCGCATCGTCGGCTTCCGCCCCTCGGGCTGGAACTACCGCCCTTCTTCTAGTACCGGCACCGCTAGTGGCGCGACCATCAAGAAGGACCTGCCCCCGACCAGCCTCCCTACCACCCAGCTACTCCACGGCGCCGGCTGGCACACGCGGTTCGCCCTCTCTGATTTGGTGCCCCAGCGCGGCGCCGGCAAGGAAGTAATGTGCTTTGGCGTGCCGTACAGCGAGCATAGCAGTTTCCGGGAGCTGGCCATGTTCTTGATGGCGCTGAGGATTGAGAAGGTCGTGCCGACGGTCAATGTCGGGAGCGAGACCAGCAGGCGGCGCATGAAAGCGTGGATTGACCGCTGGTTGGGTGAGCGCAGGCGGGGCGGGTTGGTCAGGGTTCTGAAGGCCGATGAGGGTAAAGTCGCCATCGATGGTGAGGGGAATGGAAATGTGTTGTGGGATGGGAAGGATGGGAGGGGAGGTGGGGTGTATTGGTAAGGAAGGGAAAGGTAAGGTACTGTCTGGCTGCTTCTATCGGGGACTGGAGGGTTTCGTGGCTTTTCAGAGGGCATATATCCCGTGTGCGAGACATTCATAACCTCAAACATGATAGAGATGACGATACCCCCTGATTGGTGTGGATAAAATGCTATGCAACTGTGAGGCTCAACTCACAAGCTTAGGATAATCCTGATGTCAAACCACATCATAGCTGCGATCAATATGAGAAGTGCGCTCTTCCCAACCAAGATCGTGGGTGTTGCATCCGCGGATACGCTCAGTCAGTTTATGATATTTCTGGGTATGTCCATCATAGGTGCGGTTGCCGCACACTTATCATGCTCAACGACAACGAGCTGGCACAGAAGACACATCCTTCTGTCTCCAAGTTCTGTAGTATCTCTCCGGGCCTTCAGCCTGCTGAGTGATCAAATAACCGAGGACATACCTCAGGTCGACGTCGCTCGCTCGGGGCACACCCCTTGAGATCCCAGATCAGCCAGTCATTTAGCTCAATGCCGTGCCTATTCCCAACAGAAGGCTCCCTCTCTTTTCCATCTCCTTCTCACTTTGCCTTACCAGCCTGGTTCGCGGCTTCTAAACAACAGGGTTAGCCTTTTGCCCTGTTGCACCCCCACATACAACAGTAGGTAGCCCATAGCATGGAGGCCCATAGAATGGATGGATGGGGACTTCTCACCTCTCCTCGTGGCGTCCTCCAGCAGGGGAATATCCACTGCGCTAGCGGGCAGATGCACATATCGCACGACGGATCCACGAATAAAGACATTCTTGACGGCGCTCTATCGGGGTGTCTCAGCACACTGGTCTCGAGGGATCACGAAAAGGGGCAGTCCGCTCATAAATAAGTGACGTAGAGGGGAAATTTGGAAGATTCTCACCAGATGGGGATACTTGAGCTCCTCCTCGACTTGGATGTTGTCGAGTTTGATGTTGAGAAACTGGTCGACGCTCTTGAGGACGCCCCGGATCCGGATGTCGTTCTTGAGCTCGACCGTGACCTCATGGTCGATGAGTGTTTTGAAGAAGCTGGTGGGGTCATGGTGAATGTGTTAGTGCATCAATCAAGCTGCCTCTGAAGCTACCCATGTGATCTCATGAATTAAGGCAACGAGTCTTCCCAAGTGCCGACTCGCTCACGGCTCCAAAAAGTGGCAATGCCTATTTGCAAGACATGGACGAACTAAAGGGAGATCATTTATCTCCGTGGATGCAGGCAAATTCCCAGCCATGAACAGATCCATGACAAAACCGTCTTGGCCACCATTTTGCTGTGAAAAGGATAGCATACATACCTGAAGAATAGCATTTTGCACCCTCGCGGCTCACTCAAGCAAGATGCGCGTGGGTAAGTCCTGCTTGGTGCTATGCAAATCGGGTATGAGACGTTGAGACCCACAGCAGTGCCAGGGAAGGTTGTGAATTGATTTGGGAAGGCGCAACACCGTTTCTGCCTCGCTTTTCAGGCGCCGGTTTCCCCCCCTGCCCCGCAACTGTGCATCGATGAATGCCAAACCTCTAACGTTGGACCAGCAAGTGAGAAACCAGCAAGCTACAACCTCCATACACTAAGTGCGGGTACAACCGTCTCGTCCCGCCCCCAGCCTTACTAGGCCCTCGCCGAGATCAAATCAAATCAAATCAAATCGGCTTGCTACCAGCAAACCAGTGATGTTCGTAGCTTTGGCCATTGGCCATCTGTAAGGGGTCCGTACCTGTCACACCAAGTCCACCGCACCGTTATCACAACTGCCAGGCCAGGTACTAGTACGACCATGGCCACAACCACCACTTTAGTCACAAGATTTGCGAAAGTGACAAGGGGACTAGCGCATGTATTTACTTCGAATCCCAGTACATCCGGCGACGGATTGGTCATTGAGAAAGTCTAGCTTCCATAGTACTATTGCCTCTCAACCCCCCAGAGTCCGACCAGCCGGTCACCAGATAGTAAACCAAGGAAATCGCGCAATATCAAATAATAATGTGTCTTAGCCTGCTATCAGCATATTTCCAGCACTATGTGCTGTCCACAGTGACGTTCTTCTTTTCTGTTCTTGTCTTTGTGACTCCTGTTCTTTTCGAGCGCTCCTCTTCGATTCCACCTCTCCCTCCCCTTCCCCGGTTTGGATTCGCAAGACGGTTGGCAGAGTGCAGCTGGCTGGGCTGTGTTCCAGTTCTCCCAGTCTCCTAGACCAGAGCCGCACACCACGGAGCAAAAACGCAAAGGGACCCTCACCAGTGAAGACGACGGGAGACAAGTCACTAAAGAATAAGCTGGCAGAGAGGGTAGGAAGCTTTAAAAGGCAAACATAGGGTATCCGACATGACCCATTTGAACCGTGGAATGTACGAACAATCTTTCCGTTCCAAACAGACAACAACATAAACAAGTGAAGTGAGACTGCCGTCCCGTCCCGGCCCCCTTGCCAGCCCATTCCCGCCCACCACCATAAATCCAGCCTCCAAGCCCGGGGCAGCCCACCAATGATGCTATGTGCTATCGCTTGCTGACTGAGATGCTGTGAGGCCAAGTGTATCTGGTATCGATCGGGAATAGATGGAATGCGAAAAAGAGCCGCTTGCCAGCAAACCAGAACCCAAAAGCCAGAAATTGCCGTTCGAACAAAGAAGTATGTCACTAGCGTTGCCCAATCTCAAAGAGTTAAAACGAATATGTCGCCAACCCAGGACTCCTCGCCAAGTGTTTCATCTGCTCACAATCCCGTTGTAGATAAACAAGTGAGGTGGGTGTCATAACTTCATGACCTTTCTTGAACAAATTAAAAAGAGATGGGGTACTGAGCGCAACGCATCGCCTCTTTGCTTTCCCCAAGCTTGCCACCGCTCCTTCAATCGTCATCGTCATCCTCCTCCTCGGGGCTCGATGCCGCCTTCTTCGTCTTCTTGGACGGCGTGTTGGAGGTACCTTCAGATTTCCGCTTTGTCGCGCCTGTTGCCGTCTTCGCCGTTGCGGGTTGCTCCGTCCCTTCAGTTTTGCCTTCTCCGCTTGCCGCTGCAGCCTTTTCTCTCTCAATCTGCGCAACCTCCTCGGCTGTCAGGAACCGACCACCAGGCCCACGGGGCCGCCGCATTGCGTGGTTATGCCTCGACTCGTGGAGGTACGGCTTGCGGCCCTTACTAGTCAGCCGCAGCGCCTCCTCCAATCTTTGTCGTGCCACTCTGCGCTTTAGGATCCGGTGAAACTGCTTCGCATTGACGTAAAGGGGTGACTCTTCCACGGTACCAGACGGCATCTCAGGCGACTGAGGCGGCGGCATCTGCTGCGCCGCCGTCATCGGGGGAGGAACTCCTGGACGAGGGCCTGCGTGGTTCATCATCGCTGACGCATTAGGCACGCCGGGACTTGCCACCTGGCTGAGTCGTCGTTGTTGAGGGATATTGTTCATCTGTTGTGGTGACCGTGGCCCCGGCCTGGCATCCTTCTTTGCGTTGACGCCAGACATCCTTGGCGACTGCTGCAGACTGGGATCCGAGGGCATGTATGGATATGAAGATCCCGACGCAGCGGCAGTCGCTGCCATGGCCGCAGCCTGGATCCCCGGCATGCCATAGTGCATGCTTTGTTGGGGTACCGCATACTGAGTCTGATACATGTTGTGCGGTTGTGTGGGAGAAGGTTGGTGTTGTTGCGACGGAAGTATCGGTGATGTTTGGGAAAGGTTGTGCGGCGACGGAGACGTGATGCTGTTGCCACCTGCAGAGCTAGGATATGCCGTCTGAATGTGTGGTTGAGCGTTTTGGGGCTGTTGATATTGTGCGTATTCCATCATCCTCGGAAAGGCAGCGATCAGACGCCAAACGTGGACGCGACAGGTCGCGTTGGTCTGAATGCTTTGATGGATAACAAGCTGATATGGCGCCGGCGCCTGTGTGGAACGTTAGCCGATAAGCGCTCAAGGATGGAGACGCGACACAGATATTACCACTCGGGTTGATCCCAAAGGCTTCCAGAATCGCTGGTAAAGCTTTGAGTGCTCTGATCTATTTGGGTGCCAGACGCACTGACAATCTGAGGTTACTTTGTACCTGTGAATTGGGCCTGGATGTGCACCCAATCTAATGGAGTGATGAGTTGGCAGTCGATGCGATGAGAGGGGAGCTGCGCAATTGGTCGCACCGCAGCATATGCACGCTGATGTAGTTGGAAGGCGGGACTTGGTGGCTCAGTTCAAGACACCTCTCGGAGGATGGCGTGGACAAGCGCAGCCACGTGAAGGCGGGAGTGCGCGGGGATACTTTGCTACGCCGTGAGGACAAGCCTGAAAATACCCGACTCGCCTTGGCCGTACCCTTGTATCACGAGAGAACGAATCTCGCAGGGCACAGTTTGACGGCGGGGTCAGGGCTTACCGTTGATCCACTCCTATATCTAGCAATCCAGAATGTTAGTTCGAAAATGTCAAAAGTATATTGTAAAGCAAGGAAGTCAGAATGATGCGACGGGGAGGGTGAATAGGGTGGCGGGCAGTTTCGTTTTCTTCTTTTACTTTGGGCGCCTCGGGCCAGGGCCAGTCTGATGCGCTGGCATGCATGACGGAATATGCACGAGGGCGGGCCCACCCAGTAACCAGCTCATCACGCCAAACCAGTCCGGGCAGCAGGCCCAGAAAGAGACAGAGGGAGATGCAATGAGACTGGCGAAAGCCATTAGGCATCTAGATGGGCATAGGAGTTCTGCGCTGCGCGGGATTCCAACTGCCCATATTGATCTCAGCAGACTTAAGGCTGCAACGGACTGGTTGGTCCAAAGCGCTTGTGTATGGGAAACGGCGCTGGGAAGTTTCAGGCGCAGCAAATGCATGCGGCTTCTTGCCGCGCGCCCAAGACTGCGGCGAGAAAGATGTAAATGAGGGTCAAGGGCTGATAATGTGTAGGGTTGAGGAAAGAATGGAAGATCAAGTGCCGAGTATTGACACCCGGTCAACAAGGTGATGACCGCACCGAGATCGGGCTGCTGAGTTTGTCGAAGCAGTTGTGTCCCCTCGAACAGGAGGAAGTGTTGGGGTATAGGGCAAAGGGAAGTGCCATACAAGTAATCCCTTCGTAAGTCTCATAATCCGTGAGGTTCCTGGAGCTCATAGCGTTACACCAACTGGGTCCCAAGATTCCTGGTGCTGTGAAATGAGAGGAACAAGAAGGAGGAAGGGGGCACACAACATGACAATGGTATCGCGGGGTACAATCAAAATAAAGAAAGGTGCGGAATCCAGCAAGTAGATTGGTCTCGAAATGATGTGCAGCTGCAGAGAGACCAAAATGCACCGTCTGGAATAAGGGAAAGCTAGAAGGAAAATGACCAGAAACCTGCAGAAAGATGGGACAACACGAACGTCGAAAGAGGTACTTACACGGTAATTGACGGAGCGCGGTTGGACAGGCGGCCGCGCGTCTATTGCGGCGGTTTGCAGCTAGGGATCAAAACCGCAAGGACACCTGGACGGCGCCGACGTGATTGAACGGCGAGGGAGATGGTGCTAATTGCCCTCCGCAGGCAGGAATTATCACGGGATCGGGCCACAGCCAATGGTGACGCTGCTATCGACGCTGGGCAGGCGATAGGCCTTCCAAACTGATGGTGTTTTCTCGGTTCGTAGCGGACTAGATCGTGTGCTGATTTGCTGTTCCGGTAACCCCTTTGTTTGTGGGCGTGACTGGCTAGGTACTGTAGCGCTAGAGCTGCTTTGGGAACTACTACTCTCTTCTTGCCGAACCCGGATCGACCAAAGTAGGTGCCTGTGCGAAGGTGTGAGTGGCCTTTTACCTTCTTCGGATGGCACCTAGTGTATATCCCGTGACCATCCCGTTCACTGGGCTTTGTGCGAAGAACGCCTGGCGAGGCTGGTCGAGAACCCGACAAGGCCAAGGGCCCACATGTGTGTGGCAAGCAACGCAGTCAAGTCCCAGTGAACGGGATGATAATCCAGTTCGGATGTCGAAGCACAGCAGCGATAATGTGCAGGGGAAAGCGGGACATACCTGTGAGTTTGTAGCAGGGCTGGGTGCGTACGCGGCTTGCGCAGGCGAATGCGTCCAATCCGCAGAACCAAAGATGACAGGTTCACAGGCTGACTGTGAAGGTCCAATGCGAGCCAGAAAATGCCCTGTGGCTTTCCCGACTCTGAACGGACAAAGTGAACAAGCGCGACAATGGCGACTGGAACACCAACAAGGTTGTCGAATCCTCAGACTCTCCTAATTGGACTGCGAGACCAATACCTTTGAGAATCGAGGCGACCGTTGATTTGATAGAAATTTTGGGGGTTATCGGGTCGGCTGCCCCTCGTTGGCAGACAGGATGGTGGAGAGGGTGATTGGGGGATTGATTGGTCGTACAAGAGAAAGGAGGAGAGACGAGGGAAGAGCCGAACGGTGATTTGAGGGCGCGGTCTGACTTCTTTAACTTTGGATTTGGTTGGATGAATCAGCTAGTGAAGTGGGTCCTCTTGTTGAGGATTTTTGCAGTTAAGGTGGCTGGCGGGGTCGAATGAGAGGGGGGTTCAGCCCAGAGCGGGGGGGTCGTTGCAGGAAAGCGGGGCCCTGCGCTTGGAACGGAAGAGAAAAACTGTTGCAGGCAGCGGTCAAAACTGAATCGGGTCTCACCACGTGCTTCGTCGTCTACCTACTGTAGTCAATACCTGAGATCCGGCGCGTCTTCGTCCTCGGAAGATCAGTCAGTAGCCAGTTGCCGACCAAGGTGTAGGCTCCCAAAATTGATTGACCGGTCACCAAGGCGAGGAAAATGACTAACAAGCCGCTAACGTTAGAGTCTGCCCCGATTTCGAACTTGATTTGAGTTATGGGATGACGTGACGCAGGCGGTGGCCGGGCTGTCAGTTACGCGAGACCTCAGGCGCGCGACAGGCAGGTAACCTTAACTAATATGCGGAAAGCGACGCCGAATAAGTGTTAGGACGAGAAGTATTAAAAGGCCCCGGTTTTCCCCAGGAGTTTGCAGTCCGGCTTTCGGGTACCGTAACGCGAATTCTCGACCAAATGTGCGGAGTACAGTATTCGCATGAAGCTGCTAATACAAGAAAATTGCGGGCATCTGCAGCGCTGCAAGCCGATTGCCGAGTCCTCCACCTCGGAATCGAAGACGATGGTGCCGGCCCTACTGATAAAGCGAAGTTGGATGGCACAAACGTTGATGGATAACGTTGAGCTCCGCTATGTCTGGGACAAACAAGCACTTTAGCTTGACCGACGATCGGCGTCCAAGCTTGATTGCTCGCTCACCTCGAGCTCTCCAACTCCTGCTGCTGTGCTCTTCGAGTGAGGCCTAAATTTAAGCCAAGCAACTTTTGCATGAGAACCCGGAGCCTTAAGGTGCGGATGTCCGGGACATGCCTTACACTGTTCTGGGGACAGCTTGTCAGCAAGACTCTCGCTGTCGGCTTGACATCATGAGCAGCAACGTCGGGCGTGGTCTTTGTAAGGCGAAAGGGCCGGCCATCAGCCGAGAGAACTCGATGAGGTCGCGACCGGGCCCGTAAGGCCACCTGCGCTGCGCAGTTCGCCACCAGCCGGGCCATGGGAGGTGATGCATTCGAGATCAGACCCGTGGGTTTGGCGAGCAGCGCAGGCGCCAGGCTGGCAGGGAGGGCGTGCAAGGGGGTGCCTAGGACTAGGATGCCAAGTTGGTGGTTTTGCAAGGCCAGCGCATCATGGCAGAAAGAGGCTCGGGACTCCAGCCTCCAGCCCAAAAAGTCGGTGTGGACCAATACAGTTGCGGGTCCACATTTTCACCCGATCATCTGTCAACGCGACAGAAAATCGAGAATCAAAATCGGCGCCGGGGGCCTCCATCAGTCCGCGCTGCTTTCTGTTCGTCGATGCTGGCATTCCAGAAGCTCAACCACTTGGCGACTCTACCGAGACCAATTCATCTCTGCAACCAGGCCAAACACGGCGCATGCGCAAGCGGCCGGGAAGAGGCCGCAGAGCTGCATCCGAATCTTCGGTACCGCCTCTGCATCGCGGAACGGAGTAACAATGACTGGGCCAAGAACGAAGGAAACCTGCTCCACTTACTTGATGCTCTTATTAATAAAGTGGCAGACCTTAACTATATCACAAACACGAAGGGACGCAGGGTTCGTCTTGTTGCATGAATTCCCGATCTCCGATCAGGTGACGACACTGTGTATCATCCCAACGCCGGCAGGATAATGTCTGAACCGTCTGCCCACCTTAGGAGGTCGGCATAGACTGCGCCACTCCCCAGCAGGCACTCGTCGGTTGCTGACGGGCTCAGGAGGCTGGCGAAGCTTGGGCGGAGAAGCGAGAAACAAGACAAAAATCCGTTGGAGGGGAGCGCTCCCAAAATCGATCGTTCCTAAGTTCTGAATGGCTGGAAAATGACAGACTGGAAGAGGCTACGTGGGTTTTCGTAGCTGCTCACTGGCCCTTTTATCGACGAATTGATGTCGACGAGGTTCTGTAACCGTCAACGTTGTTTTTCAACGTTGAGATGGCCAGAGTTCCTGCCCCGAGCGTCCTTTCTCAGCCTTCCACAACCCAAGCCAATCACTGAAAGTTCCCATCCCCGTTTCATCCAGATCGCAGCGATCCCGACCGCACAGCCAAACGAAGGTACAATACAATATTGTGGGGTAAACACCCCGGTCAATTGCAATGTCGTACTCCTCGATAGCCTTCATCTCCCTACGCGCACACTCGGCGCAACCTCTGCCGCGGCAGTCGAGGATCGCGATGGTCCCCTCAGCAATAATGACACGGCGGGCGGCATTGGGAACAATCTTAGCTCGGT